ATTATGCATACGAAGGATTCTTGCGAACATTAAAAATTCGAGCTGTCACATGCTTATCATAATGCATTTTTTTACTAACTATATACGAAGGAATGATTTGCGGATAAGGGCTTGAATGTAGTATACTAACCTAGTGTATACACAGATCTTAGATACCTATTACGAATGCAATGCACGTGGAAACGGTGGTAACTCTCCCCCCCTTACATCCCATCCTTACGGCGTGTAACGGCCCACCAAACTTCCCCAGGACCCTGTGAAATCTGGCTGTGTTTGGATGTCGGTTCCGTCTCCGAGGTGGAGAGCCGTCCGAGTACTCTTGGAGCATATGCCGTATGCTTTGAGGTTTGAAGGTGTCTCGGAAATCCAGTGCATGTAATCTGTGGTATTAAAAATTAGTAACCGGTGCAAGGAGTAGGAAATTAAATCGCTTCTTAACTTACCCTGACAATCTCCCGAACATCCCTGGTAGGACGGGCCGCTAAAGAAGGCCCAGGATGCGGATGCGTACGTGTATATATCGGAGCCGCCTTGGATGTAATTCGCGAATCCCATACGACATCTAGTATCTCCGCCGTCACACCATGAGAAATCCGGGTCTCCCCAGTTCTTAACGTCCGGTTCCCAAGGGGCTGGCGGTGTTTGCTGAACGTTATCGCCCTGGTCATAGTTCGTCTCCGACTGTAGCAAGCTAACCATCACGTTTTTCGCGTTCCGCAAGTTGAGCTGGTACAGCCACCAATGTTCACTGCCGAGCGCGTGGAGCCAGGTGCCTTTGGTAGACTCGACAAGCGTGCCGCCCTTTGCAGATATACTGCAGCCGCCGCTCCCTTCGATGAAGTGGTCGGCAACCCAATTCCACACATTCTCAACGTACACGGATGAGCTAGGGGTGAGATGCAATCCAATGAAAGCTGCCTGGCATTCGTTACTCGGATCACCGCAAGCGTCAGCGAGCGCGGACGCTCCAAGTGTGCCACCGACGGTAATTAGAGAATTCCACAAGGCTACATCCCCGGGGGACGAGCCTGCAATGTTAAATTGTAGAATGATAGCACCGGGAAGAACATCGGAGACGGTGAACCGCATGTCTTGGATTTGAGCCGTCCCAACGTCGCCATTTTCGCCGACAGAGACAACCGGTCTCGGATTAGCCGAGTCCTTGAACTTATCGCCGTTGCCAGTGATCGTCGCCCAAGCTTCGCCAACAATACGCGAGCCTTTCGGTATGATTAAAGTATCGTCTACTCTATACTTTCCGAATGGGAAATAAGCAATCTTGTTATTATCTGCCGCATACTGTAATACTTGGTTGAGTGTTCCCGACTCGTCCACAGTGTTGTCTCCCAGTATTTTGTGACCGCCGTTTTGGGCCGAATCTTTCACGTTGATGAAGTCCGAGACAGGGTTCTCTGCATAGCTGGGAGCGGGGACAACTGGATACTTGCCATTCGGTGCCAAAGCAGCGGGTCGGTTCAACGATGAAGACACGGGGCCGTAAATAGGATTACCGTTCACGGTGTTTCCATATGAATAGTTATCCACATGACTTTGAGGACCCAATGCTGTGTCTCCCCGCACATGAGCAATATCTGAGTTACTATCTTTGTCCAGGTTCTCGATTAGGAATGATGGGTATCCTGTTAGCTTCTTGTTAGTCTCTGACGACCTAACACTGTGTTATGAAGGGGTTGAAATTGTATTCTGGGTCTCGCGAATAAAATGGATTGAAAGTCATGGAGTGGAGAAATTATAAGGGTCAACCACGTGGGATCTCTACCCTTAGTAACGAGGACGATCACTGACCTGAAGTTATGAAAGTCACGCCAGAATTGATGGATTTTGCATCAATGAGTGCAATCCACGGAGAACCGCCGTCATGATTGACTGCGGTCCCAACGGTATCAAACGTCGCGCCGATAATACTAATAGTATTCCCGCCGTTTATCAGCATACCGACTGTGTTTTGGTAAAAATAAATACCCTTATAAAGGGCCTGTTGATGACCATTATGCCAAATTCCGTTCTAGGCCGATTTTATTAGTAACTTTCCCATCATGTCAATAGGAAGAGGGCGCTATGCTAATTACCTGACCACGTTCGACTCGAACGTCAGCTAGACCAAGAGTAGAGCCCCTCGTAAGTTGGATACCCGTATGTCCCTTGCCGTTAACAGATGATGCCATAACAATTTTAACATTCTGCAACTGAGCTGCTTGGGCAACTCCCCAGCCGAGTGCAGTGAATTCGTTACCTGATAATCATTGTTAGAAACAGATCCGAACACTCGCCATAATACCAGAACAATATTACCTCCTGGAATATTAGTAGTGTCAAGTATTATATTCTTTACTCCAACCGCAAAGGAAAGTTCTCCCTTCCCATCAGTTCCCGGATCCCGACCTGTGACACACAGTTAAAAAAGTCCACACCCTCTTTGTATGGCAAGACAGGCTTACCAGATAGGAGGGTTTGCTCTCCCGAGAAGCCGGCTGCGGCTTTGATTATAGGCGGCTGACTGAAGTTAGTGGGTATATATTAGAGGCGACTTATACACTCACGTCTGTGGCATCTCCCATAAGAATAGTATCGGTGTTCATTTCGATAGTTTCGCTGACTTCGTACGTCCCAGGTGGGATATAGACCACCTAGTTATTCCTTAGCCCACGATCAATAACCTTCATAGTAAACACATACCCTTGGTTGAGACGCCAACCACTGAGAATTCCGCTTATTACCATTACCGGCATCTTTTATGGCGTTCGCAATTCCAGGACCGTCGCCGGGCTTAACAGCGATGTATACCGGGTAGTTGTCATCGCCCAGGCCGGGCGCATAGCCGCGAGCCTGGCCTGTGTGGTCCATGTTGGCATACCAGAAGCTGGTAGCCCTTTTAGAGATGGTTTCGGTGTCTCCTATACCCCATGGGATACTGTAGCATGATGCCCCCCCTAGCAGAGCAGCAACAAAAAGCTTTAGCGCAGCCATATCGAAGATCGATAAAATGTATGAGCCTATGTTGAGACCCAGCAAGCTAGCTAAGATATTCTCCTCGCAAAGCTAGCGAGTGAAGCTATATATATGGGAGGTAGCATTAGGCTGGACTCCGACGGCATTTCCAATGGGGCTTATGAGGATGAGGTCCGCATACGAACTTGGCATTCGGACGCTACTTTTGATGACGCCAGCAATGCCTAGGTAGGGTTAAACCGAATACTCATACAATCCAGCAGTTGAAACTATGCTAAAGGTTCATGATGGTGTCGGATTTATTCGATTACAATTGAAGAGGTCGAATGTAATTTAACATTTAATTACCTAGACTTACGGCAGTTGAAGATGACATTTCGCCTTGTGGAAGAGGGTTGTCGTATTGTCCTTTCCTTGAGTAGCTATTAACTATGTCCAATAAGGAGGGCACATTGCATCCGGTCAGCTGAAGTCAACTCCGACCGCATTAATACATCATCTCACTTTACCTCTCACCGTGGCATTGACCACACCCCCTGAATCTTATGGGAGACTTTGACCTCGCGTAAACTGGTCAATAGTTCAACAATTTATCCAATTCTTCGCCTCACAATATTGATGCAGATCATATAAAAGTAGCCTGCTTCACGTCATGATGGAGCATCCTACGTATGAAAGACTTCGATCGGCCATAGTAGGTACATCGCAAATAGAGCCCCTATGTTTTCCGGACCTTCTAGTGAAGGAGTTACCCCGAGTCTACTACGTTTTCGAGGTAGCTGATACCATTATATTGCTATTATAAGGTAGGTGGATTTGCAGTAGCCCGATATAGAATTAGACCTTCCCTTTTGAAAGTAGCCAAGGGAAGGGAACGTAGCAAGTCGAGCTAACTTTAGATTTGAATTGACGATGCGATGCCCCCATACCGAGGTAGGTTAGGCAACTACCTAACCTAACCTACCTATTTATGCGATCCTCTGCTAATATTATTCGAAGCTCTCTATTCTGCGAACCCTTCAATTTTAATTTTTGAAGTTGAAACGCAAGCACTGTGCTATATTATAATGGACTGGTTTATATATGTTTACCTAGGTAATTATATTGATTACCTAAAGTACTTCGAATGCCTTATTAACTACCTCCTATCCTAACCTAACCCACCTATCCACCTATAATATATATTTCGTGTTTGTCTCTTACTAGCTACCTACGTATCTTCTAATAATGTTCAACTTGTATCTAACTTATACTTAACCAAATAACAATCATCCATTCAATTTTTGATTTATAATGATTTCACTATTAAATGGTTACTTCTCTTACTTAACTTACCTGGCTGATGCGCTATATACGACTGGACAAATAAGACAACTTAGGTCAATGGGATGTATTGAATCGTTGCCTTATTAACTATTCCTTAGGAAGTATTCTTCCAAGATCACCCTGCTTTGAAGTTCTGACTCAGATACAAAGCTATTACGCGCGCATGACAATAAGTTTGAGATCGACGATGAGCTTTATGATTATAAAGATTAAAGATATATACATAGTATTGGGCTCCATCAAGTTGTCATGCTGATTGACTTACGTAACCTTAGCCGCTTAATAGATTGCATAAGCCCTCGACGACAGTCTCTACGTTGTCAAATTGTTTGCTTCTCTAGCAAACGTGTATCCGCTTACCTGTTTTGATACCAAGATCCAGCAGTTCGGCATCGCCCCGTTCTTGGTTTCTTGTGTAACAGGAACGTGTTAAGTATATTAGCTTCAAGGAATTGATGTACTTTATGTCGATCTATGCAATCTAAAAATGTAGGGAGAATCTGTTGATCTACATAGGAGAAGTCTGTTAGGCAAGTCATTGGCCGGTTAGAGGGGAGTCTGGAAGAGCCTTTCTTTTCGACTCCGACTGGAACTACACCGACTGAAAAGAATCGAATAGTCTACGATTATTTTGGGTCTATCACGTTACGAGTTAATATTTTCTAGCATATTAAAACGTGTCCCTGTCATCGGGTCTTTGTGAAGGCATTTATATTAAGCTTATGATACTTTCCTCGGAACTTACTCGATCCTTGTCACTTGATTGACAACCTCAACTCCTCTGGCTGTAATGGCCTGAAATAACGATATAATTTTACAACGATGTTGCCATCCTATATAGTAGTATATAACAGGGAGTTGCCTCAACTTTAGGATTGCCCTTCAACTCGGCCATCATACTACGTCATATCCCGTCCGTCACCCGTAAACAAAAAATTGGATACCTCCTGAGGTTTAATCTCAAGTGGGATAAATCATTCCGTATTGATCCATATAGAGTGGCGTGGTAGATGTAGTTATATAGCTGTATACCCAAGTTAACGTAATGAATGACCAGTAGCAACAGGGAATACGTAGGGGTAAATAGGGAAGCAAAAACGATTGATACATACGTGGTTCGTCCGTCATGTTCGCGGTCAAAGCCCCCCCTCCCAGCCCAGAGGCTCTCCATTTTGAGCCGATGCAGGCTTTTCGGTTTGCCCTCGGCAATCCGTTTCTTCTCAAAGTAGACATAAGCAGCATAGAAGACCGGACTGGTGCAGCCGGAATTGGCACCTTTCTTGCCACGGAAATCGGCAAGTTGCTTCGACTGGAAACATTTGCCTTTGGGCTGTCTGAGTTGTGCATATATATCACGGCAAAACTGCGCGGCGGTCAAACCCGGCGTTTTGAGATGCGCGTTGATCTTCCTGCGAACCTCGTCACATGTGTTGTATACTGGGACAGAATCGGTCTCTTCACCAGGTAGATGAATGTTGCTAATATCCGTCCCGGATGCCAGTGGCGCAGTCATCTTGCTGGCGCCACTGGACCCAGCGGCAGCGGCAGCGGCAGCGGCAGCTTCAGCTTCGGTCTTCTGTCGCTTTTTCACATCCGGCATCTTGAGACCAGCGATCTCTCGCTGTTTGAACCATTTCCAAGCGTGGGTATAAGCGAGACTTTCGGCCCCATCCATACTTCCTCTCTTAGATAGAAATACGCTGACGCTTCTATGGGTGCTGGCGATGGCATCGCAGAACTCGCCTTTCTTCATAATGTTACTATCCAAGAGCTTATTGATTTTGCCCCTCACTTGATTGCAACTCATATCAATAAACAGATGATCAGTTTCGATATGGGAAAGGTCTTGCTTGTATGCGGCAATATCCTCATCTAGCGACGTTTCCGACTTGCGTTTCTTGCCAGCGGTAGCACCAGCCTTCGGGGCCGGTACAGCGGCTTCGGTCGCGGGAGGTTGTCCCGCAGCATTCTTGTCCAACGGTGGAAGAATGAGGGTCTGGTTTGCCCGACTACTAGCATCTTCAAGGGTTGGCCGCGCCGCCTATATTTTAGTTAATGAATTAGAACCGTTTTGTTAAATGCAGGGCTTGCTTTACCACGGAATCGAGAGTCGCCATAATTGTAGAACTCGAAATTTATCCTTCTAAGCTTTATTCATGAATATAACAAATGATAACTGTAAGTTGAAGAATAATACAAACGTAATACGGAGACGCGACAAGAGATCATTAGGTATACGCGACAACGCGGTGGTTTGTGCTGAAGCTGAATAGACCGAGCTTTAGCGCTAACGATTGAATTAACGTCACTTATACCTCACTAAAGCCTCACTAAAACCTCACTTATACTTCACTAAAATCTCACTGATACCTCACTAGAACCTCACTAATATTCATCAAGACGATCTACCTAGACGATAATCCTAAACCTCCCCTATATCCGACTCCAATCTTCATCTATCATACATAATAGCTCTTAGGCTAAATCATTTATCTGAGGCGGCGGTTCTGCTCAGCGTTGCTACGCTTCTTCAAGCGGTAGTTGATTGCCCGCTTGCGTGCAGCAGGGGACTGGGTGAAAGCCGCTGAGCCTCCAAACGGTCCTGCAATTGCATTGTTCCGAACTCTCACAATGCAGACGTTCTGAGCATCGCCGACAGTAGCGTCGCAGGTCATTCCTGCGGGCATCTGTACAGTCAAGGGAAAGTCCGTATTGGTGGCTGTGGATAATCCTAGGAATCCTGAGCCCGGAACATCCTGAGTTACTTCGGCGGTCTTGAACGCGTCAGGGTCCTGACCACCCGAGGTTCCGTCGACGGCGGCTTCGATCGGACCAGCACCATCTTGATTGATCTGTCGGAATGTCATGGTGATTGAACCGTCATCTGCACATGTGGGGAGACCCGATGTAGCACCCTGACCAGCTGTAGAGGCAACCGAGGTTTCTTCAGCCGTCTCGGTCTTGGTTCCCGCGCCGGTCTTAGCTTTATTACCACCAGCGCCACCAGTGAGACCCGAAAGCAAGTCCTTCAGTGCTCGAGGGAAGGAAGTGCTCTTCTTTGCTACGTTTGCCGGGATGTCGTCTTCCACACCGGTACCAGAACCATTGTTAGTTGGAACCGTTGCGCCTGCTCCCATGAAATTCTGGATCATGACAGCGGGGTCGATAGGACCATTGCCTTGGGTCCGGCCCAGAGCACTCGCCTTGCCCGATGATATCTCACGGTCTCTGATGATTGCCGTATCGGCCTGTGACCCGCAAGAGTTGGAGGTGCAGTCTCGGGGCGTACCATCGGCAACTATTTTTCATCAGTACGCAATATCAATGCACGGGATAGATCCTCAACATACCGCTAAGTCCGGGCATCACCACGCCATTCGCTCCCTTGATAGATGTCACAAGACCGTGACTATAAACAGTGGCAAGAAGGCCAGAAGTGGCAATGAGTGAGTAGCGCATCGTGACGACTTGACGACTTGACGACTTGGAGAATGGAGAATTAATAAACAGGAATTATGACGTTAAAATATGCCACCAGGGCTGTCCTCAAGACAATGGAAGAGAATTATGAATTAAATGGATTGTAAATTGAAGGTTTTTGTTGTAGTGCTGACGAGAGTAGAATCATTGCTAGACTGCGATTCATCTCGAGTCTTATATACACCATTTTTGCTGAAGCAAGTATCAATCACACAAGCCATCTATCTCGCTGACTTCGACCTAATAGCCTCTATCTTGCGAAAATGTTGCCCGAAGTTTCCGAAACCATGGACAAAACACTTAAGAAATAGTTTCGTAGCCAATCGCATTTTAGAATTGAGTATTCCCACTTTTCCCATCTAACGAACTAATCGCCTCCTTGGCTTCAAAACAAGCATTTAGAACTCATTGAGGCTGAGCCACGCTGATACGAGGAGTTATCACGTTTCGAACTCTCCGAGTCTTGATAAGTCTCCTAAGGGCGCTAGAAAAGATATGGAATATAGCAACTTTCCAGAATCGCGTTTAGCATTGCTATACCTAACGCAGAACGCCAAGTCCCGGAACTACCGCCCGCCAAGAGAACGCTGAGGCTCCCGGGTTGAGACACCGCAGCAGGGGCTCAAACATCCCCTGGGGAAATCTGTTTTCTGGGGAGACTGAAACCAAAATGATTGGCCAATTGGCGAATCCTTCTTGATTCACATCAAGGCCTCTTTTGGACTTTGTTCCGAATATGTTATGTTATCAGAGGCTGCCGTATCATCTCCTTGTATTCTACGCATAATTCGATGTGCGGCTACCGATGCGTTTAGCGGGAAGCTGCCCTTGCGGACATCTTTGCGAATCCTGAACATCATTTGAGATCTTTGGGCTCTCGGCCAATATGTATCAGATATCCCCAGCCCCGTCCACCAGCCACTCAGAGTCTCGGCTAAGGTCTCATGGTCTCTAGGGACTTGATTAGGAATAACTGACTATACCCGATGGTGGTGTAGATTGTACCAATCGCAAAAACTTGCCAGTTTTGGCGCATTGGACCAATATCTGTTGTCTCGGCGATTGCTACCGTGACACGAAGTAAAATATCAAATCGGATACGACACATGATATTGGGAATACTACCTTGCTGCTAAGTTAGAACCAACCATGTATGTGAATAAAAGATACATACCCTACTAGGTAAATAATAGTATTTTATCCTCATCTGCAATACGCCAGAAAAGGGGGAAACGATTATAAACATGCTGTACGACCTTGGCTCGCTATAGCCGCCTATTGCATACGGGCTCGTGTGTCGAGAGCCTACCTAATGTATAGGGCAGTCAAAGCAGACTCTTGGATTTTTATCCAAGGGAACAGCCACAGTCAATATTTCGTCAGTGGTTGGGGAACTTATCTTTAAGCGACCCCTCGCACATCAGCCAGTCCAGGCCTAGGGCGGTAGTTGATCTTGACAGCATCGCTATCCGAGCTGGTAGGTAATCCTCATCAGTTTATTTTTACTCTCTATTTTATAAACAAGAAGTGGTTACTAACTTTGCTCTCTTTGCCTCGAAAAACCCAGTTTCTCGTGGATCACTAGCATGAGATGGACATCTATCATCCCTATGGTCCTTGCTAAGTAATACATTGACGGGAAAAGCCACTCCGAACCATGTAGTTCAGTCTTCGAGTATACATGTAAAAGCAAGCAGGATTATCTTATTTCACGAATCGACCGATCCTATCGGTACGACGTGCTGAGGAGAACGCCCCTATCAGGTCTGTCCCAATTAGGAAACCGCTCTCTGATTGGTTCTACCGCAGCTGGAATCTATAGTACTACTCTATGTTGTGATTATAGGGGACAATGCATAGAACCAATGTATGGTAAACGTAGATGTATAGAAGAAGACCGAAGTTTTCACTTAATCGTCCCGGGCTTTGCGGAAGCCGATAGTCCAAAGTCCGTAGAATAGGAGGATAAAATGGCGTATTTCTCCCATCCATCTCTACTGGTTGTCATAGACACTCACTACCTATATCATTTTCAATTAACAGCCTTCCATTATTATTATTCTAAGTAATCGCTAAATATCGTACAAAAAACTCCCTTTCGACAGATATAAAAATGGTGTCATCTTGGGAATTTGTATCTGAGCAACGGCAAAAGCTCCCCGTCCTCGCTACGACGGAAACTTGTGCTGGGAAAACGTACATCGTTACAGGCTCCAATACCGGCCTAGGGCTTGAGGCCGCGAAACATCTAGTCCGCGTCCGGGCTAAGAAGGTAATCATCGCAGTCCGAAATCTCAAAGCAGGGGAAGCGGCAAAGGCCGAGATCGAGTCCGCGACGAACAATCGCGGCATCGCCGAGGTATGGCATCTCGACTTGGCAAGCTTTGAGTCCGTCAAAGATTTTGCGAAGATGGCTACCGAGAAATTAGATCGTATCGACGGTCTGATCGAGAATGCTAGTATTGCGCTTGACAAGTTTGCTCTTGCAGAGGGGTACGAGTCGACTGTCACTATCAATATTTTGAGCACATTTCTTCTAGCGATCCTCCTCATTCCAAAGATGACCGAGACAGCGAAACGCTTCAATATCCAGCCTCACTTGACTATCGTTACGAGCGAGGCTGGATTTGCAGCCAAGGAAGCCTTCGATAGTGTAAAGGATAATCTAATGACGAAGTTGAATGACCCGAAAACGTCGGATATGAATCAAAGGTTCGAAATTCTTAGCTTTTACGGAAGTCCAGTTGTCTTCTAATGTCTTGTATTACAGATATGCTCTTAGCAAGCTCCTCCAATATTTCGCAGGCCACCACCTCGCAACCCTCCTACCAGTTTCAAAAACGGGGGTTATCTTGAACCTTGTGAACCCTGGCCTATGCAGGACGGCGCTTAGCCGACATGTAAGATTCCTTTGGCGTTTGCAGATTGTCACCGTGGCCTATTTGCTCGGGAGGACTGTTGAAATGGGTAGCCGCACGCTGCTGCACGCAGTGGTAGCTGGGGAAGAGAGCCACGGGTGTTATGTCTCGGCTTGCGAGGTTAGGGAGTAAGTAATTATTTTACGCTATTGTCGTTAGATTACTGACGTGTTGTCAAGACACCAGGTACCCAGCTGGGTAAACAGCGAGGATGGTAGGAAACAAGGAAAGCTTATATGGGACGAGATATCAAGGGTTCTAGAGACAGTTAGTCCTGGTTGTCTGAGTGAAGTGTTGTAATAAGGGCGGCATTTAATGCACTATTGATTAGGAGTTCTATAAACATGATTTATTAATATCGAAGCTTGATAGTAAATATAATCCCTTACACAGTTCGATAAACATTCATACGGAGCCTAGCAAAGAGCGGCTGTGTTATTTAGGCATATAACCCTATTAAGATCATTCACACGCTTAGGTACAACTTAAACGATTCCATAGTAATCGTCCTGGTTCATCATGAAGAGCGTTGATCCAGGGAAACTTAGAGAAATTTTGACATACGTCCTCCCAACTTTGGAGACCCAAAGATAGAATAACTTGCTTTATCCTTTGCGTCAACTTCTCATCCCCAGATGTTTTGAATATTGTTATTTCTGCCATGAATAAAGCCCAGAGGATAGCTTCCTTGTTTTCTGCATCCTCAGTAAATTCTTTCTGGGCAAGGACTCCTATTTTCTGGCGGAGAAGAGGTAGATCGGGGAGTCTATGCATAAGGGAAAGTAGGAAATTGGCCATTATCATCAATAGCCCCATGTGTATGATATTCTCGAAACTATCGGTTTGGTCTGTGTTAAGGGGTCTGACGTGAACGAGTCGGTAGCCGATGAGGATGAGGGTGTCATGATACGTGTACCCATCCATCTTAGTACCATCGGCGACCTTCTCGTTAAGAAACCAAGTAAGACTCATTATGTCTGTCCAGACCTCTTTCATACGGGGATTCAGCTGCACGAAAGGCTGCGATGTGAGTAAGCCAGATATTTGAGACGTCCCAAGTCTCTCACGGAGCCAGTTCAGACTGGCAACACCCGGCACTTCGTCGACGCTAAACCGTGTAGGCAATCCTAAATAAATAGCGAACTCAAGATCGGCCCTACTGTGATATTAGGACACAGTCATACATAGTGTTTATGGCGACGTTCCTTACCTGAATATCTTTTGAGCAAGCTCTGGTTTATCTTTCATAAGCTGGGAGATCCCACCACGGAGCTCAACCATCTTCTGAAGCCCTCTGAAATGAACCAAGCCTTGGTCATACTGACCACACATCCGCTCGTACTGGAGCATAGCAACTACTGAGGCTAGTGTCATGTCTGACAACGCCTCACCCCCGGATAGTCTCTGATTGACTAGGCGGAGGCTGTTTGATAGATGACTCAACCCTTCGGTAGAATCCTCAGAGTTTGTAGTTAATAGATTTTTAGCAGCAATAGACATCGCTATGGAACAGTGAAAGTCTTCGAACCGTTAGCTTGTTCGTATACGCGGGTTCGGTAGGGTGACTTGCATGCTTCATCTACAAACCAGAACTGGATCCATATCGATCCAGATACAGAGAAATCAATGGCATTGCCAAGACCGGGCATATGAGGGACGCTGATAAGGAATGCGAAGGCTAGACGATGGTAAGAAGTACGCTCATATGAATAAACATCTATGACAATAGTCGTGGGCTCGACCGCTACCTTTTTGAACAAGAGTTCTAGATCCAGGGGTTGACTCGACTGGTAGGGAGAAAACGGATAAGCTGTCGCCAACTTGAGGTTCTATCGTGGGTAATGCCGTGTGATGGTGCTGGGAGACCAACTGTTTGGTTTTATACCCAGACTTAGCAACATCAGCTTTGATCGTGGCTCTTCTTCCCCGCGATGGGTGCTTTTTGCCGACATTCCGACCCTTCGCCGCTTGACTACGGATCAACTTTCTCGTATTGCGATCAATTATAGTATTGTCGACGAATTCAAAGGGCATTGTTCCTTATACTAATAGGTCTGTTCAATGAATATATAAGTCTTAGTCTGAGATTCATGATGGCATCAGATGAAATAACTCTTAAGAATAGGAGACTCATGATCATGCATCGGGTACCCTATTAGTGGCGGATATATCGGAGTTAATAAATCACGCTCGTCTCGATTAATAGAATACCCAAGTACTTAACACTGTGTCTAAACCAATGTGAAAAATGTTTCTGCATTCCTTCTCTACAATCCATGTCTTTTATCTTAAGAACTTTCACGAACAAATATCCTCTTGATCGCCCTCCTCCTCCTCCTCTTGATTTTGTCCCCCGTAATAATTTCGCCTTAGATCCTGAGTCATAGATGCTACCCTGCGAACCCATTCATCACGATCCTCTTCTTGCAAGGGGGCATTATTGAGAGCCGCGTCGACTTTAGCTCCGAATGGTGATAGTCTATTATACTGAGATGTTGGAGCGTATGGTTCTTCTGTTGCCCAGCCGCGGCGAGGCGATGCCGTGGGCGTTCTTCTCGGTGGGAACTCTGATCCAGCTCTGCCACGTGCGGTTGACCGGGCTTGTCTTCGCTGTTCTTCTAACCTCTTCTCTTGCCTCTGTTCTTTTATCCTCTCTTCCTCAATTTCTCTGTCCTCATCCCACATTCTTCGGAAGAGCTCTTGGTACTGGACTAATGTAGTCACTTCCTGGCGAAGACGGATAAGTTGGGAAAGGAGGAAAAGTCCGAGACAGATGGACACGAGAGTCGAAGTCCACCAGAAAAGTCCTTTAGTGTTGTCTTTGACGTCATCTAGCTAAATGCGACCCGTGTATGATTAGTTCGGTAGGCGCATACCTAGATTTCTTTTTTTTTTTCCCCCTGACTCACCGAGTTCTGAAGATGGGTTAAGTATTTGATAGTACCATGTACAGCGGCTGATAATTGATCAACATCCTTCCCTTCGTACGAGATGTCAATATTCGATTGTCCACTCATGACTGCTTTGCTTCAAATAGACTAATACCAAAGCTCTTGTTGTTTCTTGTAGCAGCAACGAACATAATGCGAGTTTTTCTCTTAAAAAGTTCGTGCTCATAAATGACAATACGGATTGGCTCGGGATTCCATGACAAGTCCTTGTGGTCCGTATTGGAATGTAGTATAGACAAAGACCCGAATTATTGAACTTCTCCTAATAGAGCTTTCGACTCGAATTAGAATCCGTTTTCAAACCAAAGAAGTTTTTACACTAGTTACTAAAGAATACCATACTGGAAGACAAAACTACCTAGACATCGAGCCGCAGCGTTTACCATTTGGTATCCATAAGTACACGAATCTAACGTCTATTTGTAACCACGTGCTTTCAATACGATAATAGGGAGCCATTTAGGATTGTAGCGCACATATACTTACTAATCTTGTTACAATTTAGATACTCCGGTATAGGTATAGGTATAGGTATAGGCTAAGGCTTTGTTAAACCCTCGAGTCGCGATCGTGCATTGAAGAGCTAATACGAGTTAAGAGTCCTGACACCTCAAATGGACTTTTCCACTCGTAGATCATCGCAAGACCTAGTTGGTAAAATTTACCGAATCACCCCAGTCGTGGATGAGAGCTGCGAATTTAGGACACTGTTCTTGGCCCTTGGCGAGAGATACGCCTTCATCACCCTTATAGGAGAATTGTCTCGCTGCCTGACTATGAGCGTATGCGATAAAGTCAGGAGCCGAGACCGGGGGGTTAGCTCCATCCTCTCGAAGCTGTCTAAAGACCGTTTGGATTTCCTCAACTTGGGATTTCAATGTAGCAACTGAGTCCTCGACTTGCTGATCTTCATAGACATGTCCACCCATTTGAGAGCTGGCGGCGGCGCTATCAGCTATTATGGAGTCTAGGAGGAGTTGGGATCCGAGTTCTGCATCTGTAAGCTCAGCCTTGGCGGCTTTCTCGAAGAACAGATGTATATTTTTTGAGAGGTCATCGCCCTTCTTCTGTCGCGAGGTGACGTAGTGATCAAGCTTTCTAATTTGCATATGTGGAGTGAGCGCGTTAGCTTTATTAACGTCTATCGGGACGGAGCCGTAGAGTTCCATCTGACGCCGAATACTCTCGAGCAATGTGTGGTCCTTTACTTTGCTGCTTTCCCTTTTTTGGTCTGAAGGGGGATTCTTGGCTAGTCTTTTGGTTACGTCCAACTCTGGTGTGTTGTTTATATGGGTAAACGTGCTGAGAAGGGACTGGTGATAATAAGCTAGCATCTTAATACGATCTGCCAGGAGACGGAGGCGTTCATTCATGAAACCAAGAACAGCAGATGTCTATATTAAGTCAGTTATAGGTTTAGGTGTTGGAAATGGAAATAGCAACTTACATAGCGAGAAACGGTCGCATCACGTACAGTCTGACGCTCAGAGCACGTTTCGACCTTCCCTAGGATGGGCTTGAGAAATTCTTTCTCTACCACCATATGCGCAAGCGGCACCATCTCATCCCACAGAGATTGTATTTCAGCATATACATCATCACGCTCATCATTAATGGCCTGCGCATTGCCAGGCGCGAAAGAAACCTGTTTATTAGGAATAGACGAAGTCTCCAGGAAAACAGTATCTAACGATGCGCGGCATTTTGTAGCTAGCGATAAAACGATTCTATTGTTTGGTTAATAGCAGTGTAAAATCGGAGATACGGAATATACTTAACTGATTGGCATGGCGTCTGGCTGTCCGAAGAATCGCATCGTCATCGATAACATCGTCGCCTAGCTCACAATATAGGGCATTTAATTTACTAAGAATGTGATCATAGGATACAACCGTGGTTTCGAAAACTTGCTTTGGGGTAACAGATTTTAACCTTTCGTTGCCGTCTGCCTCTAACGAGGTAGACTTGACTTGGGCGATCCCTTCAAGTTGACTCGTATGGTGGCTGATTTTATCTTCTAGCGTATGGATCTTTCCGATATTAGTATTAAAAACTATTCAACCTTTGGGATTCGTTTATACCTTTGATTTGAGTAAATCTTTCCTGAGAGACAGAGCGGAGATCTTCTGCTTTACTATAGACACTTCGTCATTGGTTTCTGAAGGCCGCTGTAAATTAGCGATACTACGGCGAACATAGTCTTTGTATTTCACGAGAAGTTTTTCAAGGACATTATTATACTGATTCATGTCATGGAGAGCAGCCTTGACCGCGTTATGATCAATGGTCTTCTGACTAAATGGCATCTCGGAAAATATGTCCACTTCCCCACGGGATTGGTTTGATCGGTGGCCACGATTAGCTGACTGAAGAGAGTTCAGACTGCGATGTATGTTAACAACAGATACCTAATGTATATCAGATGAAAGTGGTCTGACGTACTACTTCGACTCGTCCTCCGACAGCACACTCATGGGACCGTTCGATTCAGCTAATGAAACTAAGCGGACCCATTCGGGAGATGCCTCGTTATAGATAAACGACTTGAGTAGATCCTTTTGATTTTCGTTCGTGGCATTTACAGCCTCACAGACTTGATTAAAGAGACGCATCTCGGCCTCTGACAAGGCCGGAAGACTAGCCATCTTGAAATATGGCAAAGTAGACTACTTATGAGATATCAACTGTCAGACTTCATATGCAGCTATAATACGAGATGTAGGTAGTACGGGAGAGAAAGGGGGTAAAAGGGGCGAAAGGGGTCGAACGCCAAATGAACGGGCACTGATTCAAAAGACCTAATGCGGTGTAGTTGAGTGATTTAGTCTTCGTATTATCGAAAAAGTAAGACGACACGGCTGAAAACGCATCGGGTGTTTCTCATGGATAGAGATGATGCTAACTAAGATGGTTGCATAGAGCGGTAGACCCCAGCTACAAGATGGCATACTGACCTAAGACGTTGGCTCGTTCCGGCGGATGGAATCGGTACCGCGGACAATCCGGTGACCCGCTCCGTAAATCACCGATATTGGAAACTGTAGCCGGTACGCGGTAATGTCACAATACTGAATCTAGAACGGCCTGGGGAACCTCAAAGATTGAGCGTGGATCCTTGACTCTGAATATTGCGATACTCTCATTTGCTAGTATGAAAAAGCGCTCATGGGCTAGATAAGTCTAGCCGTAGGCTAAATCAGTCGTGACATGAAGCTTAGGGAGCTGATGTATGGCAAGTTTGACCGCTTTCGTCGAGGAGGTTGATCTAGGCTACCTAGGAAGCCAGCTTGAGTCGAAGGATTATGACAAGGATTGTAACTTCTGAAGAATCATTTGGCCGCTTGTAGCTTCATGTAAGCAAGGATATAGTAAAGGGGAGGGGATAAGCTTGTTGCATTGGTGTGCACCGGTTTGTTTCACGATATCCGAGGTGACATGGATAAGAAGAATGGTAAACGCGAAAATAATGGGGAATTTTGTTTACACCTAAGGTAAAATTCAGAATTCCCCACAACTGCCCGCATACATTAGGTACCTAGGTACATTAGGTTCAACCTTATGTCCCTTAGTATAATATTTCCACATACATGCATTCTGGATTAGCATAAGCTGCGGTAATTGCATTGCAAGTTCTTATCAACAGTCAACAATCAACAAAGATTTCAATCACTCAACTTCTTTTAACTGGTTACATAGAAGAAAGAATCAAGTTCTCATTTCGACATAACTAACTAAATGATAGTAAAAGTCTAGGCATAGCTACTCTTTTTACCTTATTGTACATTTACATACTTAAATCAAGCTTCAGCGAAAGCTTAGCGGAATTCCTTCATAACATCAAGAGCCAACGGTCAAACAGCAATTGGCTGTTTTTTAGGACAAGGATCTTTCCAGACCAGAGCCGCAACCAGCCGCTAAACAACCTGGACTTGCAGCAAATCGCAGGTACAAAATCACACCTGCATAGGTATACCCACATTCACGATCCAAGGTCCTAACTACAATCACCGCTTTTCTTGGAAAATTAGTAGACAGGCTATACTTACCTAGGTAGGTGCCTTATATGGGCAATGTTAGCCATGATTCTGAGAAAGGACATCATATTTGGGATCTTCTGTGAATCCTTATATGCATAAGTATCCCTGCGAATGATGTCAATGAGGCTGTTGGTAACAGTTACCATGCGTCGTGTTTCTGTGACAAAATTGAGGCGATCCGCCACGTTCGTCTGTTCAGAAATAGACTGACAATGACGTACAGTAACATCAACCATGAGGCTACAATGGTAGCCCCGTCAGAACGATACGGATTTACTTAAGCTTGAAGATGAACAAATCCAGATTGACACCCATTTCTGACTTTGCCGCGTTAATGTCCAGGACGGCTCGCATCGCTGCGCTTGTCTCATACGCTGTGTTTGCAAGCAAAGGGTCCTGAATGGTCCGCCCCCAAACTGTACCACCTTAGTCCAGCGGTCAACCATTCATTTCCTAAAAAAAGGGACACGAGCTCTTCTTTATCATGGCTTTTTCTAAAGTCTAGCTCTAAAGTGCGCTGTTACTCTTAAACATCTTCACAACATCTTCACAGGTTAGCTCAAGACCTACTTCGGCTTAGTCTTATTCTCTCTAGATAGTCAGTCTCGGCTGTTAGATCTGGAAAACTGCAAACCGACGGACATGATACAAGATCTAATTCTCTGTCAAGATGGGACGTCCCAGCACTCTGTCTAGACACCGGCCATGCGTTTGCATGCGTATGTGCCGACCCGTTTCCGCCATCCCTCCCCGTCGCCATGTCAAAGTGACAGCGGCCGAATGTACCGACATTCAAGACTTGAGCAATGGTAGAAAATGTAGATTACCATTGGGCAATGCTGCTGTGACTGAGCCATATTTTTTCTTCTTTTGTTTTAGCTTGTGCTCGTGAGTCTGTATCACATTCTCGCCGTCGTTGTACCTACTAGGGCCCGCCCGGTTGCCCACTTGCCTGGCTAAATGCGTGAGACGTCATGGAACCATGGAACCGTATCTCCATGCCATCCTAGCATGGTTGTGGTTGACCTAAACTCCTCTTGTGCTCTTCGGATACTTCACAGAAGTTCGTGCAATTATGAATCTACCATGTCTTTCGGCCGTGGAAACATAAGTAACTTTGATCTAGCTAGTCCACATTGAATACCCGCTTCCCGAGTCACAGAATCTTCCATCAAACGAACTGTTATTACTAAGTATATATCTCAGTCCCAGTACCCAAACGAGTCTTTTCAATCCCTTTATTACTTCAAGACATATAATCTTCCAGAACTCATCTCTACCCGCTACATGTCTTTCCATCTCGTAGGGCTCTTCTAATCCATACTTGAACAAACCACGCCATGGATTCATTCATCCAACAGTTATGTAGGGCTCTACATAAACCGGAAACAGCCAAAAGATACCGGGATGCCGGGGTAGGGCTGGCGTTTGTTGGATTGATCCAGGTTCTGGTTGTTCCTATCCAGATCACCCTTGATATCTACTCCATAAACCTCCCTGCCTCTATCCTGGTGATGCTTCTTTTCTCCTCCCTTCTCCTCATCGCCAACTGCATTCATAGGGGAACTGAGAAGTTATACTCCAAGCACCTACGCGGACCGACTGACTTCCTTGGCCGGCACATGTCCTTCGGCTTTGTGGCATCCTTCATAATGCTCAACAGGGACCACATATCCAATGTCATGGATGTCCCTAGGATTGCCGGGGCTTTCTGTAAGTCGCCGGATAGCATTGCCCCTTGTAGAACCTAGCTAACTAAAACTAGTCATCACTACTTTTGTGGGCTATATTAGCACGTATTTGGTTGCGTTCGGGAGTTCCAAGCTAGAACAACGACTACGAGGTGTACGAGAGAAAGTTTTCGACGTCGAAAGCCACCCTAAATCTTGGCCTAGTCCCCCCGCAGCATGGCCGGCTCCGCCAACAGATAGGGGTGCGAAGCGGATATCTCAATTATCTCGGATAAGTGTGGCTATATCAAACGAGAAGCCCTTTATTTCGGCCGAAGCGGTGAAAGGAGGTTCGGTCTCGCAACTTATAGAACAGATCGTACGCACAGGTCCGCTATGGATTTGCATATTTCTGCTTGCCATCATCGGGGTTCCGATATATCTTGCGACTAAGTACGAAGCACCGTGTGAAGTTCTATGCTTTATCCTATTCTGGATTTTATCCGTTCGGTTTCAAAGGTCGTTGAAAAGTTCATATTCTCTCCTAAGGTTTCCGTACCTAAGATCGGCAGTGGTCATATCTGCGAACCCGGTGCTGGTGACTTGGGCAATTGGAACGGCTTACCTCTGGATTAAGGCGGGATATACTGGACGAAGTATCGATGTCATCATCACTGAGTTTCATAGGCATCAGACTTTGGCGGAAAGCATATATGCGATTGCAAAGGGCGGAAGGATATCAAGTAATATCGGTGCTGGTGACCTATCTGGACCCGTCTTGGACGCAGGCATTGTCTGTATGGGCTTCAAGATGTTCGAGTACCGAAAAGAGCTATGGAAAAGTGTATACACGGTGTTAGCCACATGCGCATTGCTTGCCGTGGCAAACGTCTTCCTCAACGTTATGATCGCCCGCGCATTGGGATTACAGCCCGCTGACGCGCTAGCATTTGCTGCTCGATCTGTTACTATTGCTCTTGGGGTGCCGGCGATTGAAGGCTTGGGCGGCAGCACTACACTCATGAGCGCACTTGTTATTTTTGGCGGGATTATCTTCCAGATGGGCGGAGATTGGCTGTTCTCACTCCTGCGGATTAACGACCAGGAGCACCAGCTGAAATCTAACGACTCCAACAGTAGTTACACGGAAACTACGGGGTCTACGGACATGTGGAAGGAGAAAAACGCTCAAAAGCAGATTACTAGGACCGACAATGCGGTTATCGCAGCTGGTGTGACCGTAGGCATCAACGCGGCAGCGATGGGCACAGCGCATCTAATAGAACGGGACTCGAGAACTACAGCATATTCGGCATTGTCAATGACCTTATTTGGAGCTATGACAGTAGTACTCACGGCGGTACCTAGTGTCTCGGAGACTATAGTATCTCTAACATGGAGATGAGGAGAATGCCATATTTCGAAGACGGTAGTTAGCGATCACTATCATGATCACGATTATATGAGTTACGAGATACATAATATCACGTTGCATAGAGATTTCGGGTGTGGCGAATGATACCACTACATGGGTTTTGATAGACACAGATGGGAATTGGGAGCATCTTTTTCATCCGAGCCGTTTTTATTTTTGGAATGTTTACGAATATACGTAAATATTGTTTCTAGCATATTCTCACCCAATGGCATCATAATCATAATCGTACTCCTAATGGGATCATTATTATTCAACGATTTTCGTATTAGCATTAGAAGATTTGCTTGCCCCTTAGCCGTCTAACGGTAGATACCAACATGAGCGATATGAAACCGGACCGCAGTCGTAATTGAGATTTAGTATCTTGCTCGCCGAATCACGACTGGTGGGAGATGAAACCCTGCAAAGCCGCCGTATCATCAATCCTACGGCGCACACATACCTTGGGCACCTACGCAGGCACTGTCTCTGGTCCTCGCAAAGTCGCACGGCATAGCGCGACTCATAGGTTCTTGGATTCTACGTTGTGGACATGTGTGGTTTTCGTCTCTGCGGGGATATTGGGGGAGCTATACCCCTTCGTCGAACGTGTCTCAGTCTACATCGGTCCTGCTGGATCATAATTTGTATTCAGTGTAGATAAGTCTATGTCCCGACCTACAGCAACCATAACAACCGCGGCACTGGAAGCTGAAGCCATAATTCAGCCGGGAACTGCGGAGATCCCTATCATGGTAACAATACCGAAGCCGTAGAGGAAAGCCGTACTTGGCTTAGATACGTCTCTAGTGGCATCCAGTCTTTTGAAATGTGAAACTGCATAACGTAAACATACTATTACTATGGTTCCTATAACTTCCGAGCTTACCTGTCTTACTTATCTCCCAGATATTACCACGAGCTCGATATAGCTTAGAAGCTCAGCAGCCAAAGTGCGACTTGACTCGGAAGACTTGTACTTCTTACTAGGCATCGTGGGCTACCACACTAATCTGATGACTTGCAACTTTGAAGCGAATTTAGATAAGGGCTTTGCTTATATAATTAATTGTTGGTAGAAATAAATGTAATAAGGCATGTCTGCGTTTAATCAAGTGTGGGTTGACGTTAAGAAGTATAAAAGGGGTAACTAGGGGTGTATAACCAAACTGGAAGAGAATGAATAATAGGATATAGCCATAATATTTGCAGCAACCCCTAATGATTTTAAAGGCATATAAAGACTGTAGAATAATTTAGGGTCTCCACTTGGAATCCGGTGCCTGCATAGAACTACGTAAGGTATTAGGAGAGAAAGGCCCATTGGCTGCACAGAAGCGTCGCATCATATGCTATCCTTTAGTATATAGGAACCGAGTAGGTCTTGATGTGCCTCTTCGCTCCATGCTAAATAATGATGGGACTAAGCAGTGCTTTAACACCATGTTTAGTGAGCCTCATAAAAGAGGCAGCCATGCGCCCTAGCTATGCGCCTGGGTGGCAAAATTTCCCACTCCTAAAATACACAAGGACTTAAACTAACCTTTCGATTAGATGTAGTCCACTCGCGGTTTCCACAACACCACTCATCTGGCCAGGTTGTAGTGCGAAAGCAGCCTCCTCGAATTCCTTTTGCATGTCTCCCTTACCGAAGTATCCTAAATCTCCCCTCTTTCTGGCCGAACTGCAGTCGCTCTCAGTCATGGCGATCTCTCCAAGAGATACGGCCCCACTCTTAATCTTCTGCTCATGACCCTTGATAATAGCCATTGCTTCTTCCTTGGTTCGGGTAATATTGCTCTCGCGCCAGCTCGCAGGTCGCCGGCTGTCGCGGTGTTTGACTAGTAGGTGGGCGGCACGGATTTTGCCCTCGGGGTGGCTGACGGGAGCCGTCTGGGACGAAGTAGAATGGTGGGTTGCCATATATTGCTTCAACTTCTCGGTGTCGGTCCCAACCGGCGGCTCCCAGCGCGAGACTTTCTCGCTGGCGTTGAAATAGTATGGAAGGTTCTTGGAGTTGCTGTGGCGCACCTCCCAGTTAGGTGGTAATCCCGAGTCATCCTGACCATAGGAAACATTAGTGCCAAATTTAATAAATTTTAATATGGAGATGAATGAATGGGTAGAACAGATTTGCAAATTCTAATCCCTCTGGCAGGCTCGAGGCTAACTTACCATGCTGGCGGTGTGATACGAAGACTACTGTGTGGCTGATGAACAGCTTTTATAATTTATTTAACAGCTGTTTAAGCTAGGCTGGAGCAAGAGTATACTACAGTCCTGAGTATGCGTCGGTCTAGAAGAAAGAGTGGGCGACTGCTTTGATGTTTACCTCAAGGGAAGCTTGAAATTTCAAACTTAGAATTGAAGCTATAGCTCGCTAATTGAAGCTTCCTTAAAATGTAATTAAATCTAAGGAAGTGACAACATAAACTTTGCTTTTCTAGCCTTCCCAAGATATAAGAAAAAGCGAGTGGCGATGACGATGGTGTGGTGGTGTTGTGTGTTGATGATGTAGGTAGTGAGTTGCTAGGGAAGAATTGCGTCGAATATTAAGGGTAAGTACATACGTAGGTACCTTTTCTGTTGACCTTAGGTAAGAAAGATCACGAGGATATTGTCAGTTGAGCGGGGGCAACGCTGACCTGACGACGAAATTAGTTGAAACGCGGGGTGCTGAATGGGTGAATCTAAAAGTGATTGGTCTAGGTTACAGAATCATTAGGTATTGTACCTATGTATCTCCATCCATTTACTATTGTACATAGGTACATATGTTGGTCAACCGACCAATCAGTGGTCCTAGTGACTATGAGCTTAAGCCATATCCACGTTAGTCAGTTACCTGTCATTACGTGCTGTCATTGTTAAGAATACTTTATCCGATGTTCCGAAGCTTACTAGGTACCTATGTAACTGTGCAAACCCAATTAAAGTTAGCTCCAACATCACTGCTAAATCTAGAACACACTATTCATTAAGCGGTCACTTTTAAAGCTTGACAAAAAGTGACTAAGGTCTTTCCATCTTTGATTAACAACAACCACCAAACGGTGTCGGTCTTTCAACATTTCATCTCACATTTCCAACGCCGTATCACGAATAACCTGGTCTTCAATCTTGACCACAGCGAAACTGCAATAAAATACATAAGCGCAGCTTCATTCCATCAAGGATAAAACCCTCCCACTAGAATCATCATCTACCTAGGTATTTGACAACCATCAATTCTCAAGGTCTCGTCGCATCAACCCTACTAGTATTTAGTACCATCAGGAACCTTGCATAGCATCATGTCGTCTCCGGCGCCGAGTAACGACGGGGATGCCCCCAAGAACAACCAGGAGCAGATCACTTTCCGTTTCTGCGCAGAGTGTTCCAACATGCTGTACCCCAAAGAAGATGAAGACGCCCATAAGCTTCAGTTCACCTGCCGCACGTGTCAATACACCGAAGAGGCTACATCTTCCTGTGTCTTCCGCAATGTTATCAACAGTGCAGCAGGCGAGACAGCTGGTGTGACCCAGGACGTGGGATCGGACCCGACGGTTCGTAATCATATTTCTTCTTCCACCCAGGCTTCTCCCCATCCCCATCCCCATCTCCCTACTTCTACCGATTGCAGCCCGGCTGTCTGTCTGAGATGTGGCGTGACGCTCCTCCACTGTGATCGGTGTGAAGACCCTGCATCAGTCGACGAGTACAATCATTTTGTTCGAAACAACCCGGATTACGCCGTTACAAGAACCTTGGACTCCATACGATTCGCCAGCTACTGGGCCTCCCAGGATGATGAAGGGAAGGCTGCTTGGGCCGATAAATTTGCGTCATGTGGCGAACCATTTATCCCCAATATCTCACAAGATGAGGACAGTCTTGCCTATTACATTTCTGGCAATGGCTTTCTCAGGTCACTTGATGCTTTGGATGCTGATCCTCCCGAAGCCCTCGAGGATCCTCCGGAGTATGGTGACGTGTTGATGTCTTACCATGAGCTCGTTTCTGCCCAGTCAACAAGAATTGCTTCGCAATGATCTTGTTCTCAAGATTTGATGATTATATTCTCATATCTATGTCACATATTTTGGGCAACAGACGGACCAATAGACGGACCCATAGACAGACAGCCGGGCAATGGCATACACATAATTCTCTGGACTTCTCTTTAGCACTGGGCACCCAGCTTTAGAGAGCATGCATCGTATGTATTCTCTCTTGGGGAACCTAGTGCTAACGCCTTGTTTTCCTGGCATTTAGCTTCCACGGTCCAATAAAACCTGCCCCGTGTGCAAGCACGAAGAAGCGGTATTCTTTCAATCCCAGCAGCGAAGCGCGGAAACCGGCATGGTCAGTGCTCTCCCCTGTTTTAAGTATTTGATTGACGAGAACTAAATATCTAACTATTTCCCGACAGAAACTTTTCTACGTATGCTGCGAATGTGGTCACATATTTCAGTAATGATTATGATGGACTATGATCATCATAAAAATCAGGTTGGAGCACATACGCAAGGACCTTGATCCGACAATTAAGGTCATTTTGGTATTGCATGACTCGGCGTTTGGAGGCGATTTGGCGGAATTTCTTAAGGAAATTTCCCTGGCATGGAAAACTGCACTTTAATTGGGTATTAATATACTCTAATTTCTTTTTATAAAGTCGCATCTGCATATTGTACCTGTCTACTGCGTCCTACACCTGCTGCCAAGTGAATAGCCGGGTACGACTAGGGAGGAGTTTCACTACACGTATATGCGATGGTTCCTATGATGTAATGTACTTGAGGATTTTGTAAACTCGATCTCGAGAATAACGCGCGACCTTTCATATCGTGTACTAGCTATTTAGTACGACGCCGGTATGCCTTGTCAAGGTCTGCTATATGTGCGTTTAGTATATAGTACACGATATTTATTTATAAATTCTGATTTGTTGACGCTTATTCCCTTGACCCATCGTAAAATGCTAGGGGTATTGCGGTTGGTATAAAATATAGATTGCCTTTCATACCGTCCGCGTTCTTATAACGTACAGATACAGCCCCTCTCATAATGTCGCCTACGCCTACGCATGAGCGGGTGCCATACTCAAGATCTTGCTCCATCCGCGTCTCCTTAATTCGGCACCTACTACGCCGTTCACACGAGTGCCGATAGGATCTCCGGCCTTGTTGATAAGGACGCAGGCGTTGTCGTCGAAGCGGACGACGCTGCCATCAGGGCGCTGGACCTGCTTCCTGGTGCGTACAACAATAGCGTGACGTATATCGCCGCGCTTGACTTTATTTGCCGCTGAAGCTGCACCCATACCGGCATCACTTGCGCCTCGCTGCTTTTGGACGATAGCTACTATTCTGTCACCTGACGTATCTAGTTTAGCGACGGACGGTCATCGAAGGATGATCGATCAAACATATGATCGAGCTATGTAAGAGGTCAGAACCTACCAATGGTCGCGTGTCTCTTCTGGCCAACGACTAGGGCACATTCGACTATGGCGGCACCCGAGTTGTCGATGCAGTTAAGCATCGTCTATATTTCGCTCGAAGTCAATATATAAATATACCATGGGTTTTATAATGATCTTACAATACCTTAAGTTGGATCATCTTGACCGGCTGATACCCTTGGTACAGGGTTGCAATCCTCGATAATGCGATGCGATGCGATGCGGTGGCACGCGGAAGTAATAAAGTGCTTAAGTATTTTGTTTGTTTGAGGTCGAAAATTCGAGGCTTTAGCAAAATGATCTAAGGCTGAATTTGCCAAGATGTAATATGATTGGTCACTACCTATCTTAAGGTCCTGTCCCTAGATCTGGTTAGTGGCTTTTCATCATCTCTCCACACTTAAGTGGCCCCGGCGTCTGTAGGTAAATTGGAAGTGGCTTCTTTTTGGTTGGTTCAGCCTCTGTATGTACCTATGCCTCCCGCATGTCCGATTACCAAATTTATAACCTTGGTTCCATCAGATGAGGCTTGCAAGATGTCGTGGCTAAGCAGGTACCTATATAAGTTAGATTACACTAGGTGCCTACCTACCTAGGTGGTAGTACGTACATCCCTGGTATTGTTAATCTGGCTAGTGACTTCCCTCCCGAATCGATCGACTGATTGCATCAGAGGTCTCCCCGGGGTCCGGGCTGGTTGATGGTTGACCTGCCACCCTCTTTTCCCACTTTTTCTTGCACTCTCACTTTTGCGCCGGCTCAACAGGGGGCGGCACTTCACCCGCGGTTCCTGATGGATTAATTAAGAAACTACTCTTTGTTTCTGTTTTGGTTTTTAGACTCGAGCTCACAGATAGATGATTCCAATTGAGTTTCCTCTAGTATTCAACAACGACTATCTTTTTTAATAGTTTCTCCCCATCGTACTTTATCACTTTTTGGTATCAATGAGCATCGCCGTGGCCAAAAGCCAATATACCCTCTTCTCCCATTTCATTATCTTTCCCGTCCTCTCTCATTCCCTTACCCCGGTTCACCTTTCGCATGACGATATATATCATAAAGCTCGCATTTCTTGTCCATACCGTCCATCTCGCTCAAAAGGCTTGTGATAAAAGCTCTAAAGGGCATTGATAAGCGTATGCGCTGGCGCTTGGGGGCACTTGTCAACTTCAACTCGGCCCCCCCTGACTGCATTTCAGCCCAGCACATAATCATCCCATTGCAACTAGGTGTCACCCTTCCACCTTACTCACATCTTACTTGCATGAAATAGCTGGACACTCCTTGGGGCCGGAGAAAACTTGTAAATATCCACCCATCCTGAGATTACGTCCTGCACATCCTGCACATTACTTCACAGTAATCCTTTTAGAGCTTTGTTTTGGCTTTATACATACTATTGCATTGCAATCTTTCCTTGGTCTGGTTGGGCAAAGCTGCGTGTCGCAATGCCTCCCAATTCATCTACGGCATTGAAGAAGCAACAGATCACTCTTGCGCAATTATCATCGTACGATGACATACTAACAGATGCCCTTGTGGACCATGTGAGTGGAAAGACCTATCTCTAACAGCGATAGTGCATTGTAATACAAGGAAGAACTAACATTCTTCTCCAGGCATACTACTGGACCGCAATCCCCAAGAACCGCCCATCTTATCACCCTTCGCGAGGCATAAAAGAAGAGGAAATCACCAAGATTATCCAGTCTCATCTTATTGTCGACCCTAATATCGAAATTGCTGAGTCCAAATTACTTGCGACAGACGGGTTGCGCAAGTTTCACGATGCGCTCAGGACTCCAAAAGAAAAGGCCGACTTTCGTGCCCATCTTCGTCGGTATATGCAAATCTACCTTCCCGATTGTCCCTTCGAAGTCAGCTCAACGAACCGATATACGATTGTCACTCACGAAGCAGCAGTGACTGCGCGGAAATTCGTCAAAAAGGGTCAGCCAGTCAAGTATTTGTCGGGTATCCAGGTGTTGATCACGGAGAAGGAGGAGAAGGAACTCTCAAAGAGGAAGAAAGATTTCAGCATTGTAGTTAGTGCAAGGAACAAGTGCGCAAGCTTGTTCATGGGACCTGCACGGTTTGCAAACCACGACTGTGAAGCCAATGCGCGTTTGATGATCACTGGTCAAGCTGGAATCGAGATCATTGCCGCAAGGGATATCGAAGTAGGGGACGAGATTACTGTCACATACTCTGAGAACTATTTTGGCGCCGACAATTGCGAATGTCTATGCCGGACATGCGAAAACAACTTGGTAAATGGCTGGGCACCAGCCGACGGTACCGTAGCCTTAAAGAAAAGCATTGAAGCAACTACTGCTGAAGGGTACTCGTTACGCCATAGGAGGCGAGATGATAGTTGCGCGTCTGCATCCCGAACTCCCTCCGTCACTCCTGATATCCGACCCCGAATTTTAAAGACCCGATCCAGGACGTTAAAAGGAGATTCTGAGATGGGATCTGCATTTGGGTCTCCAGCACCTCAGGGCATCTTACGCCAAAAGCGGAAGCGCGAGTTCGAGTCGCTACAATCACCGCCGGTCACTCCCGACAAAAAACTGAAGTTGTTGCAGTATGAAGTTGATGCTATACCGGCTCTTCCAAGCTTATCTGGACAAAGCAGCGACGAGGGTTCAACCAGTACCAACTCTTCAGAAATGGAGAGTATAGATATGGTTCTGACGGATGTTACAACGCCTGAAGAAGACGTTAAAGAGCCCATTTTAGAATCGCCGACCCTGACGCCTTCAAAACCATTAACTGCTTCTCTTAAGCAGGAAGATTCAGAGGCGTCTCCACTTTCTGAGATCACCTACACACCTTCAAGTCTCGAAGCCCAAGATTCAATAGCTGTCGCACCATTGCCTACGGTTGAAAGTATTGCTCAAGCCGATGGAGCTATATTGACCCCGCCAGCTAGCCAAGTTGAGGAACCATCACCGGATATCGTAGCACTTCCAGCCCCCATCGTTGCTATTACACCCATCTCCGCCTTTTCTCAGGCCGTTACCTCCGCTCTTGAGGAGACGGAGTCCTCAATTTCAAACAAACAGCCTAGCCCCAAACGAGGTCGCCCTAGGGGTAGACCGCCAAAGAGCGAGCTTCCAACTGCCAGTCGCGCAGCCGCAGCCGAGGAGTCTACACCTCCATCTCGTACCCGAACTCCAGGAGATTATACTCTTACCCCAGTGCTACTTTCCGAGCCTAACACCGCCTGGATACATTGCACTGTGTGTAGTGAGCCATTCGTGCAATATAATGCCTATTATACGCGAAGTTCCTGTCCACGATGCGAGCGCCACTCTAAGTTATACGGCTACCAGTGGCCTAAAACTGAGAAAGAAGGTAAACATGATAAAGAAGAACGCATCTTAGATCACCGTACGGTCCATCGATTCTTAACAGCAGAGGAAGAAGCAAGAATACGCGGACGAAAGTTACCTTCGATGACTACTACAGCTACTCCGGAGAAGGAGACTCCGGAGAAAAGGGGGAGAGGCCGACCTCGAAAAGCACGCACCGATCTAGGCCTCGAAGATGAAATGCACAACGAAGAGGATGACGAACTTGGTAACATCAGACGAAGTACAAGAAAACGGCAACCAAGTATAAAAGTTACATGTTAGCATACCGCATACCGGCATATAGTGATTTTTGGCAGCATGGGAATGGATTAATTGGTTACTTTCAACAGTCACTGTCCCAATATGGGATATGTAACATTTCCCCCATTTCCCCCAGGCATATTCTCGGCGTTATTTGTCATAGCGTTTGCATCATTTATCGAGTTCAATTGTATATCAGGTATATCAGACAGATAGGTACCTTACGTATCCTATCTAGTATGTACACTGCAGCTCGGCTGCTTAAACCCCTATTTTTCAAGATTTTCCATGACCCGTTCGATGTATCCGATTTCCAGTTGAACAAATAGGTAATAATTGTCGACTCGTTGTCGATCACGTGTACAAGAGAAATGCTGTGTGATATGGAAGATTTTCAGGAGAAGGTCTCAGCCAACATTTGACGTCATACCATGTGCTTAGACCCATCTATTTAGCTGCGCCTTCTGGCCTTGTGTTTCCAACAGCAGCAATACACGTCACAATGTACAATATCTACGCAGGTACATGATATTAGACGTTTCAGGGGCTTCCCTTGAAACAGCTTTCTATGTAATAACGTACAATACATAGTACCTAAGCTATGTACCTACCTAGGTAGGTAAGGCTAGGCTAATTAAATGCTTTCCGTTTCTTCCGCGTGACACCTTACGACGTTGGCTTGACTTTACATTTTACATCATCCAAGTAAACCAACCTATTTATTGAACAAAACTACTATTATTCTAGTTTAACTACCTTATTCCTAGCTTACTCTAAACCATTATCATAAAGTTCATCGCCCCGTTTTACTAATCAAGTCTATTCTTAACGTACTTCAACCCAACTTTAAACTCTACAATGAGCCGCTGGTCGCAGTACGATACCGACGAGGAACGCCTCCCGGAGGGCATGCAACGTATCGGCTACGATGCCGATACCCAAACCTACACATTCCGCGACGCCGAGGGAACTATCTGGGAAAGTGCACCCGGTAACCGATACGGTGAACTCCATCGCGTCAATACGACATACGCACCTTACGGTGACGAGGAAGCACATGATGCAACAGAGCCGCTCCACTCAGCCTCGAAGGGACCATATACTTCATGGCGACACGAGATGATGCCCTTACTCAATTGGTTCTTACTGGTCGGTTTATTCCTGATCCTCATCTTTTGGATCATCAGCGGTACAACTAAACCGATCGAACCGATTACCTGCGGAGAGCACAGCAGTCCGTACAAGATCAAGCCAGGCGACACGTGCTGGGCCATCGCCGAGGGACATGACGTCCCACTTGATTCTCTCATCCACGAGAACGAAGATCTTGATTGCGATAAGTTACCCATCGGTGGTACGGTATGTATCCCAAGGGTCTAGGTCGTCGCTACACCAAGGGTTACAGGGTCTTCTTGTTACCCCAGGGTCCTTAACACAGCAGCATTAGCTTGTAGGCTTTTGTTGCCGGGATCGAATCATTTGCTTCGCTTCGCTTCGTTGGCGTTTACAGATACGTACAGGTAGCTGTGCTACATTTCCACATTTAGATTCGCGTCTCATGCCAGGTTTATTTCGGCCGCTATCTTAACTATTTACTACATAGTAGAGGAACCTATGTACAGCTTCGCCAGCTTTGTGTACATATGGTTCCCCCTGTTCAGGCCCCAGTCAGTAATGTAAGCCGGTATTAGCCTACCCCGTTGAGCTCATACGAGCTGTTGGGTTCTCTTGGTCGAAGTCGGGCCGTTAAAAATCAGATGAGACAACGCCAGCCGTGGCAATACTTCGTTGCAGTGTTTCAATAATCAGCCGGCATGGTCGATAGCTTTCCGCCATCATTAACTAGGATGAATCCATTACAGAAAGAACCTGCCTTGCTAGCCAGATAGAGAACAGCGCCAGCCATTTCATCATCGCTTCCGAATTTTCTAGCTGGAATAAACTTAGGATCGTCAACGGATTCTGTAGCTGGATCGCGTGATCCAATCAAATTCGCTGCTAGCTCAGAAGGGAACACTACAGATCTATTAATCTTTGGATCATCGAGATGGCGGAAAAGGTCAAAAACTTACGCCCTGGAGCAAGTGCATTGACCCTAATACCGTGCCCGTTGAGACCTGTACTTGCGTGCTTGGTAAGATGGATAAGCGCTGACTTGCTTCCTGCATAAGCAGGCGGAGACAAAAATGTTCGACTGAAGGCCGAGATACTGCTGGTGATGATAACCTGGCTCTAGGAGTATCTTAGCAAATGTAATTGAGCGTTCGTCAAGACTTTCATACCTGGATTGAAGGAACATCGCTACCTTCCTTTATCGGAGCTCCGAATCCCCCTTTCAAGGCCTGTTTGTTACCCGCATCTAAGAGCTCGAGGAATGCAAATATGGAGAACATGGTACCAGTCACGTTTACGTGGAAGGCGTTGCTGAACTCCTCCATGGAGTTGTTTTCAAATAGATTCTTCCGAAGCTCTGAGATGGACGCTCCCTTAGTCCAGGTCGCCCGTGGACCGATAACACCCGCGTTGGCGATAAATAGGTTCACATAGCCGACGTCCTTTGTTATAAAGTCAACTGCGGATTGGAGGGAATCCTTGGTCGAAATATCACATTGTACGGGAATAATACTAGGATGTGCAGTGGCGGCTGCTTCGAGAGTCTCTTGTCGTCGTCCTAGAATGTAGACTTTCTTTGCTCCGGCCCCTGCAAACGCCCTGGCCATAACATCTCCAATACCTATAGACTGGTTAAAATAAACCAGAGAAGATCTGGAAATTTTAGAACCTTACCACTTCCACCGCCGGTGATAACAGCCACCAGGCCATCCACCCGAAATAATCCAGACGAGTCCATTTTGAGTTCCTTATATGTGGAAATCGACGAAACCTGTTATATTAACCTGCAACTGTGTAATTATTGGTAAGGATATATTGATGGAAACCACGAATATAGTCGTCTATAAGTACTATCTTCCTGCAGTATCTATGCAGCATTCTCAATTGAGATGCATTGGAAATGTATTTATAAAACTAGCTGCGTTGCCTGCCCGCGCAAGCGCGTACGGGGAAAAGGGAGGGGGATGTCCGTAACTCCTGGACGGGTTAATAATGTAGCCGACTAGTACTACTAAAACACGGAAGACACAGGCATGTGAGCCTCGGGATTAAATATAAACGGACGGGCTAATGTCCGTGGAATGAAAGTTTGAAGCCATATCCAAGACTAGCTTATTCCCGTGTCCCCAAATTGTTTCTAGCCAATTGTCGAATTTGTAGAGATCACTTTCGAAAGCCGAGTGGTTCGCTTAAAAAAAGAATCAAGTTGTATTAGGTAAACTCCGGTGACAGCGCTTAGATTCCGCTGGAGCTTGATATACCTACGATATCAGGAAGGTATCATGCCGAATAGACTCGTTTCTCGTATGGAGAGCATGGTAATAGGTATAGTGAAGTGGCCGTATTTCAACAAATGGTAGGCGAATGGTGTTATGGAGCCTTGGATTAGGATCACGCTCTCGAAGGTTTCAATGGTCCTTTATCAGTTGCGAAGTGCGGTGGTGTTAAAAATGGCCTATACTCCCGAAGAGAGAATAATAGTATTATATCTTTAACTCTGTATTAACAGTCTAAGATATTAGGAATAGAATATAGATTAATTGGGATAAGGCGAAGCCAATATGTTAAACCCCTCCTATCCAACACACGAGGTCACTAATACACATATTTGGATAATAATTTCTGATATATCAAGAAGCAAAGTTCACATAGTATCCTCTCACTCATAATTCTTCTAGCTGTCAAACCCAAGTTCAAGTGGTAGACATTTTATACGCCCAATAAATATATTTCCCATCCTTGTTCTTTATAGGTACTTGCTACCCCACGGTACAGGTTCCTCTCTTCTTTGCGAAGCTTACCCCGGATCTATATTTATATCAAGATGAAAAGAATACGATAAAGATCTACTGTTATTAATGTACATAAGGAATTGCACGTCGGATTGAGACGTCGCTTAAGAGTTACAATATTGCACACTACTCTCTATCAATAGCAGACATTATCCTTTAGGCCCGCGAGTATTGGAATGGAGCAATTGACCAACACGATATCAACACGATGCGAAGCATTAACCGCCAAGTCCATCATGCAAAGCGTAAGATCTACTCTTGCGTTGACATGTTCGTCTAAGAGTTGTCTGATGGGACAAATATGAAACGCAATTCCCTGACTGGCTGATCTGCCGAATCCACTACATCGTCCAAAGCACGTCGCAGATCCTCAGATCATCGAAGCCATATAGCAGTAACACACAGAGTTCCCATCGGCTTGGTCAGTCTGTGGTTTGCCGATCTCACGCCAAGCGCACTTCTGGCTGAAGGACGTCAGAATGCATCTTACGAGGTTGAGCCGCGTCGACTTTCGCCTGGCGTGTCTCCGGCTCCGGGAGTATCAACGCCCATTCTCCTCGGACCCCACATGCCAACTCGAAGCGCGTTTGATCTACCTGGGAGGTTTGGTATGGGAGCTTATTTGACGTTTATCGTCCGTTCGTTGATGGGCAGTTGGATGAGACCAGTGCAATGCTCAACTGAAGAAAAACTACAAATAATGGCACACGTTCCGGATGAATAGGTAGGTAGAAAATAGCGTCGAGAAATCCATCTCATATATAAACATCTCTTCATTTCTTCACCGTATAAAATAAGTCTTACCTACGACCTGGCGTCGCTCGGTTTATATCTAACTACTGTATATTCTATCTATTCCGATACCCTACCCCGTCAAAATGGTTCACGTTAACATTACCGCACTCCTGGCGCGTAAGTCAAGCCCTGGCTAAACTTCCTTGTCTACCTAAATTACCTACATAGATGCTGACCATTTATACCTTCCAGTCGCTGCTGCAGCTTTGGCCCAAGTTACGCCTAACAATGCCGGTGCCAAAAACGTAGGCCAAGGTAACGGACAGCAGTTCATCACCGGTGGTTGCACTTCCGACGCTGTAAGTGCTTGTTCTATGCATTGCCCGTGAAGCAATGTTTTTCGATAGCCCTCTTGATCGCTAATTAGAGAACCAAATGGTTAGGACTGCTCGTCTGCGTGCTGTGCCCAAGTTCAAACCACAGGCCTAGGTGTCTGCTCCGCAGAAGCTGCGTCGCTTCAGAACGGGAAGTTAGGCTGCGGCTTCGTCGACCCCAATGCCGATCAGACTATCGCCAAGGCTCAGGCTCAAGTTGAAAAGCAGGGTTTCTAGGATGGAAATTTCTAAGAAATTTGTCGTTGAGCTACTACCTATATATGGGAACTTGGGTTAAGCATGAGCCTTGAGAAGTATATATCGCATCAATAAATGCACATTGTATATTACGAAAGTAAATACCTACGTGGTAGAATACGTCGTATAGTGTCCTACGTCTAGATGGCAAACGGTAGAAATCAAGGGTTAGGTATATTGCTTATAGAGACTCACAATCTATCCAGACGCTCGGCTTAAGCATTAGTTAACTATTTCTAACCTACCTATTATATGGGAATAAGTATACCCCTAGGTGATATCAAGTAGATGTTTATATTAATCCCATCCGGCCCGGTCGTGATTTCCGCTCTCCCGGCCCGCCAGCATGTAACCGGCCGCTCCCCGCGGCTGCACTTTGTTCTGTTACCGGGCCTCCCGTCCCGCTCGAAGCAGCTACCGCGTTTTATTTCAACTATCACGAATGCTACATATAGATATTAAGAAGTCTTTGAAGTTACTTTTAACCTTCACTATACGGATATGAAGTATTAAGCATCATTGGATTTCGTTATATATGATTGTATCCGTATCGAGAGGGGAAAAGAGGCTTTACCTGTCGTGTAACACTCTATTAATTACCTTAACCTAGGTACTTTTCTATTAATTGCTTCTTTCACTTATAACTTCCTCACCCGAAATGTTAGCTTGTGACATTATTTGACGAAAACATGCCTCTTAAGTGACGCCTTTATAAACCGCTGTACCTGAGATAACTCAAAATCGCTTGGTACATGTAGTTAAATCCACAGCCGTCTAATTTAACACGCGCATCATCGCCTCTTTCTTCATAAATATTTCCCCTCCTTCCGAGTGTCTTCTCTACAAACTCCATCATCATGGCTGCGACTGGGACGAAAGAAGCCATTCTGAATTCCTTGCTGGAGGATGCCCGGTATTGGCAAGGGTTGCGAGAGTATGTCTACGACTTAAACATGCCCCTATTACTCAACCCAAATGAATCGCCTCTGCCCTGCCGCGAGACTCCGGCCGAGTTCGAAGCCATCAACTCAAGTTTCTCCTCCCAGATCCACGCCCTCTTTGAGACGCTTCATGATTTTGAGAGTTTAAGCGAGACGAAAGGTAAGACGGAAGGCAAGACGGAAGACGTCGATGAATACATCCGCAAAGACGGCCTTATCCCCATCATCCGCATCAACAATCAATCCTTCGACCGCTATCCCCATTGCCTGCACCGCAATTTCCACTCGCGTCGCCTCTCCCTGCGTGACCCGGCCACTCTGCCACAGCTGTGGCGCGTGTCCGAGCTCCGGCTGTTCTCGGCGCCGGACTACAGCGCTAACATCGACTTTGAGAACGTCCGGCCTGTATCACTGCGCCTGCCCCTAGAGCTTGCGTCGAGACTCCCTGCCCTGCGCAGCCTCGACTGCCCGTGGCTGTGGGAGCGCATGCCCGTCGCCTTCCGCCCGCGCACGCTTCGCCACTTCGCGCGGCCGTGGGAAGGCCCATGGCGGGACGAGCGTCATGAATTCGGTAGGGCGGTGCGGGAGTTACACGAGCATATGCCCACTTCGCTAGTCGCGGCGCGCCTGTGGTTCTGGAAGCCCAATGCTTTCTATGTCGACGAGGACCAGAGCATCGAGATGCCGGATCTGGTCCGTCCGGACGACGCTGATCCTCTCTCACTTGGTTTGCGAACTGTGGCGTCGCATCTTGAGCAATTCGACCTGCGCGCCTTTTTGACGCCCGATCTGTTCCGGGCCCCAGTGACATGGCCCCGCATGAAACGTCTGCGCGTTGAGTTCCATCCCTGGTGTCCGGATGGTACCTGGTACTTCGTCGGACCGCGGGGCGAGAACCCCCACCCTGACGGCGGCTTCGAGATCACGCGCGAGCACCATTATCCTCCTGTCGCCCCCAACGAGCAGGACGACGAGATGGACGAAGAGTATGTCGAGGACGAGGGAGACGAGGAAGAGGAGGAGCGTCGAACAGACATGTTCCGCACGGAGCCTCTGCCACGTAAGATCGAACCCCTCTTGTTAGCCTTTGCCGGCGCCCTGAAGGGCATGCCTGCCTTGGAGGAGGCGGAATTGTTTGCGTACCTGGCCTGGCAGCCTTCGGAAGAGAGGCAACGCGCATACGAAGACAGTGGTGAAGCACCATATAATCAAGACTGCGCCATTTACAGATGGGGGGTGAGCTACGCCCCGGGAAAAAACGGTGGTAACGGGCTGTTGACATGGCAAGTTGGGTCGTGGAGACCCCATGAAGACGTCATCCAGTCATTCAAGGCTTTGGGCGGGGAGGGTAGCGAGGTCGAGATTACGTGGAAGCCCTTCGAGTTCACAGACAAGAGGGACGAGGATCTGAGAGCCTTCCACTAAAGGGGATACTACGATGGCAAGCGACGAACATATGGATTTAAAAAATTTTTATTTTTATTTATTCTCGGTCTGTGTCTACAACCATAGGAGGGCTTACGGCCAGGGTGTCAACTTTACATCACTCACATTAGGTAGTGCTGCCCCCTTCTAGTTCCTTGCCTGCCTACCTACAAGTTATTCCGACACAGCAACGCAGTAATAGTAATCAAACCACATCTGTGTACCACAATCTGCGCCAGCCGTACCAAGAACGGGGTTAAGCGCCGCGAGCTGCGATACGGTGAGACCGTTGCGACTAGCCAGCAACTCGCAGTACTCTCCGCTCCCGCAGCGGTCCCACTTACTGCAATTATCAGGCTGGCCGGCCTGCAGATAATCAGAGGGTGGCTTTGTGATAGTTGGCGCTGCTGTTGTTGTGATTGTGGTTGAGGGCATGTCAGAGGTTGATGTTATCGTGATCGATGTGGATGACACGCCGACGCAGTATGCCTCTCCCAGCCAGTAGTTGGTCAGGCAGTCGTCGCTGACGGCGGGGTTCCAGGCTAAGAACTGAGCCAGGGAGATGCCAGCGGCAGCGGCCATGTCGGTGCATGTCACACCGTCCTCGACGACGGCCCACTTGTTGCAGTTTTCAGGTTCTCCCGACATTGTTGGAGCTGGTGGAGTTGGGCTAGTAGGTGTCCCTGTGTCGCTGGTAGTTGGGACATCACCGAGCTCATCTGGCTTTTGGAGATACCACGACCCGCAATATCTCACACCCTTTTCGAAGGCGCAAGAGGGCGACGTCACATCGCCGAGCCCGACGTTCCAGGCAGCAAAGGAATCAAGATCGACGCCGTAGACTGTGACCGCGAGGAGGCAGGGGTTTGCGAAGGCTGAACCGGTCACGTTCACTTGGTAGTCGTCGCCGGCAAAGTAGTGTACGCAGTCATCTCGCGTGCCCGTGGCTGTTGGAAGCGGCGTGTAGAGCCGCGCGTAGGGGGATGCCGTGGCGTCGGGAAGTTGAGTGAATGGGACGCCGGTGAAGGTGGCGCTGGGGTCGATCGTGATGGTCATATAGCCTGGGCGCCCCGAGTACGTGTTGATATCGCCCACAGCTTGCACGCAGTAGCTCTCCTCGGCGAATAGGTTGGTGCAATTTGAGTCTATGCCGGTGTTGAGGAAGAGAAAGTCGGCGAGCGAGATGCCGAACTTGAGGGTCAATAGATTGCAGTAGTCTCCTTTCTGTACCTTGTACCACCTACCGCACGGTTTCTCGCCGGACCCCTCGGCCACGTCGGTCGGCGTCGCCGCCGGCACAGTGGGCGTAATGGGCGGCAGACCCGACGTGTCTGTGGGTGCCACGAACTTACGGCCCGGAGCAGCCACGCACACCTCGGAGCCATTCATCTGCTTCAAGTTCGAGCAGGCGTAGTTGATGATGGGGTTCCACGCGTGGAATTGTGTCTCGGTGATGTTAGCCGCGCTGGCGATAGCGGCACATGTCTCATTTACGCCGACCGTCACGGTGGTGCACTTGTTCGTGATGCACAGCACGGTGTCCGCCCCGGGGAAATTGCTGCAATACGCATCGAGATCATTATCGGCCAGAAGCCAGGCTGTGCCGACACCTTGGTTTCTGGAGATAGTGTAGCAATCATCCGAGGGCTTAACAGTGTACGTGGACCCTTCGCAGGTGCTGGCCGTTGGCGTTGGTGTAGCGGTGAAGTAGTCGAGTGTGCTTTTCGTAACGGGCCGGCCCGCGATGCTGCAGCTGGACGTCATGCTCTCATACATGGACTGGCTGGCTACGATGGGGCCGTCAAAGTATGGGGAGCCCGCACGTAAGCGCAGCCGTTCCACAATACAGAGGTCGCAGTCATCGGGCTTCTGGTCTTGCTCTGTAATGTTGCTGATGTAGTTGAATGGGCTGACCCCGGGATCAGAGAACGCCGCAGCCAGGGCCGCGACGGGACCGCAATAACGACCGCCATCATCCTGCAGACATGCCGATTGGAAAGAATACTGTAGCGATCCAGGGATATAGACGGCCGCGGCCTCAACCTCCAGGTCGCCCAAGATGGTTTGATTTCCGCAATTGGTCCGTACCGAAGACATCCACGCGGCCAACGATGACGAGCAGTCATCGGTGCAGATGCGGGACAACGATGCCGGGGGATAGAAAAAGTCCGGACGAAGATTCTTGACCAGAGGGTCACAGGCGGCGACGTCGGCGAGGAGCGCGTCAGAACACACTGAAGTCAGCGTTGAAGGAAGACTATTGCTGTACAGCATCATCGTGGCAGATACTGTCAGTGCATGAGGCCGGAATTGGATGAGGAGAAAGAGCAGTATGAGCGACGATAGATTGACTTCAACCCTCATTAGGGGGAAGGGTAGGTCAGCAAACATCACGATGGCGAGGGGGATTTCCACCTCCACTGAAGATGCAGGATGTCCAGGTAGGTTGTGCCGAGACCTAAAACTTCTGCTAAAGTAACTCAAGAAGAGTGGTTCTCATCCCTTTTCTTATGAGAGGGATCTTCCTTCATGTTACATCGATACCGGCCATGAATGAAATCTGGTAAAAATAAACAATCGTAACTGATATAGCCCTATCTGTACGTCGTAAAACTGGTGGCTTACAAGCAAGTGCATGGTGACCACACCACCACCGATACAGATTTAAACTATGTTGTGCTCGGGGATACTGAGCATCTCCGGATTTCTCTGGGCGAGCAAAAATCGATGTTGGCTGACCGGTCTGCCTCACATGGCCCGATAGATAAGGCAAGAGATCAATCTTGCCGGCGCCGCCTCTTGGCAAGAGTCTCACGTCAGCCAATAAACTATTTATCTCATCCTCTTCACATATGAAAATCTCCTTACTTCCATGGATATAATTCGCCGGAGCTCATATCTACGCAACGCATTTTGTACTGCATTTTGAACGCCAAGGCCAAGGCCAAGTTGATCCAATACCACCAACACCACACATTAGTCACAAAATGTGTATTGTAGGTAAACGGGTAAGCCCGGGCAGCTTCAGATTGAGACGACCATCTGACAGGTGCCTGGGATGCATATCGGTGGAGGTCATATTTGGCGAAGGTTCGAGTCTGTCCTACCCACCAGAGCGCTGCTAGCGGATCTGGTACTATGTTTGAAGGCCAGGGAACATATCGAGGTCACAGGGGAAAGCCGTATGGCGATGTCGGTGCCTCAAATACAAGAGAAGGTCACCGTTGGCTCACTCTGGGGTCGAGAGTAGCGCCTGAAGAACCCGAGCCAGCTTCTTGTGTGTACCTACAAAGGCAAGCGTGAACATGCGGCATCTTGTTGTCTTCGTCTTATTTTGTTGGTGTAGGCTGGCTCTGGCCTTACCTAGTACTAGGCGTCTATATGAAGGTGACGATTACCAAGCGTCACCAGCAACTTCTTGTCGGAACATCGTATCGTGAGCTTTTCTGCTAGGCGGCCTGCAGCTGGAAGTGACTGACGAGCCGAGCAGACCATTTGACTACTCGGCAAAAAACCGTCGCGACTACAAATTGCCCCTATGTCATATTGATGATGATCCTCTCACTACCAGCTCAGGCCCTGCAGCGGCCCTAGGCACTACCAATCTATCATCCCTCTTGGGCAGGGCAGTCGTCGACGACTACACGTGCGCGCCAGACCGGCCGTGCAGTAACAAGGCCTGCTGCCCCAAAGCTACGCTCGAGTGCAACTATGGCGAAGAGGCATGCGGCACATCAGGCGTGTCGCCCAACGACGTGTGCTGGTCCAACTGTGATGCGAAGTCTGAGTGCGGCAAGGACGCCAAGACTCCCGGTCTCGAATGTCCCCTCAACGTCTGCTGCGGTAAATGGGGGTTTTGTGGTATGACCGACGATTATTGTGATGTTAAAGACCACGGTGCTACAGGCGGGTGCCAGTCTAACTGCAACCAGCCCGGACCCAAGAACAAGGCCAATTCACAGTCTCGCGTCATTGGGTACTACGAGGCATGGAGGTTCGATAGCGAGTGCCAGGGGATGGTATGTTGCTTCTTTTTCTCGGAGCGATGAGCGACACTAATTTGGTTGCGTCTAGTCACTCAACGACATCCCCGTTAATTCTCTCACCCACCTATACTTCTCCTTTGGTTCCATCACACCTGGTGACTATAGCATCACTGGCATGGAGGGTCTACCGGGATGGTTGTTTTCTAATTTCACCGACCTGAAGCAGAGGAACCCAGCACTCAAGACGGTCATCGCCATTGGGGGTTGGACTTTCAACGACCCTGGTAAGCATCATCGCTGTTCCGTTACGAGATGACTGAACCAGGCGTCCTAACTGAGGACAGGTCCCACACAGACAGTTTTCAGCAATATGGTTAGCACCAAGGCCAGTCGGAAGACTTTCATCGATAACCTTATAAGTTTCCTCCGTGAATATGCGTTCGACGGGGTGGATTTTGATTGGGTAAGCCATGTCCACTCGGGTTATTCGTGGTTGCCTCGAAGGAAGACAACTAACATTGCTTCAGGAATATCCAGGAGCTGATGACAGGGGCGGAGTAGAAACGGACGGGGCCAACTTTGTTCAGTTTCTCAAGGAGCTGGATGATGAAAACAAAAAACAGCCGGTCAAATACGTCGTCTCCTTTACGGCGCCCACGAGTTACTGGTATCTCCGACATTTCGACCTTAAGGCTGTCGATCATGTTGACTTTATCAACGTCATGTCATATGAGTATGTGTTAATACCTACTTCCCCCGATATAGCGTAGTTTATCCTCTAACCGATGATACAGTTTGCATGGTATATGGGACGGTAAGAATCCCATTGGACAACACATCTACGGCCATACCAACCTTACCGAGATGAAGTCGGCCTTTGATCTGTTCTGGCGGAACGATGTGCCCGCCAACAAGCTCAATATGGGACTCGGCTTCTACGGTCGAGCTTTTCAGCTGGAAGACCCTGCCTGCAGCAAGCCCGGTTGTAACTTCAAAGGGGGTGCTACTAAGGGTGGCTGCAGCGACGAGTCGGGTATTCTCAGCTACCGTGAGATTACAGACATTGTCAGGAATAAAAAGCTCCACCCGGTGCACGACAAGACCGCTGGCGTCAAGTATATCACATGGAATACCGATCAGTGGGTGTCTTATGATGATGCCGACACGTTCGCACAAAAGAAGGACTTGGCTAAAGACCTGGGGCTTGGTGGATTTCTGATCTGGGCCATCGACCAGGACGACGACAGCCTGACAGCGCTACAAGCCGTCATATCACCCAAGAAGCTCGGCGATATGGGCGCGGCGAGCGGACAAGATGACTGGCAGAGCTCCAACAAGCACTGCTATGTCACGCCTTGCGATGGCAGGTGTGACCCAGGCGACATCAAGATCACGGAACAGAAGTGCGGAACTGACGACAAGCGGAGCAGGTTGTGTTGCCCTCTCTCGGGGGCTCCGGATCCGGAGGACTGTACATGGCGAGGAAACCCGTGGTACTGCAACGGCCACTGTCATGATGATGAGGTCATGATGGAGATGAACAAATGGGGCGGAGACAACAACGGGTGCCATGATGGTAACAAAGCATACTGCTGCAAGAGTCCGCTGGCCGAGGAGAATCGGTGCTACTGGGCAGGCGTTGGTGCGAGCTGTAACGGCGACGACCTGCCACTCACTTTCTCGGGCTCGGTGCTGACGATCCTGGAAGACGTGGCCAAGATCATCCTTAGGGTTGTTGGCCGCAGCGTACCGCTGGCCGCGCTGACGGGAGAGGCGCTCCTATTCGTGCTCGATGAGCTTGACCTGGACACGGACAAACGCTACTGCTGTCCGAAAGGGGACGTCGACAAATGGACCAATTGTGCGTGGTATGGTGAGCCGGGCAGTTGTTACGACGGTCACTGTCCTGACATGACATTCGTACAGCTGACGGACAGCTACTTTGGCGGCGGCGAGACGTGCGGCATCCAGCTTTCGCGAGTGCGCACCTTTTGCTGTGAGCCTAAGGACGATCCGCTCTTCCTGCCCGTCCCACTCGAGAAGCTATTTGCGCACCCGCCATCGGGCGATAACATTGACACCGACTTCACGTTGGAGACTGATAAGACGTCGGATTCCCAACAAGATCCCAACGATGCTGCCTTCCAGTTCGTCGTGCTCGCATCGCCTGAGACGTTGCAGGTGTCGCTGGACAAGCGCGACGGCTCGCACTGGGACGTCTTCGGATGCGACGATGGGGTTACTGAAGGCGAACACACGGTGCAGATGGTGTGCACCGACTTCTCAGACGATAGCAACTGCTACAAGATTGGCCTTGGCTATGGAGTCCCAGGTACCATTCTACAGATGCCCGCTGGCTGCGGCCCCGGTAAGTACGCTGTGGCCAAGAACATGATACCATCTACTACCGGCGTGTTGCCTCGCCATCTTTCTCATCTGGCGTCTCACTCGCCTGTTGTGTATGACCTGACGTTTGACTACGACTTCATGCGGGTCCCGCGCGATCAAGGCGACACGCAGATGCGTATCGACTTCAGTAACCAGGATGACTACTGGGATACGGTTGTCGCGGGCGCGGCCACTAAGAAGAAGAAAATGAAGCGGTCGCTCGAAGATGTTGGCGGGAACCACGTCCGCTGGCTCGAGGAGGAGTTCAGGGATGACTACCACTTTGGCGCACTTGAACGTCGCGATCTCGAGGCGCGTTGGTTCGGGTCCAGCATTTTGGCGTGGCTCGCACAGATGGTCAAGCCTGAAATTAAGCGCGAGTTCACACACAAGTACGAGGACACACTAACGGCTAAACTCATCGACGAGACTTGGTCTTGTACTAAGGGCGACGTATCGTACGAGGGACACCTACTCGCCCAAGCGCTGCTTAAAATCAAGATCGAGTCCAGCTTCGGCTTCACCCTGATCGTCACTAAACTGTCGCTGCCGCTCGACCTGAGCCAGAGCTACCTCACCTTTTATAACAAGGGCGAGGTCACTGGTGTATTAACACTCGAGGCCGTTGCTAAGGTCTTTTACTCCAAAGGGGACGTCATCGTTAACATCCCCTTCCCGGGAGCCTCTTTCAAAATACCTGGCATCGCTACCATCGGGCCGCAGCTAACGGTTGAGGGAAGCATCGATGCGTCTCTATCTCTAGCCGGGACCATCGAAACCAAGCTCGAGATTGCGAGCTGGGAGGTTCGTCAGGTCGTTCCCGACGATAATAATGATGAGTATAAACCTAAGGAGATTGGCGATGGTAAACCGAACCTCGACCAGACGGGCAGCATGGACGGTATCCAGAAGCCTGAATTCTACGCTGGAGTCCAGGTTCAAGGCGACGTCACGGCGAAGTTGTCGGCAGCAGCCGAGTTTGGTGTGCGCTTCGATCCCAAATGGGATGTCGACCCGGCAGCGGCGGCAGTCGTGGGCGAGGCCAGCGTGATGGTCAAGTTGAATGGGGGCATCTCCACACAGGGTACATGTCCATTTACGTGGGGGCTTGACGTAGGCGCCCGTCTCTACGCGAGGGTCAAGGCGCCGCAAGTCTTCAAGTGGCCCGGCGTTGAGTACGATATTACGCCCAAGTACAACAAGCCTATTGTCAAGCAGAACACATGTCCGGAACTGGGCCCGATTCCAACCAGGAGGGACCTAGGTACCCTTGGTTTCACTTCAAACTCCTCTTCTGCCCTGTCCGTGTATGGCCGCGGTCTGGAGAAGAGAGCAGCAGTATGGGGCCCTGTTCTCAGCGTCCCCGTCGGCAAGTATTTCTGCCCTAGTTCGGTCAACGAAGACGAAAACTCAGGCACGCCGTGCTCGATGATCGAACCCGCCTGGGATGACGACGTGTTCCTAACAGATGGCGACGGTGATGACTATCTAAATTTGCGTCGTCGAGAACTGCTTGAGATGCAGTGGTCGGATCCGTACAACGAGACCGTCCTGGAGCCACGAGACATTGTACTCGAGGAGCGCAATATCAATTCCAAAAGGTCAAAGCTGTGCGGCATCAACATCGCGATTAGGTATCCGACCGGAGGGGACTCGAAGGTCAGTAGTAACCCCATATACGGCTTCCGTAGGCCAGACGTCTGTGAGGACTACGAGTTTGGCTCTCCGTTAGATGCCGGCGTCAAGACAAACCCGCCCACACAGTACGACTCGGAGCACGTACTCGAGTTCCAGTTGCCACAACAGCTCTTCGCACATCTCGATCTTTCCCTCGGCCCCTTTGACCATCCGGATCCAACCGTCACGCGGAAACTGTCATTCTGTGAGCTCGTCCAGGAGCATTGGGACATACCCGCCGTGCCAATCCCGGGTTTAGATACCTCAATGGGTGTCGGCGCTTCCCTCACGCCGGCAAACCACGTCGCCCAGCAGTTCCCAACAAACCTGTGGAAGACGGACGAGTACGTCCTCCTGGAACATTACATCAACACTCCCGCTAAGGGCAAGGCGTGGGGCGGTACGACTAACGAGGGAGCAGAAATGCAAATCATCGACACGTCTAGATGGATACAGGACCTGCTGATTACGCGCCAGGGAGCTAGCAGGATGATCAAGTCCATGCGCTATCTGATCGGGTCGCGCATGTATCACAACGATTTTTATATCCGCGAGATCCTAAGGCGCCAGAAGGATCGCGTTGGCAACGTGCTCGACTTACTCGATACCCAAATCCTGCAGGCCAACCCGCGGAATCCGGCGCCCTATCAGCCGTGGCAGACACTGGGGCTAAAAGCCGAGTGGGACACGTTCATGAAGGGCAAATTTGCACTGGTCCAGACCAAGACGATGAAGGTCATCAACGAGTTCTTGCCGAGGCTCCAGGAACAATGGGCCGATGAGGCGAGTCGGCAGGCTGCTGTGATAGACCCGGATAACGACGACGCCAATACGCAGGCCAACAAACAAGAGTTGCAGGACCTGATCGATAAGATCGACGCGATGGAGAGTGTGGTTAGGGCGCTGCCGGTTTGGACTTGGCCATTTTGAATAGATCGCGGCAATTGGCAAGAGAAAACCAGAAGTTGGACTCTCGAGATGGGTCGATGCCTCTTATTAGAAGTATCAAGATAGAAGTCCTGAAATATTACACGGCCTGGTGGCTCTTCCTTGACAGTCCAGACACACGTACTAAACGGCAGGTGTGGCCAAGTTTCCATTCATCGCATCTTAAACCACAAGCTTGAGTTGCTTGTAAATACTCGCCTGCATTTCCATGTATTGCTGGTATCGTACATATTATGAATGTGTAATAGTCAGCGCTGGTAATAGTTGTTGTATGGGGTATGTTTTAGTTTATGCCTCTAGTTACGGGAAGTATCTATACTTCGCATGTCATGTGACTATGACGGCACGCGGCAGCCCCACTGCCTGATACGCGTCTGTAGCGAGCTTGACCTCCGTAGCATTCCGGTGATACGTACCTACCTAACCTAAGGTACCGAAATGGGTATTTTTCGGGACTTTTTCTCCCTCGGTTTTCATCTCCCAGCAATACGTTCTTGGTCTCCTAAATAAATAAGGATTTCTATATCAAATTTCCACGTAGATCTATGAAGCTGTCTCTATGTATTTCAAGGATTTAAAAATAAGTTAAACTCCTCCAGCGACCTCGAGATCGGAAGTTTTATTGTACGCAGTGCTTGCGTTAACCAGACCATCGACGAAGCTGAGATGGTTCATCTCGAGGCTCGCGGGTCATTTAAGGATAGCGACGACGACAATGAAGAGATGATTAAGGGGTAGGTTACGCAGAAGCTGTAAGCTTAAGGAAAGATTCACTATCATGGTTTATATAGAACTATGCTAGGTATCCATGTTCTAGATAGCAGTCATATAGCTTACTTACCTAGGTAGGGTATTTATCCAGGACGGAAGATAGTTTCTATCCGGGTTTTCATTTGGACGTCATGAGAGTCTGTTAACGTAAAATGGTTAGCATCATAGTACTTAGGTAGGTAGTCATATTCTTCCCTAGGTGCTTTTGAATCCATTTTGTTGAGGTAAGATGTTGAAGAATCCCCCCTTTCTCTATAGTTATTCAAGATTAGTAAACTTCTAGACTTGAGCATAGCACTATTATTGAATTTGAGCAAAGGAAACATAGTTGAAGAATACAGATACATAACCTTAGGCAATTAAGCCTTACACACCCGGAATAGAATGTTAAGGCTGCGGGCTTCTACCTAGCCATTATTTCCACCATTTATTTACACTATCAGCCAAGCTGTGGCGTCGCCGGCATTACATTACACAGCAGCAGTCAAACACAGTAATCTTTTCAACCGGAACAGTATCACCAATGTGTGCGACATTTCATATTAGGCAGTGGCGCGTAAAGGCAGTGCCCCTCAGCCACATAATCAGTACTTTTATTTGAGAGGTCTTCTTTTTCCTCATCTATACTTTTTGCCCAAGTACCTAGTTTATACCTTGATATGCGACGACTATCCTAAGGCTTCAACTTATCATTAATATTTCGTATTCGAAACCTAAACAGTATACTATGAATTCACAAACAGATATGCCTTCAGAAGACCAACTGCATTCCAGCCAAAATGAAATCCCTGACCGCCAGCGTTTAAAAACTACTCTCGGTCGATACAGAAGAGTTTCGTCAGGCCGTTCCCAACCACGTAAATGTTCCCCACGTACAACTTCAAGTCAACATGTTAGAAGATCTGGACATGAAATCCTATCAAACACTTGGAGATCTTGGAAATGGGAGATTCTGTCTTGCGTCCTTGTGCTAGCGTCGCCTTTGGTTATACTGGCTACGTTATATCCATATGATGGGCGACCTTTACCTCAATGGCCGTTTCGAGTATCTGTGAACACATTGCTCTCCATTTATTCCATGGTATTGAAGACTGGCCTAGCATTTGTGGCCGCCTCATGCATCGGTCAGTTACAATGGATCTGGTTCTCCCAGGGACGTCCGATTTATGATCTTGTTCGATATGATAATGCGCGCCAAGGCCCATGGGGATCACTACAATTGCTTTGGGCACAGCGTTTATGCCAGCCTATAACGGCTTTAGGTGGACTTCTCCTTATTCTGTCCGTCGGAATTGACCCTCTCATTCAGCAGCTTATTGGCCTCTACGACTGTAGTGTGGTAGTCGATGATAAAATAGCTACATTGCCTCGTACAAATAAATTTGATGATCAGGAAGAAGTACCAACAACTGGTTATGAAATTCAATCGGCTATTTCACAAGGAATCGGGAAATTAGGGAACGGCTTATACCCCGACTGTGCAACTGGGAACTGCTCTTTTCCAAATTCTTACGGCACTTTGGGATACTGCAGCCTTTGCGAAGACATATCTAATGAGATTACTATTGACACGACTTATACCCCTTTAAAAAATTCAACCGACTGGCCGTACGCCAACGGCACTATCGTTATAAAATCTAGTCTTCCTGAGGGAATATACTCGATAAACGATGAAAGAGTATCCTCACGTCTGAATGTGACGTATTCTATCATCACTTCTGAGATGTTTCCACAAGAGAATTTTGGTCCGGGTGGAGTTGAAGTAGCTAAAATGAGCCAATTTTGTGACGACTGCGATGACCAAGGATATTCAAACAGACCAGAGAGAATCACAGTAAGAATACTGGCCGGGAAAACGACATTCTCTGATAAACATATCGACATGTCTACCGGACAAACTATAAGGGGTTGTGGAAATGGGTCTTTTATTAACACATGGAACTGCAGGGGATACGGCGCGGCTACTTGCGTGATTCAACCATGTATAAGGGTACATAACTCTACAGTAAAAGCCGGTCACCTAAGTGAGCATCTACTCACTCAATCAGGTAATTTGGAATTGCGCAACAGGGCTGTTGTGGATATTGAATGCCTTACACCCCAAAACAAAAGCAAGCTGATAGATCAAGGATATGTTATTGACGAAACACTTCGTTGGCTTCCTTATAACGTCTCGACGGATGTCAGCGGTGCACTATTGCCCATAAATATGACTGGTTCGCTCCTTGCCCAAAAATGCCTATATTTTATAGCCAATGGCTTCTTAACGGGTTCTGGGTCTTTCGAAATACGCGGAAACTTCGATAGCGCTCTGAAAGGCGTCGGTGGAAAGACAGATGACAAAGGCATGATTATTAACGAATTCGACGGGTCAGATATTATACGAAATCTCTATAACTATGGTCATATAGACTTCAACTACGTTCAAGATATGTTTACGAACATATCCGAGTCCTTAACTACTTATATTCGGACTAATGGGGACAAGAACTATTCGGAGCCCGCTATTGGCCAAGTCTTCCATTATGCCACCTGTATAAAGGTACAATGGCAATGGATCGCATTCCCGTCGTCATTGGCTCTTATGACCATACTACTATTCGTATGGACCGTATGCTCTAAGGAACCTAGGAGCTTCCCGGCTTGGAAGGCGTCCCCTCTTCCTTGGCTCATGTATGGGCCAGAGGGCTCTAGGCTTTTTGACATGGACGAGTTGGAAGAGATAGAACACGAAGTTGACGAGATGGAGAATATATCTAAGGAGGTTATCATCACCTGGAAGCTCTTACCGAATCCACACATTCAGACGTAATCATAGCATTAATTAGACGAAGGTGTGGTTGGTGTAGAGATATTTAGAGGTGGATTTCATGTCATGGGAATTTGGTCGCCCTTAAGCTCGTCAGCTATTTTAAGAAGTTAATCATGATGTCCAGCATAATAATACTGGGTAAATCTGAACTACTTGAATTGGCTTGTAAAGTCATCTGGTCGTCCAACCTGAATGGGACTGAGTAACTGCTGAAGTAAATGCTGCCCTGTTTGAAGACACATCTACCTAATAAATACCTAATCAAGAAGAAGAAATTGCAAATGAGGCAACTAGTGGAATGGTTACAGTAAAATAATAATTTAAGAGGGACCATTTCGCTGTTATTTACTCTAAAGTACCACCTTTCGCAGCTGTTATCAGTGCTAAGAGGTACCTACCTACCTAAGGTAGGTGGTGTGCCAATTAGCAGACACCGACACTCGGAGAAAAAGAAAGAATCCTGTCAAGAATAACCTAACTTACGTCGCTAGATTTTAGCAGAATTTAAAAAATATTCACTACTAGAGGGCCCAAGCGCCTGGCGGTCCCTCTTCGCTACGCTCAGAGGGAACCAAAAATCTGGGACGAACCAAAAACCTGGGACAGATAGTGTTTACTATGTAGAATGTATGGGCTGCACTAACATTTTCCAGTAATCTAAAAGTCTAACTTTACTAATATAGAAGCTATTGAAATGATTTTGATATTAAAAAATTCTTTGAAAAATAATAAAAATTCTGATTCAAGTTGCATGTTTATAACTGTTATATTGGCTAAGTTATGGCTGTTATAATGTAGTGTTTTTTCAAAAGTGTATGGGGTATATGTGGGATATTCGGATTCGACCAAATTCTTATTGAAAAAAATAGCTATTTTTCATTTTTATTTTTATTTAAATTCGAAAAAAATATTTTTATATAATACGTAATATTTCGAATATAATTACTATTGGAAATATATTTTTATCTATTTTATTCAATTAGATATAGATTGCTGAAAGTTAGATTTTATATGAGAAACACGTATGTTGTTGCCAAGGCTGTCCCAGAATTTTGGTTTGTCCCAGATTTTTGGTTCCCTCTGAGCGTAGCGAAGAGGGACCGCCAGGCGCTTGGGCCCTCTAGTATTCTGCACGAAATATTGTAAATATCGTAGATAATGGTGCGTTGCCGCCCCTAGAAGTGTGAGGTATGTTGTGAAAGGCGACAAACTTTGTTCCTAAGGTACTTAAACAAGCGTGGCGGACTTTACGACGCGCTGACGTGGTTGTGTGTGGATGGTTGCTGCATTGGTCCGTTTCTTAGGCGGTTGATTAGGCGACTATGATTCTGTATGCTTTTATTGACGGCTGTCATTGTCGCAAACACGATTCAGTACCTGGTATCCCCCGCACCCATTACAACGGGATTGTATTGTGGCCCAAAGAACTGCCTGGCATCTTTATGCCTAATTATCCATATGTAAAAAAAGAAGCTTTGTGTTGTCCGGTACGACATATGATTTCTAACCTCCTTGGTTTTATTTTGACGCGAATACAAATGCAACACGGCGGGCCGTCCCTGCGCCTGCGCTTCTGTCGAAGTACATCACCTTGCCGTATACCAGAAGGATAAAGACTTGTTAAAAATATCATGGCGGCAGTACAAAGAAGCAACTATCTCCCTTACCTTCAACAACTCCTCGACACTCAAGGCGACACGGAGGGCGTGGCCATAGAAAGCGTATGCGGGATCTGCCAGGAAAACAAACTAGATATTTCGAAGAGCGCCAGGGAATTTACTTCTTCTATCGAACCCCCAGAGGAGCATCTCCAACTACATCGAAACTTTGTCGATTATCTCAAACATGATATCGAACGGACTGTAGTTCTTGCATGTGGTCATGTTTTTGGCGATCGATGCATCAGGGGCCTCTTAGCGCAAGGATCAGACCTCGTCTGTCCGTCTTGCGGGTTTAGAATGGCATATCAAGGCTGCGGCCACGCCATCGCGCCGGCCCTAATCCAAGTCGAAGGCAACAATCCGATCCGGGACACATTTCCCCTGACGATCCCCGAAGGTGCAAGAGACCCGCAAAACTGTATGGAGTGTAGATGGAGACACATTCGGTCGCATATTCGGTATGCTCTTGCCGACGAGTGTATCTCATGCCGGCAAAGGACGCTCGCCCACGTGCCTCTAGACGCGGCTGGACACCGCGCACATAGAGATCAACATATGAGCATAGGACTTCGACAATCCCTGGACGACATCCTAGCGCTTGTTTGGCCCGAGTTCGTGACACGCGAGACAAATTCGTCCCTATCGAAGGCTTCAGCTGAAAGTGAGCGCCACCAAATCCACGTTTCACTGCTAAACGCCATGGTCCGATCGGAAATGGAGGACACAATTTGGTATCGCACCAAAGCCGGCAGGTCGACTCACCTAACTAAGGAACAGTTGAGGAGGCATACCCGCGGGATGGCATCGATCGAGCAGACTCTTCTGGGCTGGCTCATGGACTCTACTCGAGAGCAGAGACGGATGTGGTAGATTATTGTGTTTGTTATTATTATTTCGCCGAAAGGATTTCCGGCCTCGGATGGAGTAGGTGATTCAGGTTGCAAGGTTTATAAATAGGCACTTTGTATTCAATAAAGATATCAAAACGCTGTCGATCCCTAGGTATCCCAGGTCATACTGCTTGGCCCCCAAGCTGCCCCTACCTATTTGTACATGGAATAGTCTACCATCCCCCGGTCAGCCTTACGACCTTCCTTAATCCAAACCGCGCGATAACTATCGGGCGTTTTCAGTACCACGTCATGTTCGATCTAGGACTTTCCGCCATGCCAAGACGGGAATGCGGCAGGCTGCAGCTCTAGCAAATCAGACGCATTCTTACCCGGTGAAAATGTTTCGAGTTGTGGGGTTTATTGAAAAGAAGGGGGCGATGGTCTGCATATCGTGATGTCTGTCATCCTCTACGTCGCATTATAGCTCCGTATCTGGCTCTAATTTAAACCACCAGCGCCAGTACTACCTACATACCTAGGTACGCAGATACCATAGCCCCATCGTATATTTTAAGACGATGGATAAAATATCATGATGATTTGATATGGTAAGATGCTATATTTTTGTAGGACCAAACTCGGTTGACATGCTGTGTAATACTACGATTGAGAACTGTTTTAACTTGGATTCACATCTGTCGAAATTGTTCATCAAGTGTAATCCTCAAGTTTCAGCTGGAAATAAGATTGCTTTCAATTCGATACCCCATTTCGGTCACAAATTCAATGTTGTATTGACAGCGGCTAGGCAGCATCCCCTTAACTAATATATCTTGTTCGATACCATGTATCACCGCAGCGATGAGTCAATGTTCCCTATATGGCCAAGACCGTGTGACTACAGTATATATATGAACCCCTGGTAGGTCGGGATGGCACCCTTTTCGTTTGGTTTGTGTCTTGTTGTTTTTGGAGTTTCCTCAGTCCAATATCTGTATAGCCTGATCATATTCGTACGGTCAAATCTACCCGTATACTTGTTTTCCCCATAGTACCTCAACCTTCTTCCTCCAAATATCACAATGTTAAAGTTAACAGTACTAGGGATTCGAGGCTTCTTGGTATGTCCCGCAAATATCTACCCTTACTATACCAGGCATTATCATACTCATTAGCGCTTAGCTTCTCTTCGGTGCAGTGGTCTTAGGTCTTTCAGTTACTCTTGCGAAGCAGCAAGTCGAAGGCAGCCCCCCTGCAGAAACTTCATTTGGAAGCTTTTGCGGCGCATTCGGTATACTAGTCTCGCTGATAGGTGCTGCCGCCCTATTCATCGATAAGATTCCCAGCATAGTATCAATAGGGGCAGATGGTCTTGCCACGGCGCTCTACCTTGCTAGTGCCATTGTAAGTAAATCCACAGGATGAATCTTGACTTTCAGGTTCGGTAGTGGATATTAATATGCTGATATCACGCTGTGCTAGGCATTGACAATCGCTTTAAAACCCGTGCCGAGCTGCACAAGTGATGATGACAGGAGCGTCTATCAAAGGACTGTCAATAAGCTACTGAATGGTGGCTGTGGGACTCTTGCCCATGAAACTATCTGTCCGGATTTAGCTGATCATGCGGGTGACTTGAAAGGTCGATGTCAAAGAGCACAGGTCGGTACCTATTTATAATATTTCTAATGTCAATACACTTGGAGCAGAACACGGATCCATTCCAAGTAAAATAATTACCTAGAACATTGAGATAAGATACATACTAATCCCAAATCATGTGCTAGGCCGACTACGTATTCGAATATTTAGCCTTCATTTTTGGAGTCGCCATTGTCGCTTTGACCTTCTTCTATAATAGGAGCAAAGGAGGCAGAAGCGCAGCCTATGTTTAAAGAGGCCACCCGCGGATTCCAAACTACCTAATCATCAATTTGGTTGAATTGGAAGGCTTTCGAAGAAACGTATGCGTAATACGATGGGGTACGTTCACGTATATGAAAAGGGATGATTATGAACCCCTTCTGATTCTTCGGTTGATTTATTTGTGGAACATTCCACCGTGGTACACTCCCTTGGAGATATGGAATCTGAGACGACTACCTACGTACCTTAGGCCTACACGTTAGGCCCAATATAGCTTTCCTGTTCGATTGCTTGGAAGGGTGGAGTTTGCCAATTATTTCTCTACGAAGGCTATATCTAATCGACCTAAATCAAGAACATAGTGCTAGTTATTAGTAAAAAGTGTCATTATAAATAGAATATGTTTCATCGAGGCATTTTCGTCTACCTGTGATATGCTTTGAACCCGGATATGAGAATATTAATATGATCGTTCCCCATTCCTTAAGCCCCGTAGACTCCGCACTACGCATTGTTGGACAAGATGGTATGCGTTCGTTTGATACTTTAACTAGAACTAAATAAGGTTCTAGTCCTCAAGGGCGGTTCTGCTTGGTGCTATTATCCTATGCTGTAAAAGTTCCATTCGCCCTCAATTCGTCAAAACATTCCCATTCCAACTAATGATGTGAATGGGGTAATTCCTTGTATCTAACGGCATCTATACCAAGACTGGCCTCAAGTGGTCTCGTGCTATTCAAATGAATCAAATTCAAGTAAGGATTGACTTTTGTTGCTCTGACTTCGCGGATCCGGAGGGGGGCAAGTCCGCAACACCACTCGTGGTTCGGAATTCCGTAACTAAGCTACCGCCATAAGACGTGATAAACAAACCCGGCGTGGAGGTTCTCCATGTCTCGGACGCCGATGTTGCCTAGTTGCTTTACACTTATTGAATGCATGGCCATAGTGAAGAAGTGGTCTCACGAACACCCTGATCGTGCACCGATCCCATTTATGCTGGAGTTCAAAACAACTGAAACCGGGACTGGAGGTGGGGCTCCCCCTATTCCGTGGAACCTAAGGTACTCACGCGGTTTAAAGGCGGAATAGCTGTGCGGTGTAATCCAATTATCGGAAAGGATAATTGCGTTAATACGCTACTGGAGCCCAGGGAGTGTTTACGAGATTCACAGATGTTAAATTAAGAATATTACTCTTCATGCATCTTAGGTAATGTAACTAACTGTAAGTGTTAAGATATTATCGTAATCTGTTTCGCCAGGATATCTGTATCAAAGCTCATTGATGCCCACTAGACCGCAATGCTACCCGTCAATCTGATATCCCGACTACTAGCACCGACGTATAAGTCATATCGGCCAGCTTGTACGATCCAACCCTGAGTGACAACATCCCACACACTTAAATCACGTCTTGTAAGTTCGAAAGTGATCTCTGCGGACACTCCTGGGGCGAGAGGAATTTTTTCGAAGCCGCGTAACTGCTTCGGCGGGCTGTTTGGGATGCCGAGGTAGAGTTGTGCTACTTCCGCGCCGGATACCTTGCCGGAGTTGGTAATCGTCGCATTAACTATAGCAACAACATTCCACAAAGCTTCGTCGTGACTCGGAATAGAGGGTCCTTGCGGCTCCGGCGTAATACTCAGGGGCTCGACCGAGAGCGAAGAATAATTAAATGTCGTGTACGATAGGCCATACCCAAATTCGTATCGTGGTGCTATATTATTCTCGTCAAAGTGGCGATAATCGACGTAGACCTTTTCAGTAAAATCACATTGCGGGTCTGTCCTATTTGATGGACCGCGACCGCACGGGGCGTATACTGCATAATCACTTTCGTTCTTAGCCAACGTATACGGTAGCTTTCCCGAAAATACAGCCTCTCCATAGAGGAGCTGGACTAGGGCTTCTCCGCTGTCCTGGCCTGGTAGGTGAGCAATAATTGTTGCAGTGACGTTAGGATGATCGATCCACTGATCTACGAGACGGATGCCTGCGGCATGTATAACGACGATGGTGTTTAGACACTTAGATGCCACGTTCAACACGAGCCCGTCGCTAAAGTCATCGTGAAGCCCATTTCGATCCCAGCCTTCGGTGGCAATGGCATTAATGAAGACCAAGCAAGCATCCGATGCTGCATTGACATCCGGATTGGGTGAAGTTAAATCCCAGTTGACCCATGTCCCATCAACTTTTGCCCTCTGCTGAATGGCGCTCAATGGCTGCAAACGGGTTAGTAAAAATAAATAATTGGATTCTAAACTCCTTACGTCGTCGATATAAGCTGGCGCATTAGCACCAGCTCTTCCGCCGGTCACGATGGTACCTCCTTTAGCAGCCTGGTTGAAATGATTATCTTTGCCCAATACTGCTTGGCCCATTTCCGAGGAAGAAGTGTAGCCCAGTTGGAAAAGAGTATCCGTGTTCTTAGTATCAGGTACCGTAGCATCATAACCATAGACGGACAGCATAGTCGGGTTCTTCTTAAAAGGTAAAACATCATTATTTTTCACCAGAACATGCCCGGCTATCGCACCTTCTAATATAATCGGTTTCGATTCAGGGGTACGGGCATCGACTTGCTCGTGAGGTAAAGTGAGATTCTTCATCCCGATACCTGGGACCGGAAAGTTGCTGCCGTTTTGGCCCACAAGGTACCATGCCGCGATAATCCTAAACGCATTGAGCTGATGAGTGATGAACTTGGACATAAATTCTTTCATACCTAGTGGCCATGTCGGTGACTCTATCCTCACTGACAGATTTATTATGAACCGCTTCGGTCAGGTTGTTTCCCCAAAACCCACCTCCAGGCATAACCACTATAATATCGTAAGTTAGTAATTATCGGGTTAAGAAGCTCGGAAGTGTGAGGGCATACTATCTAGTCCCGCGTTCGCGCTCTCGAGATTGTGTTGAGCGTTCCAGTCAAGGAGTACGAATCCGTCAAACGCAAGTTCGGTTTTAAGAATGCCGTTGATGAGTTTGCTATTCTCGCAGCCGTACGTGTTGTTGATTCTATTATAGGAGCACATAACCGAGGCCACACCAGCTCTTACGCCGTCCATAAACGGCCAGAGGTAGAGCTCATGAAGAGTCTTGTCATCAATATTTGCCGAAACAGCTTCAACCCCAAAGTACGGTCGCCTGTACGTTTCCTGTTCATTGGCAATAAAATGCTAGACGCTGGAATTAGCAATTCGATGATATTCTGATGCTATGCATTGCATTTATACCTTAATATTCGCAATTACGCCAGCGTCTTGGTGGCCAATGATTGTCTCCGCGTTTAGCTGTCCAGACAAATAAGGGTCAACAGAGAAACCCTCCCAATTACGGCCACCTAAAGGAGTCCTCCCTAGGGGACCTGCGTTGGGACCAAGCACGACATTGACTAATAAGATGTAAGCCAGCTACCCCAATGCGACTATAAATGGCTCTCCGTATACATACCTCCTTTGGCCTTGAACTCATAGCCCATATAGAAGGCTCTTTGGTACGTCAGGTTCTTGTCCCAACTGGCGCCAACATGGATTGCCGACGGATATGAGTTAACGAGGTCTGTAGCTCTAACCCCATTACCTGCATCGTGCAAGCACATACCCGGCCACTCGAGTCTCGGGACCGTCCCCGTGTTACCAGCGCAGGTATTATCGCCAAGAGTGAAGCCGCGTGTAACATTGACCTTCTCTTCTAACGTCATCTGGCTTACAAGACTGCTGGCGCTATCGTACGCGCTGGCCCATCTGCCCGCTCCCTTCCCAGATGCTATAAATATAGATAAGTGACCAAATCAACGCTACTATCAGGGCCTATATAGACTTACGTGAAGGGAAAACCGGTGGTGAATGCGCATAATTGCCTGTAGGACCAGAGGGGGTAGATGCGACAAGCGGTAATACGAAGAGGGCCGTTAACAGCGGAGACAACATAGCGGCCACAATATGAGAGCCGGTCTTAGATGGACCGAACCCTAACTTTACATAGACAGTGCTTTTAACCCAGGAGATGAAGCTGGACTTTTCTCCACAGTGAGGCGGAAGCACGGGTTTTTAAGTATTGCGACGACCCGGGATGCTTGCTTTTATGACATGCATGGACCCGATGGCGCTCCGCTCCACTGACTTGGCAATTCGGCCAGTGCGGCATAAGATTCCAGAAATGTTCACCGCTCCGGGTTCTTTTACTCGTCCCCAGATTATGTAGTGTAATATCTTCGGCAAATATATGCAAACAAAGCGCAGATTTATCACATGAGTTGCACCACTTTCGTACCACCATGCCTGTAAATACGAGGATTAAGCAGGTTAATTAAACAGTCGTCATATATAGTATAGCAAGTAGCCTCTGAAATATATTTATTAATAAAATTACATCTAAGGATTAGGTCTTTAGATTGGATGCGCTTAAGGAAATAAACACGATTTATAGCTTATCAACGTTTCTAGACTTTTCAACGATAGGTACACGAGTATTCCCCTTAAGACAAACTTGACGTACAAACAAAGACGTAAAATAAAGTGTTTGTTACACATAATAAAATTCTCGCAAACGTATATTATTACTGGGACGGAAAGGAGGGAAAAGGAACCTTAGGACGTTAACTCCTTTCTATTTCCCCACGAAGCTTACTCACTTGGGTTTCTCATATCATCATGGAAGAGAAAAGTGTATCAGGTAATATATGCCTGACAGGTACCTATCTACTCTAGAGAAGAATACTCTCGCTTCCTTTAGTTACTCGCAGTAAAATCATGACATATTCAGTACCTACCGATACATGTAACTATATTATGAATCGTGTCGGTCACTTGATTCAATATGCAGCGCAAATAATACTTTGCATATCGCAATTCACAATTTACCTAGCAACTAAGAAAACCGCACATTGTCGGAAGGTCGCAGTTCAAAGCCTCGGGTCGAAATCCATTTATATCTAATGATGCAGCAAGTCGTTAACACTTTGCTTATTACATAAGGTCATAAAAGTAACCAGCGTGGCTGATATATAAAGAAATGACCATTTTCTTTCGGTTTTAGGGAGTTACATGAGTAATCTATCAAAGACTTTATTTGTGTCTGTGACTACCTAAACCATGTTACAATACAGAACTATAGTATAGTGAAGTGTAAATTGTTCGGAAACTACGAAATTGATTCCGAAACCTATATAGCAGGTAACTAGGCTATTCCTGACTAATATTGCATATCTTCTAACAATAACAAAGAAAGAAAATCACATTTTGGTCAACCACCTCCTAGCATCATTTGTCAGCAATTATGGCCCCCTTTTTTCTCAATCTCACCAATTGTCAGGAGCGGGATTCCTTTGAACTAGAAAGTGTCCCTAATCAGTGCGAGGGAACATCCTCAAGGGAAGACTCACCTGTATCCCTTGATTGGCCACCCAGAGGAGGGAGTCTTGCCCCTTGGATAGCGATATTTATCTGTGTGCCCACAGCCGTGATTTTCCTACTATGGTGGATATGGGTATGTATTCATCGTAGACGTCGCGGTTCAAAAATTGGAGGGGAGGGTCGTGAAGACTAACCCCATTCCGAGAGGCGCGATAAATAAATCAGCAGGGCGTTGTGTCTAAGTAGATATCCTGCCATAATAATAAAATAGAATATATTTTCGGATTCGCAATTGAGCGAATATGATGTCGTGAACTAAATAGATAATGATTTGGCCATCACGATCAGTCAGATTGACCACATGACCAAAAGGTATCTTGCAATAACATAAATGTCATTGCTTAATATATGCGACAAGATCCTACTTAGGATTATGGGAATATATTCCTTGCCCCGTAAAACCAGGGAATAATCACACGATAGTGTTAGGTACGAACGATGCATAGCTCTCTCCATCTCATGCCAACCCGTGGACGATAGGTTCGAGGAGAACCGTTTCAATAGATCACTCATCGAGGGAAGGACGCGACGGTATGCTACGAATCAAGCGGGAGGGTTGTCCCATAGAATAGCCCTTTATAATTTAATTGAATTCCACATTGTGACTTTCTAGGCCTACAGTTATCCCTCAAGTGCCGATCATACGAATCTTTCGTGCGTGCGTGGACTGAGACATACTACAGAATCATGAGTCAACCCAATCCAACTACTGAGAATCAAGGGGCGATAGGCATGCAGTAGAATCAGGGCTATCCATTCCCTTGAAATCATACCGAGAGCCATTCAGATACAAAAGCTGTGAGAATCCCCGAGTTATCTGGCATTATTCACTCAGCAACATCTACTAACTCGTCACTCATTCACAGTCATTCATTTACCTAGTTTTGCACTCGCATTTAAATTCAAATTCAACTATTCAATTCCTATCCTTCCTGATTCTTCCCAACCCTTTCCAAATCAACCATTCAAAATGCAGCAACGCGCAATCATCGCTCTCATCGCCCTGCTCGCAGCAGCCGCCAACACCGCGCCAGTCAACTCGGCACCCGGCGTCGGAGCTCTTGCAGCCCACGATGTCAAGGTCGTTCAGAATACTCCCCGTGCCCCTCCCACTGTGCCTGGTGTCACCGCTGGAGGTGCCGGCATAAAGGGAGAATCCAAGAAGGGCCACAAGTCCGGCGCTGCCGGTCAGCAGGCCGCGGCAGGGGAACAGCATGCCGTTGAAGGTAGCCATGTAGCCGGCAATCAAGGCCAAAAGGCTCATAAGGAGGGCCAGTTCACGAACAATGACGAACAGCACGCTGGTTATGAGGGCCAGGAAGCTGCCAGGCAGGGACACAAGTCCGCTCAGGAACAACACCAGTCCCACGAACACGGCACTGAGGGTAGCCGAGCTGGTAACTACGGTGCTGACCGGAGCGCTTCGAAGAATGGTGTTGCCCACAACAACAAGAACGGCGCCAACAGTGCCGACAGGGCCTCATTGGACAAGGCCGACGGCTTCGAGGCCGGATTCGAAGGATCCAAGTCCGGATTCGAGGGATCCAGAGCCGGCTATGAAGGCTCCAAGCACGGCAAACAAGGGTACAAGTCGGGTACCGAAGGTTCCCACTCCGGATTCGAAGGCTCGCAGGGCGCTGCTGAAGGATCCAAGGTCGCAGCTGAGGGTTCCAGGGTCAAGGCGGAGGGCGATAAGGAGGAAAGCGGGCTTTCTGGACTTCTCGGTGGTTTCAAAGGCTTCAGTTCGCACTAGAGGTAAAGCTACCAGTCCTCTCTTGTGATATTCTATTCTGGCATTCACTAACCATATTCAGGCTTCGCCACCGATCCTTATCAACACCCTTCGTCTCCCGTCCATAGACCTCGTACACGACGGGCAGCAGAGATTGAAAATGGGAGATTGAAAAATTGGGGGGGGGTTCATGGTATGCATTAGTAGCAGTTCAGTTTTGAAGTAACAATTGGTTCCGTGTTGCCTGGTGTATTAATAGATTCTGATTTCCATTGATTTCTGGCTTAACCGAATCCAAGCATCCGCTGGCCCTTCCTCGTGACTATCATTTCCTTAGGAATACATTATTTTTCTTGCCTAATTATCGCATGCTTCCAATTCCGCTATCTAATGTGTTCTATCGTAATGTAATCTATCCAACGCCTCTCATATACCAACCCTACCGTGATATATAGGTACCCAGGTGCCTAAGGTAGTAATACCGCTTATAACATGAAATCTCGCTATCATCTCCGCACCTATCTTCCATACTATGCCTCTTACTTACGGGGTAGACCTATGCTTGCAATATTAGCAATTAGGGTTTTAAATTGAGGACCAAGTGCATCGATGACGATTGAGACGTTAGGGGGTTCGGGCCACGCCTGTTCTTCCTGCCGAGTAAGAGCATCTGGGTCCCAAGTCTCTGCTTTGGCGACAGCCTCAGTCTTTCCAAGAGCTTTTACACCCTTGACGTCTTTCCCACTCCTTGGTGGGCCTCTTGGTGTGTTTGGTGTAACAATAGTCTCATCTAACAGACAGTGCCAACGCGTTATGTACACCCCTGGACCGCCCATGCTTCCACATGTCTCTTTATTTTCGTAGGAAGCTAGGCCATCGATAATACTCTGCATCCGTACCAATGATACGTTTTCTGATGTGGAGAGATATTCAACGTGGTCATCGATGATGGCCCTGACACTACTCTGCTGATTGGGTGGAAGTTTACTAAACAGATCCTGCAGACTCCCGTCCATTTCTCTGCGGTCAGAAGGGTTGCTACCTTGATCGGCCCGTCGGAAGGTCTCGAGGCTTTTCTTAGCCCAATTTAGCCACGTTGTCCGCAAGTCCGGACACCCCTCAGCGAAGTCCCGTAGATAGTCGTATGCTAACTGGCGGTTCCGTTTTAATAAAGCGACGTAATCCTCGACGGATGGCGGTGTAGTTCTGTCCTGTGCTTTGCTGCTATCTCGCTCCTTCGGTTTGCTTGTCTCTATCAAGTCCGTCAAAAAGCTCTCGACAGAGCTAAGATGCTTGCGTATGTCAACGTTCTTGTGAATGTCTCGAATCATAGGTTCGAAGACGGACACGACATCTCGCACGATAGTCGTGGTTAAATCCGGAGTCTGGCGGCAGAGAACCTCGGTAATTTTCTCCCTATCTCGGATCGCGAGCTGAGCTGAGTAATATTGTAAACATTGGGCATGCTGCTCCTCTGTAAGAGATTCTAGCGATGTCTTGTCTTTGACCTCTAGAATAGCAGCGATTATGGATTTTTCATCCCTCTTACTCGATTCACGAAGTGATTCGTGTTGGTCCCTAGAGGCTTGCAGGTGTTCGTCGATTGCGGTTAGGCATGATTCACTAGGTCTATCTTTGTTTCGCTTAATGTTGTCGATAGCCTTGCGAAACTCGCCGGTATCCCATTCTAGCACTAAAGATATTATCCTAAGGATGGTTAGGTTAGTTCCTCCCGAATATATTGTCAAGCACGCACCTTTGTAACAGGTTCATCCCATCTGAGGCATTCTGCGTCAAGCCAAGCCAATTTGAAATTGCGCCAACACTAACTTTTGCTAGAAATAACTTAACCATGGCGTTGATCATAGTTCCGGCATTTCCGACTCGTAGTGTTTGTCCAATCACCGTATATGGGATCAATCCATGGATGTTATTGATCAACTTGAGTAAATAGGGGCCTTCCGCTGAGAGGACGAAAAGATGGTGTAGAAACGTAGCTACATATATTATAGCGAGATTAACAGCAGCATCAACCGCCGGCGAATGATCCTCGAGGTTTGCAGTCTTGGTGAAGTGATCGAATAACTCATCAATCAAGTTCCCGTAGACTAAATGTTGAACTACATCATCCCAAGCCCTAGAAAGGTCTTCCGCTTTACGGGTATCATATTGGCCATGTAGGTTCGGTAGCTCATCGTTTGGTACGCCACTTAACAGACCCCTAGTGATGCATTCGTGAATAACTGAGGCGGCCGAGGCCAACCGTTTCCTACTACCCAGTGTCCCTTTATCGTAGCTTTCTGACAGTTCTGCCTCGCCGAATCTTCTCATAATACTTCGGAACTTGGTAGTCCAGAATTCTGAGGCAAGATCTCTGACCCCAGGAATAGGAAGAATTAATCTGGTAAGAAGAAGTTGCAGCAATGGAGATGCCGATTTTCTCTCTCCGTTACTGCCTCCGTTGCGTGTTGGAGGGTCAAATGGATAACCATATTGCTCTATAGCTTCGGGGTACTTAAAACTCTCAGCTTCTGAGTAAGTCTCATGGTGAACGAGAATGTCGACTAAAGCCCCTAACTGCTGCGGAGACAAAGTTGTGGAGGGCATGGCAGGAGACTGGAGAATGTGGGTTAAGAAAATGCAAAAAGGGGGAGAAACGTACTTGTTTAATCCATATAATATGGTATTAATACATTACGACTTCTTGGAGTTTCTTAAGCTGGGGTTTAAAACCAGTACGAGACTAGGTACTTGATCAGGTACCCAATTGGTTTTATGGGAGTAGAAGACTTTCAAAATTCGAGTCTTTGGGTAACCTTTTGGGATGGATTGCTGACGTCATATGGAATAAGTGGCTCAAACACCTGTCAAACCCGACAGGAACAAAAACCAAAACCCACTAGCTCGAGGCAATATTTGCCCCACTTTCGTATTACATAATACTCAGGGGTAAGCGACATTTATGTATTGTACCTAAATTTATGCAACTCACTATTCGCAACAAATTATTCACCCGATGATCCCCCGCAAACACTCTAATCCAAACCTGGTCAGACTTTCATCCATCATCATATGATAACCTCAAAATGACTTATGAGGACAATGCCACCAGGCCGCGATGATATTAATGGCTCGCCCCGGGATATATATACTGGGGTTCTCCCTGTAATACCATCCGATTTGGGTCCAGATAATCCGTCCCGTAATAATGCCGCAACTGCCGCGTCCGCCGCCGGTGTTCGAGCCTTGAGCGCCCAGGCCATCGCTTTTTACTTCAGGGCTCCCGTTAAGGCTTTCTTCCGGACGCGGGTCGACTACCTCGCCTACGCTCGGAGTGTGCACCAAACTCAGACGGAGTTATTAGCCCGCGCTGCTGCTAACAACCATACTGCTTCGAGGGTTGGCCTCACCTTCAAACAAGCATGGATGTGGGCACGAGGTACCACCCCGGGCTTACTTGCGTCCGTCATTCAGCAGCACGGATGGAGCGTCATACCGCAGCAGATTCTCCCGCCTCTTATGGCGAATGTCGGAGTTGGCGCTGTGCTGTATACCAGCTATTTATCTATCTTAGCTCAGCTACATGAGGAAACATCGAGGGCGCCGAAGAGGGTATTTCCTCCGCCAGACCCGATCCATACTTTTACTGCAGGATTTATAGCAGGAAGCATTCAAAGCGTTGTCGCAGCCCCGCTTGATGCCATCCAGGCGAGATATGACCATCGTGATCTCGTTTCTGGTAACGAGAACGGGAAACCAAGGAGTATGTGGGCGTTCTCGGCAGAAAAGCTTAGGGAAATAGGACTACGAGGAATCTTCGCGGGATGGGGGCTGTCTTTCTTAAAAGACAGTTTTGGAAGCGCGGTTTTCTTTAGCACTTTCGAGTTTGTGAAGGCCCAAGGTTTCTACCGGTTCATCACGTGGTATTATGGTGGACTGCACCCTGACGTTGTTGATGTGTTGGCCCAAAAGAGACCACCCACTCACAAGAGTTCAAGCGACAATACTACGAAGGATGGTAGCCGTCCAGTAGTCATACGTCCACACTACGCAATTGAGCCGATGTTCCTACTATTCGCTGGCTTCACGGCCTCACTCACCCAACAGCTAATCCTTCATCCATTAAACCATATTCAAGTTGAACATTGGGACCATCTAGAAGATCTCGACGCTAAAGCAGCCAAGTTGAGAAACTCAGCAGCCGCGAACCCCGATAAGCCTAGACGTAGGTGGCGCATGCTCCGAGCTTATTATCACGCCTACCAAGAAACTTGGGCTAAGTGCACCGCTGAAGCAACCTCGGAAGGGAAAGGTCTGACACGGTGGTTATATCGCGGATTTTGGTGGAATACCAGTAAGTCTTCCCCTGTCGTAAATAAGCCAGTACCTAGGTCAGATCAACTTGGTGGAAGATATATCTAACAAATTCCTACAGTCCGACAGGTGCCAAGTACCAGTGCTGGTCTAATTATCTTCGAGCTTGTCCGACGTAAATATGGAAGCGGAAACGAGCCTGTGCGGGTTGCGAAGGACGATTATGAGATTCTCCTCGAGTAGATTTTTGATAGTTAATAATTTTCGGCGTCTTTGGCTTTAAGTATAAGGTAGGAATTCCCCACTTGGCGAAAGGCTTTTCAACATAGCGATGGATACCTAAGGTATGCAGCTTTTCTAGCATTTTGGTTTGGTATAGACATAGATCACGCACACGCGGTCAACCTTATCTCCCCTTATTTCCAGCACTACGAATAAATGGTTCAAGAGGAAAGACCTGTCCTTCTGGTGTAACACCTTCGTAAAGTTGTGCCCAACGGTACTTCCAAGCCTCAGGGGTTGGCCAAGCATTTTCTGGGTCCCGCAGCCATAAACGTAAAAGGTGGCGGCTGTATGAAGGGAGTAGAAATTGTCAGCAACACAGATAAACCCGTTCACAGCTACACAGTTTTAAAGCATGCTTACCGCTTCTCTAACGTGTCGGTAAATCCATCTCTCGCGTGGAAGATGGCGAGGTTGTTTATATACTGGATATCTCCTTTTTGGAAGTCGGTATTCACGCAATACTTCTCACCTAGGAAATGGATTGTATCGAGAGCTTCAGCCTGGGCCTCTGAAATAGGTGGAATGTTAGAGTTGCGTGGGAGAGCACCGAAGCCGACGAAGTATCGTCGGCCATATTGTAGGGCCACCCGCTCCGGGGATGAATCCGTCGCAGGGAAGTGATACAGCAGTGGCCTTTCCACGTACTGCTTATCAGCTTTCTCAAATCTAGGGTGCAGACCAATTATTAGCGAAACTGATGCACCCGCATTGCTCTAATTTCGGAAGGATTTGATGGCAAATGAGACTGCGCCCTAAGAAATAACTCACACTTCCATATCCCAACTTTGAGACAAGGTATGGATAAGATCCGGACGAGTAGCAGCAATTTCGTTATATACCCGCCACGTACTCGCGAGTTTGCTAGCACCACCCGCTGCCGACGTCTCGAGGGCAAACAAAGATACTATATCGCCAGAATCCGTGTGGAAGACCTGCTTGTCAGTAGTATAGGCCGGACTGCCGATGGAGCCATTATTCTGCGACCAGGTCAAATCTTTGATATGACTGAGGACCACATCAGCCTTCTGGCCGTTATACTTGTGGTCCTGCCGGCCGCGCTGAGCAGCAATGTGCGCGGAAATGCCCGCGTAGATGATGACGTTTTCCTCCCGAGAGTGGTCGTCGACGCGCAGGCCACGAATCACGAAGAATCCGTGCCCGTTGTGTAATTCTGCGGACAGGCGGCGTAGTTCCGCGTGGAGGTTCGGGAGCGGGAACGTCTCTGCAGTGAGATGACCCAGCGACAAACCCAGTCCTTCATAAAGTTGGTTAATAAGAGATCAATAAGAGATCACGATATATAAATCTAAGAACCATAACCCACCTTTAAAGTGACCTACAGCCCGGTCTATCTCATTAAGCTGTTCGTCATTGAGAACGTAGGTCCAGTCATATGTGTCTGCCACAGTTTCACCTTCCCAGACCAAATCCCCCTTCAATTGCGCCGGGAAACCTTCTGGTAGTGTAGTCGGCAAGTTCCCCTCTTTAAGCCGACGAGCCGCTCGGGCCTGCCACTTATCGTAGTCCGGAGCATACGAGATATCGGGCTGACCCGGCGGTGCGGGCGCCTTCGGCGTCACAAAGGTAACGGTGGTTGTCGACATGTCTATTGTTTCCGGGGTTAGGATAACTCGGTTGGACTCGCTTATTCGTACAATTGCGCAATAATGATATTGTTCTTCCTAGGACGCATTATCATCTATCTATGATTATCTCCCGATCGTTGGTGTAAAGTAGCCAAGTTGGAGAAATGAGCAACATTACCACAAAATTGCGTCATCTGTTACCCTCCAATACGACTTGAGAGAGCTCCAACAGGTTATATTCTATCTGTTACAACGTCTTTACTCTATTGCTTCAGGGGCAATATACCAACCAAATACACCAACACTTGTTCCTTAGTGCCCCATTGCTTAACTGCCAAAACACCAAGTTTGGCTGAAATTGGCACTTAATAGAACATTATACGACTAGAAATTTTGAGCTGTTCAAGAAAATGTCTAATATTTTCCAGTAGCCATAATCTTGTGGCTTTGTCGCAGATTAACTTTGTGGTTGTGTACTCTCTTAATATATTAAAAGATAGTCATCATATAAGACAGAGGCCATCTCGCCGTAGTCCTAGTATTACATAATCGCCAGCCAGAATACCCAAATTAAGACCTCCGGCAAGGAAACACCATAATTCAGGTCATTATGTAGTAAAAGATATACCCCATCAAATCGTATAAGAAATGTATCGAAGATTCACTTCCTTGAGCAATAACTAACGATTGCTTCATGATCCACCCCATCTGGTTGCTAGTCGTAATTACTGTCGATTGACTACAAGAGCTCCTCTCAAGTTCGAACTGGAAGGCGTCATAACCGCCTACACCGGGCTTTTCTCTTTCTGAACTCGTCGTCCGGATTGAAAGGGGATTCCTGGCGGAACAGTTAGGCCAATTAGCGAATTCAGATTGGGTCGAGTACTATATCAGAGACCCGACATCTTGTCGAGGCCGACGCTCACGTTTAAATTCCACTTTAAATTTTGCCACCTCCTTATATATACCATAGAACGGATGCGACGCTAACCCTATGACACCTGTTGTTGTTATTGTTGTTAGATTGGCGGTCACGACTTGAGTATAAGGGATAAGAAGTAGCTAAGACTAGACTCACCGGCAGGCGTCTTGAATACTATACTACCAAGTCCTTGTAGGAATCCTTTAAAAAATCCGAGGAATCCTTCTTTTCTAGCAACCTTGTAAGGCAACACGAACCAGTCTGTACAGCCATCAAGAAGCCCGTACAAAAAGGCCTGCAGTGAACCATATTAGAATCTGTAAGTGAGGCAAGGGAGTTATGAACTCTTACTTGGACGGCAGCAACAATTCCTGATGGGAAACCGGTGATCAGAAACCACTTCCGAACAGTGGTGTCGTTATACAGTGTTGGGGTGAAATGCAGCGCCTTCGCTAAACCGTGCCCGATAGTAAAAGGAATTTTAAGCGCGCCGGCGATAATTAATCCCATCCCCCTAATCATATCCCACCATGACGTCCAGAACGGATGGCATCCTTCATCAATGTCGTCCTCTTCGTCGTGTCTGGTATTCGTAACTTCAGTCTGTCTCTCCCAATACGGAGCACCTTCGTATATTTTAACCGAATCGTGAGATCCGTTTAGAGGCGATTGCCCATGCGAACCGACATTGATGGTGCTACTAGCGAGGTCATCCATATCTGCGATAAACTTCATGCCGTAATCTCGTCTTCCGGTGATGGACATCTTAGAAGTAGTAGCAGAGGGTGGACGCTCCATTTTGAATGTTTGGCGCTTCGAAATAAATTAAAGCTGTTATGCTGCTGCCTTGGACTATATGCAGGTTAATCCGATTTAAGTTGAGAAGCGGCCTGACGATTAGGAGGGGAAGGGTCCGTAAGTACAAAAACAAAATACGACAAAAAGTAGAAAAGAGACCACAACCACGCGCCTTGGCTTTGGAGGAGAGGCGGCGGAGTGTCGATCGCTCAAGGCACCGAGATTATCGCGGGGATGATTGGTTCAATAATAGACGGAATTGATGGGAGACGCGCTGGTCCAATCGGCTGGTTGGGCCCTGGACTGATACCTCTGATGAAATCCATCGTGGCGCAGCGTATCATCGTCTACACTCCTCGTTCTTTCCCACGACATACGATCGTTTATTTTACGAGTTCCGATACTTCAAGGATAATTTGTCTGGCCTTGTGGTAATGGAGTGATTATTATCGAGCTAGTTCAAGCTGGTTGATGGATGAAGGATGAGAATCCCTACTACTACGTAGATCATCATGATTATTACTTTATTCTCTGCAAACAATATAATGCTGATGGGTTAAATCACTAATCTGCCATGGTCCACAATTGAACCACGAAATCGAATTGAAAAAGAAAAGTTATTCAATATTATTTTCTTTGCCGCTCTACTGCTCGCCCTTTCGATCCGGCCAAGCATCGTATAGCCCCTCGTGAACAGTCACGTCTCCAAATACTACTTCCCCTTCGCCGTCGTGGAAGAATCTAATTTCTCGGGAAGCAGCATACCAAGATCTACTTATAGGTTAGAATTTATGTCAAATATGAGGAACCAAGAAGTAGAAGCTTACCGGGCCCAAGTACTTAGAGCGAATCTCCCATTCGCATGCACTTCGACAATAGAATTGTCAACCACTATGGTCAAGTTAAGACTTTCTATCTCCTGCTGGCCATCTTGCACTAAGTCAAACAGGCGTAGCCGACCTGCTTCGTTACGAGAATCGATACCATTTGTCGTCTTTGCCGCGGCACTGGAATTGCTGCGGTCGATGATGATAGATTCGTTGGAGAATTGGTAGTAGATGGTCGTACTCTCGTATTCAGAAGACAGGATCTGGAAGCCAGCTCGTAAATCACTCTCGCGAGAAGCGTTTGGGAAAGAAAGCGTTGCGGTAATCACGTAAAATTTGCTTTCGGGAATGTTTTGGAATGCTATGGCGCCTGGTGAGTTCAAAGTCCGGCCTGGTTCAACAGTAGAGCCACCACTAGTTAATGCGGCCAGTACTTCACGAGCGATCTCCTGCTTTAAGGTCACTAGTTCAACGAGACCGGACTCATTACTGCCAACCCGCCATGATCCGGTTTCACGAACAAGTTCATTGTCGACGACATTGCTGATCTTTCCGACGCTCAACTCACGCGGGAGCAGGAGTGCACCGGTCCAATTTTGCTGATTGGTTGGGAAGTCCAAAGTGTCGTAGAAGTTTCCAGTCAACCATAGATAGGTAATGAAACGATCGGGGGCGCCGCTTTTCTGGGAGGCTTTCGAGGTTGCTGGTAACTCCTTACCAGCAGCAGCATATGCGGAAGTTCCCCAATCAAGTTTCCCGGCCATATTTGGTTGAAACTTGAGTTTTCCATCTTCGCGAGAAATATTCCCAGCTGCCCAAAGCATCTCACGGAAATCCGAGACTTGTGGTACGATGGGGTCCAACGACCATTCGGTGCCTAAGGTAGTGAAGATTTCGCCTTCGGCATTGTAGCCCTGCTCATCCAAGGCGAAAATGTTGGCGACTTCAAAGTTAAACCCCCACCGACCGGCCCAGTCACCATTACCCCAGGTTGTGTTAGCGGGTTCATGCCACCATTGGCCCAACTCTTCCCAGTACTGGAACTCTGGGTCGTGCTGTCGGTAGAGGAACTGACTAGGTCCCTCTCCATGGACACCTCCAGAGATGACTGTATACCAAGTTCCAGGAGCACTTCCAAGTTCGGTATCGAGTTGGCTGTTCTGGAAGACGAAAGGGTCGCGGAATCCTGTCACATTGACTGCGAAAGGTGGTGATGGAATGACAGGCCCTTGTTCAAGCTTCGTGAAGTTACGGCCTCCGTCACGAGATACCGCTAAAGATTGCGTCTCGCTCCCCCGTGTGTACGGGATGGTCCATTGGATAGGTAGGTAGCTCACAGATGTATACAGAAGGGTAGGTTTGCCGTCGATGCCACTAGGGATGACTGACCCATCAAATACTGAGATCGGATCGTTCTTCCCGCCCGCTACTATGAACGGCCGTCCGTCCGGGTTGGCATCATGATACGTAACGAGATCGTCTGTCGTGGCACCAGCAGCACCGTTATGTAACCAACCGACATGGAAGAGCCCAGTTTCGGGATCGGTATAGTGCATACATGGATCACCTATCTGTCCAGATGGCGGGAGAACATGCGCTTTCGGCCGCCATGTTTCGAAGAGACTCGAGTTGGCGAGTGTTGACAAGTTTGGCGGTGCCGCATTGTAGTCGATGTCTTGTCTTGCGGCAAGGGTTCCCGCCAAAACAGCTGGTGTGAGCTTCATCGTGTCTTGAGATGTTGAAGAAGAGGTTCCCTCAAGATGAGCTCCGAGTCCTGAGTGGCTAATGAGCACATCATCATACGTTAGGTAGTCATCCGTAGTATTTATATGGCAGTTCATTAGACCTTTCGGTCAAATATTCCCAATCTTGTTCCACCGCAAGATCATGATGTGACTTCGGAATGCTTGGAATTTGGAGATTCTGTGGGGTTTGCGGAGAACTCCGTTTTTGGGGTTAAGGATGAAGCTGGAGATATGCGGAGTATCACCCGGACCCTAACTACAATAGATATAGCCTCGGCCTTATTACACAATATTACACAACTACTCACCGCTTTAGTGCTTTGAAAACTTGCCATTAGAAAACTATTGAAGGCTGGCTTAGCAACAGCTCCGCAGCATCACGTAAAATAATCTCGTCTTTAGTCAGACATCGTAAATATTACATAGTGTCTCGTATCATACCAAAAGTCATAAGCAGCACTTGCATATAACACCCAGTACCTTGTGAACACAGGTAGAGTTTAGAAGGTTTGAGGAAGCAGTTTCTAGAGGCTTGATGTCTACCTTGGATTCTCACTTCAGACTAGTCACCGGTGGAAAGTGAACTCGAATGGAACCACTCCTGTTTACTACATCATATTAGACGGATTTACAGGACAGTATTGCCAGGAAACAGCAAGATAGGGCACTGGATAAACCAACTGACCTATTTACATATAGTTTAACTAAATGAAGTGCTGGCAAGAAGGTTTATGATAATCATTTAGGCCTGAGGAAAGGATGCGCTTCGGTATTGAGCACATAGTCGTCAAGATTAATGACGTCAGGAGTCGAGAAGAGCAGGTAAAAATATTTCAAAGTCTCTGCTAACCAAAAGCTCTGTAATTCAACGTTAGTATTATAAGATAAATACATAAGATAAACACGCATATTCATACTTACCTCCATATAGTCATCTTTTGGTAGAACATCCGCCATACGGGTCACGTCCTTTACGGCCGCGTGAGTCCCTCGATCGGTCTTAGTTCCGTTCACGATAGCCGTGAACATATCCCATCCTATGTCTTGCCAAACTGTGTTCCCAGTGATACGATACATGACGAACACACTCTCTATTGCCTCAGGTCTTAAGATATACCGAGGGTCTTTAGCGGTAGTGAATCCAAGAGGAAGATGATCCTTCCCTATATCATCAGAAATCAGTAGGTGTCAGTTAGGAGACCAGAAGATGAATTGAGTTGACTACTTCGAAAGCTACGAAATAAATAATTGAGAATATCATGCGTTAACTCACACTGGCGTCGCTTCTGCTTCTCCTCGTCAAATCGCTTCTCGTCCCACTCGCAGTCTTCAAACGACTTACAAGCTACCATGTTCAGTCGTTCGGGCATCATCCCCGTTGGAAATGCCCGATACCCGTACACGCAACCAAGCGTCAACTTTGCGCCAATATTGATGTATCCCGGGTTACCAAATAACTTCCCACTTAGCGCATAGATTCCACCAAGATAACAAGCAAGATGCTCAGTCTCCTCGTCCAAGGTTACCTCGCCTGTAGCAGATACACTGGCACTGCTAGCAATAAGCATCTGCATGTTGTTAGGCACCATAGGTCTAAAGAGCAGATTATTCTTAGCGGCCTCTAAGAACCCCTTGGACATCATCTCGTACTTCGGCTCCGTGCCGCCAAGAAGAGCATACTCCTTAGGAAGATACTCGTATAAGCTATCAGCACAGCCAGCAAGAGTGTACGAGTTACCCGTTATGACATCCTGGGATTTCATGGAGACATAGGTGGGCCACAGGCCCGGTATTAAAGTTTGGTTTTGGCCCCGGTAGAAAACATCCATTACTCTTGCAGCTGCATCATAATATTTCGGGTCTCCCGTAAGCTGTGAGAGCCGCGTTAGTTCGAGAGATAGTGTTCCTGGAGAGGCAGAAACCACAGAGGACTCGACAGATAAAGGTTTCCCTGTTTTGGCGACCTGAAAATCGATGAAGTCGACGGGCATCCGATTCTCTGTGTTGAAAGCTACGTAAATCAAGTCTCCAAGCTCGATGGCTTTCAAACGCAAGACATCTCGCTTGCTAAGGTCATACGTTGCAAGCAGACCTCCCAAGTAGCGAATATTCGTCTCGAAGGTGTTGACTCTCGTGGAGCTAGATCGACCAAAGTCTATCTTGGATACTGCATCGACCGCCTCATCGAATTCCTCTCTTAAACCCAAGATCCATAAGGTATCAAGGGAGTCTACCAAAGTAGCAGCCCATCCGCTGAATTGGTCCTGAAATCCCCCAGAGATCGGCTTCAGTGCATCCTTCATCCATGCATATTTCTTGTATGCCGCCCAATCATCGAGGAAAGTTTTCTTCACTTCGAGGCGTCTCGCTTCCCGAGTCTGCCTATCAGCAGAGGGTTCGGAATAAAATTGAGCCTGAACAGGTAGGCGAAGAGGTTTCCCCGCTGGCAAAGGAGTTATTTCTTCGGCAGGAAAATGAAAGGGAACGGTGCTCCAATCGAAGCTACTTCGCTTTAATGTGATCGGAGGAGAAGCTGCATCACCGTTCATATGCCGTTCGAGCCTGGTGAAATCCGAGATCCACAGGCCCGAAAAAGAAGCCGACAGCATCCACCATATCACAAGGGCGCCGGTAAGAAGGATTAAGGTACGTCTATGCTTGCGAACTTGGTGATGCATTATAATACACAACCTACGTAGCCAGACGCAGGAAAACAAATTGAAACAAATTCAGATATCGCGACAGACGACAAAATCATTATGTTTATGAATTAATAAAAACCGCATTTCATTCAAAATCTGACTGTGCCAATCCCCAACGTGTCATTTCCAGTCCTAGCCAAGGGAAAATACGATTTCACGTAAATTAACCAGAATAAGAACCAACATTCTCCAATTAACGCTGGTCCCGGGGCCAATGAGACGGAGCATAGCGTCCGAGGAGTTAAACGAGATAAGAATCGGCGAACCGGCCGGGGTTTAAAGGGGTACGGAGCTCCGCCAAGAATACACGGACTATATTACTCATCCATGCCAGACTGTTGGAGCTCGGATCGGTCTGTGCAATATGCACAATGAATGCACCGCGAATGCTAGATCGAAACAATTGAATCTTCTCTTATAATTACATAAGATATAACTATCTCACTTAACCTAAACTAATAATTTAATAGTACAGAGAGATTAGGCCATCTCTGTATGTTAGATGAAACAAACTTACATTTTCTTTGATAGCATAAATGAGCCATTGTTAGGGTTAACACTAGCAAATACATCATGTATTAAGGATTAATTACAAGATCAGTCGAAGAAAGAGGAGTGGGCTTCATTCTAATTGTTAGTCTACCCAAGGTCATAATAGATGCACATCATATCTAAAGCAGTTTTTCATAGAACACATCAAGCCGCCGGCTATACTTAAGGACGTCGAGGCCTCAACCTAGTGAATTATTGGTAGGTTCATAGTCACAGTATACAGTTAAAACAGAGAATTGATAGGAATAACACGCGTAATAACCATGTAAAGAGCAAGCTATGGCAACAATAGCCAAGTTACAAGTAGGAAAGTCGTTAACATCGTTAAAAGTCCCTTCTCTTTAACAACACAAAAATGAGTCTATAGACTCTACATGGTGACCATTCCGAACGTTCATTATCATAGTAGAAAAGTATATAAATCATAAACACACTCAAAATTCTTGTTCCTTCCATGATGTCGGAGGTTAATATTTAGTTTGTTAAGAAGAGCCAGCCGTTGACAATAACGAGTACGGTCGTGGTGGACCAGATCTTAGATTGGTTGAGCCCATAGCCTTGTTAGATCGAGCCAAATGCGCCATTGTGCTGGTCTGGTTGCATAGGGACCTGGTACTGCTGGTCGAATGCCTGCTCCTGAGTGTTGTATGGATACATCATAGTTGGGGGATGCATCATAGCTGGGGGATGCATCATAGCTGGGGGATGCATCATAGCTACATGTTCATCAAGATCCACCTTTCGAAGGTAACCGTCGTATCCCATTTTGGGACAACCGAGTACCGGGCAAGGATGGGGAGGCATCAACAGCATAGGAGCTTGGGGGCCGGGCGCGACGTTGGCCTTCTTAGGCCTCCTGAGCTTGTGCTGGTCAAGTTTGTCCGCAGTCTCGATCTTGTGATAAGCTTTTAGGTGTTGGGTGAGGTGGTCGCGACGATAAAAGGCGTTCTCGCCCTGGTAAGTGTAACAATACTCGCAAGGGTGGCGGGGAGCATTGGGAGATTTGGATCCGATGTGGCGGTTGAGAGCGTCTAGTCGGGTGAATTTGGTACCACAGATACAGCTGTATGGATCGGGTCGTTCTTTTGAATCAGAGCCAATCACCCACAAAGCACTTCTACAATGGCAGAATGATGACCAATCAGCCTTTCTGTCCTGACAAAAAAAATTACCTTCCATGCTCCTGCAGCTGCACCCCTAAAGATGGGGCAGCCTGAAGAGCAGGAAGACCACCGATTAGGTCATGTTGAAGGTCGTGATATGCAGTGTTGTGCTGAACGATGGGATTGTTGACCAAGGCATCGCTGCCCAATCCGTTCTCATGTACCTGGTTGTAGTCGGCCATTGTGACGAGTCTCTGAGCGTTTAGACAAGGAGAGATAAAACGATATGGCTAGCAAAATGAGGTCTTGCGTGTGTAATTTCAAGAATAGCCACTAGAGTATTCTTATCTTTTTACTTAGGAGCCCCCTCGAGGCACATATTGGCTCTTTTTGAGTACATGAGAGGTACATATCTGGCTGGGTAGGGTGTTATAGGGTGTTTTAGGGTGGAAGCCATGCAGCTTACAGCGCAGGCACCTAAATACATGGCATTTCCGTGGTCTTATTGGTCAAAAGGGTTCTTAACGCCGTTGAGAGGCTTACCGGGGGACACGAGGATATCATAGCCAGCGCTGATACCGGCAAGCCTCCTGAGAGAAACAGCTCATCTTACCTAACGAATTATCTCCTAGGTCCTAGGTATACAACCCCTCCGATACAAGTGCTGAAATACATACATGTAGTTATCAACATCTCTGGTAACTCCGACCTTTTTCCATTTTATCAACTAACACCTAGCTTAAAGGAGAGGAGGTGTTGAGATGTTTCTCGCAACTTGTGGTTTTCTGTTGAATTAGGTGTACGTATGAAGAACCCTGTGGTGAAGAACAGAAGGACTCAAGAGCAACATTCACGCTTGCCAGAGAGCAGACCACTCATTATGTGGTAATCAATACACCTATCGTGATAACTACAGCTTCTTATAATTAATCATGCCTACCAATTAGCTATACCTAGGTATTCATGGCCTAATGCTTATTGCTGCACGTAGACTTCGTCGATGAGTGTCTTAGTCTTAGATCAACCATCTTAAACTTTACAAGTATATCGAGAGGTTATAACGAAGAGATTCTAATTCACTACGCCCTTTCAAGACTTTCTTGTTATCCAACGTATAAAGTCTAGATCAGGGGCTAATTGTGGTTATACTTATTCTTAACAATGCCACAATACATGGGCTGGATGGCCCTATGATCTTGTGCTCTTAACGACTGTTGCAATATGATTTTATTGTACGTTCCTATTTTCGGCTGTGCGAAGTTTTGTACTTGATATATTTACTCTACCTTCAATTAGTTGCCTCTTCTTGGGCAAGCATCAGGGGGATAGTATAGCAGCACTAGCTCAATATATAACTCCCTTCTTTAAATAGGTCGCAAGTGGGCTTCTCCAAATAGAAACTCTTCATACGGCTAGAAATGGCTAATACGCATGACGTTAAATCCCACGTGGTTTCAACACTTCTTGAGCCTAATAGTGTACATCAGATAAGAAATCTATTGAATGAGAAACTATATGAATAAAGTAATCTAAGGTTAGGCAAAATAGCTACCATCCTTGTCATCCGAGAGATCAGCAACCATACATTGGACTAGATCCCCGCGCCGAGGGCATGAGGATCAACTTTGCCGGCATTTAATTTTGCGGAGAATGCTTGTCATATTATAAGGGCTTCCACAGGCGCAATGCAAGAAATATACCTTACCTAACTCTAAAAGATCTATGGGATAGATTTGGAAAATATCAAAGACTATAGGGGTCTAGCGAGAAAGGCAAACGATGATTACTACGGTTCGCAAGACCATCGGGGCCGGCTTGTCGGTGTTAGCGCTCGGCTCTACGACACTGGCTGAACGCTGCGAGAGATCTTGTTTAGAAGGCCTCATATCGGACTACCTCAATGCTTTAATAGCCCACGACCCATCGAGTTTGCCGACAACCCCGGACGTAAAATACGTAGAGAACGATCAGATATTACCGCTCGGCACTGGCGAGTGGCATATCGTGGAGTCACTAGGGAAGTACAACCACACGTTCTCTGATCCCGAAGCAGGCCAGGTTGCGACCATCACTACCATTACCGAGAATGGCGTGGGCGCTATCTATCTTGTCCGCCTTAAGGTAGAAGAAGACGGAAAGATAAGCGAAATCGAATCACAAATCACACGCGATTCGGACGGTGCAGAGCTCTATGAACAGCGAGGTCAGCCGGAAGCCGTTTGGTTCGAAACTGTACCTCCCGAGGAACGGATTACCCGGGATGAGCTGATATCACAAACCAACAAGTATTACACCGGCATGCAGGGAAACGACCCCAAGGGTGACTATAGCTTCTTCGATAAAGAATGTAACCGCCTGGAAGATGGCCTTCAAACGATACGGCATTCGCTTCCCTAACTTGCGAGGAGCAATTCCAGACAGGATTTCTTGGCTTTGTCACAAGAATCCGGGAACGTCACTTTCCCGTAGTGGACGAGGAGCGCCAGGCCGTCTTTGCTATCACTACTCTGGATCATAATGCTACGGTGAAATTGTTGCCCAGCGTGAATGGCACATCCTCGCCAATACCGCGTTACTTCGAAACGCCTCGTTCGTTGAGAGCCATGGAGGCATTTCGCTTGCGTGGCGAGAAGCTTTATCGCATCGAAATGGCACTAACCGAAGTTCCTTATAACATGCGAGCGGCATTCCCCGATGTCCCACCCGTAGATCTCAGCGGGCCCGGTACAAACTTCACCGCGTATCCGATTCCGTGCGACCAGGTCTGCCTCGAGAATGTAGTGGGAGATGTACTCATGGCGATCCGGGTCCACGACTACACGCGTGTACCCCTAGCGAAGGGTGCACGCTACTCGGAGAATGGCCAATTTGTAGCGTTCGGAGATGGTCTATGGGAGACACTAGAAGCAATTACTTGGACGGACAGGTACGGAACGGTCTTATCCGATTCGGAAAGCGGGACAGCTGGCTACTGGGGATTCAGTACGGAGCACAGTATACCGGGTGTGCTTTCGCTACGTATAAAGGTTGACAATGGCCAAATAACAGAAATCGAAGCGAACGTTGTACGTGGAGAGACTACGGATAGTCGTGGCGGTACAGTAACGCTTATGCGCCCGCCGCTTCCAGTCGAGTGGGAGGGTAATACCACAAGTCTCCTCGATCCCGCGTTCCAGGCATATAGCACCAACGGTGAGATTCCGTCGGAATTGTTGAGTGCATATTTCGATGGGCTAGAGAAGCATTCAAGCAAGGGTGTGCCATTTGCAGAAGAATGCATTAGACGCGATAACTTTGGCCAGGGGGATCTGACTTGTGCTGATCAGCTGGATGGGAAGGGACCGGCTCCGAATGGTCTCTCTAACACTACAACAACAGTGCGTGACCGACGAATCCTAGTTGCGGATAGTAAGAGAGGAGTCGTGTTGGCCGTGGCTCTGGTGGATGAACCTGCCAACGGTCCCGGTCCACTGTCGCCGGCAGGTCGTGTCCCGGGGACTTACATGATTCCACAGTTAATCAAAGTTGATGAGGGGTTGATTTCCCATATTGAAAGTGTGATTAAATGGGTTCCATTTGGATACACATCTGCGTGGACAGAGGCGGGTGAGAAAGCAGAGAGTGAGCAAGGGATCTAGGTTAGATAGAGTTGTTATTTTTAAGAGGATGTTTAGGAATGAAGACTTGGATATTAAAATAAAAATATTAAAAGATTATCATACTGAATAGAGAGGATATGTATTTATCACATATAGTCAAGCTTTATGAAGCAATTATCAGATATATACAACTTTATGCAAATATCACATCCATGCCCCACACCCCGCACCACTCACCGTTGCAGCGATGGGCTGATGGAGGGGCATCCTTGCAACTTTTCAGGCCGCGCCGGCCCCTAACATCTTTACTACTTTACATCCTCAGAGCTGCGAGGCGGGCTGTGTTAGCAGTATCACCACCAACAACACTACCTAACACTACCTAGACATATCATATAAGTAGTCTGCCATCGTTGACTTACGGGGGTACGGTACTCCTATTTGGGCTCTAGAAGGACTTCTTTAATAATACCCAAGGAGACTTCAAGGTCTCAACGTAAACCCAGAATGCAGTCAGGAATATCTGGTATTGCACCCCCTAACCCCCATATCCTCCACTTGATGATAATTTAACTTACTTTCGTGAACTTCAGCTTCTCAAGAGCTCGTCACTCAGTTCAACAAGTTCTTAGGCGACCCGGCACAATTTGGACTTATCGTGACTATCACCGGGGAGTCCCTGACCCCGTCAACTACGCTCCCACGATCCTCTCTATCGAGCACCTTCGATGCCGACCTTCCGAAGCTATCCTCTTATATAAAACCCGATGAACCCCTCTATATAATTCTACGCAGATATGACACTGCTCCGTACCTAATAGCTGTTACCTATGTGCCGGACACGGCCAAGGTACGGCAGAAGATGCTGTTCGCGTCGACGCGGTTGACGCTAGTGCGTGAGCTAGGATCTGATCACTTCCGGGAGACGATCTTCGCGACCATGGCCGAAGAGTTGAGTGCCGAGGGTTTCAAGAAGCATGACCGTCATAATCAACTTGAGGCACCTTTGACCGAAGAGGAGAGGACTTTGGGCGAGGTTAAGAGAGCTGAGGCCGAAGCTGGTGCTGGCACGGGCGTTCGTGAGATCCATCTTAGCAAAACCATGAATATGCCCGTCGCTACCGATGCGTTGGTCGCTCTAAGCGCTCTCGGTCGTGAGGAGGGAACTGGACTAGTGATGCTTGTAAGTTATTCCAACGATAGAATGAGGGAATATGCATACTAACTAGAATCAAATAGAAAATCAACCCCGAGAGCGAAGTCGTAGAACTATTCCAGGATTCCTCCTCGCCTTCCACAATCCCTGAGCTCGTAAAGAGCATTTCGGCCACTGAACCCCGCTTCACTTTCTTCCGATACAAAGCCACACCGCCGAGCGGAGGAGAAGAGAAGAACGTCATACTCTTCTTCTACACGTGTCCCGCCTCGGCTGGAACCAAGGCTATTAAGTTTCGAATGATGTACCCGCTAATGAAGCGTGCCGTACTTGAGGTGGCCACAAAAGAGGCAGGGCTCCAGATCGAGAAGAAATTCGAGCTTGAGGATCCGAGCGAGATCACCGAACAGTCCGTTACGTCCGAGTTATTCCCAGAGGCGGAGGTCAAAACAGCTTTCAGAAGACCCAAGCGGCCCGGCAGGTAAAATACCCTATATATATTTGTTTTGATCACATAACAAGCATGTTGGCGGGACTTGGAATTAGCGAGAACCCATAGGAGATACGGAAGCAATGCGATTATATTTCGCTATATTTCTCAATGATGATATGATATATCACCAACGTGATTAAATCAAAAATGTCCAGCCCAAGATCCCCGTTACAGCAATACCACAATGCCATAGCTAGTACATAACCCGGCTCCTTAAAATCATTCATCCCTTTCTATTCCTCATACGTCCTCCCCGACAACATACTCGGCCCGCTCTTCTCCAACTTGTCCTTCAAGTATTCATACACGGTAAACGTAACAGCTTGGCCTGGCGCAACACGCATGATCCTCGGCGTGATGCCTTTGTAAAACGCATGAAAGCCCTCTTGCCTACATCAGACACATTGATTAGCACTAATATATATACGAAGTAAATAGATAAATGAAGCGGAAAACAAACTCACTTAAACATATCCCTCGCAATGGAACTAATCCTCTTAAACGCCGAGACCCCCTCCTCCGCCGGCGTCTTCTGCAACCTCGTCTTAATCGTGTCGATGGGCGCGTTACTCAGCGGCCCCATCGCGCCGCTCACGAGGCCGATAAGCGTAGTCTGCCAGCTGGGCAGCGTCACCGCGCTCCCTCCCTTGTTATCCTGCCACCGCAGCAGCAGCTCCCGGAAGTACGTGTACGCCGTGAAATTCACGGCTTGGTTGCTGCCCTGCCGCAGCGCCGTCAGACTCACGCCCCGGTACAGAGCGCCGAAGCCCTCCTCGCGGACGACCGTGTATAACGCGTGCGCGGCGTTCCGGTACTTGGGTATGTCGAGGGGGTCCGCCATGCTGTGGTGCTGCGCTTGCAGGCGGATCTTGATGACTTCCATGGGCGTGACGACTGCTACGGCTTCCGTCACGCCCGCTGCGAGTCCGGCGACGAAGGTCCCGCGCCCGGAGATCGTGTGCGTGTCGGAGTCGGCCAGCATTTGCTTGTAGGCCTCGAAAGACGTGAACCGAATCGCCATTTTGGGTACGATACCGGTCAGAACCGCGCCTAGTCCCTTGTATAGGCCTAGTGGTGTTTCGCGCTTTACGATTTCGGCTCCGGTGCGGATGAACCCGCGTTTGGGGGCGCCGGGCTGGCGGGCTCTTCGTGAGAGCTGCATTCGTACTTTTATTGTGTCTGTATGGAAAGACTGCTGTTAGAGAAGATGATGAGGCGATGGATATGGATAGGGAGTACGAACCGAGAGGATGGCACACTAGGGCTTCCATCATGCCTGCTCCTCCGCCAGCTGTTTCGATGCATGTTAGTATATAATGAACCAGCTTTCTAAGAGCAGATATGGTCCAAGAACGCACCGATCAAATTCGTTGCTACAGTCGGCGGCGTCTTGCCATCCTTTCCTCCTACTTTTGTCGCCATTATGTAGTATTAGTATAGGGCTTGCGCCCAGGTTATACTCTAACCTTCTAACGTGTTTCCGTTCGTAGCTATGATGTTGATATTGGGCGAAGAACCATGAAACGTTCTAGGAGGGTAACCACATGCAATGGCCGTCACCGACGTGCTGTTAAGTAATACCGAGGGAATAGGGAGCCAACAAAGAGATGTAATGTACTTAGTATACTTCAGTTTAGAAGAAGCACGTGGGAGAAGGGAGCTCGGTGTTATAGTTATAGCAGCTTGAACACAAAGCACAAAGTATCAGGACTGGTGTGTATGGATATGTGCATATATAGGAGACTTATGACTCATGAACAATAGGAGAAGCAGACGACTAAATCTATAAGAGGATCCCGAGCTAGGAACTCGAGCTGGGATATCTAAGTATCTATATAAAAAGCCAGGCCGGCCCAGGTACGAAGATTACCGAGCTCCAGCAGTCGACTTTTGCACCTGCGTACCCGCCATACCGGAGAAGTTCGAGCAAGTGACTAACTCGCCAGCACCCAAAGATCCGCGGCTGGGACGTCGAAACGCGCCCGTCATCTCGTGCTCTCCTCCTGGGTCTAAGCCGCGTACGGACTAGGAAAGGCAATATCGCTGTGGGGTCGCGGGGCTAGATCGACGACGAGTAATGACAGCAGAAACATTGACCTGTGCGCGCATGCGCGTGTGTATGTATAACTCTACTCCAAGATTTGCTCCTTTTTCGTCTTGGTGTGGACGGGCTGCCGGATCAGCCCTCGTTCGGCAAACCGGAGCTCCAGTCGCACGTTGCTATGATAGCCATTGACGGCCGGCGGGAAGTGAATCCAAGCAAGCCCCTTATGGAAGAGTCGTTCAAGTACGAGAATTCCTATGATTATTAAAAAAAATTTGGTCAATTAATTAATACCAAGTATTCCTGTACCGCATAATCTTGATTCACTATTCGCAGTATCTGCTACGATAACTAAAAAAATGTTGACAAGTTCCGGCCTGTGATTCTTAGCTGTGACGTCGAAAAAGGTGTGTTTACCGACTGAGAGCCGAGCTTGTGATTTTGCGGGGAGAGAAGGCCGGGGCATCAGACTTGACAGGGATCTCGAATTGGTACGTACCAACAACTTACGTAGTTAGACCCAGTGGTCCATATCGGATACTACCGGGTAGAGATGCTCTTTGGGGTCACTTGTAGTCTAGTTCTTTGAGGCTCTAGTAAGAGTATGAGTTTATGAACGTGGTTAATACTTCACTTGCCGAGGTTAGAGATACAACTGGAATGTTTCTTGGCCGAGCTTCTGAGACAGTCAAGAAATCAGAGTCATCCAATAAGGAATGCTTTGAGCTACATGTATACGATTTTCAGCCGCGGGATGCACAGATAACCATCATTTATAAATGAATCATCTAGTTTAGGAAATAGTATAAACCAGCCTCACATGCAACATGTACGAGTTCATATACGAGTTAGCATAATGTGAAGAGCCTCAAACCGCATATCAAAATACTGTTCTCACTCTCATACATCGCAGTAGAGAATTAAATTCTTTAATATATTGGACAATGTTGAATAGACTGTGTCCTAACCTAATCTTAACTAAACCCACCCCTTCAGCACGCGATATCACTGCGTTGCCAAGCCTTATCCAATACGCCTTAGAATTTTATCAACATTGGACGCCGACCCTCGTTGATGCCGTCGAGTTTTCATTAATAAGCTGTCGCCTCCCAGCTCGGCTGGTTTTTCGTCCCTTTGTAACCGGTTTAAAAGTGGTGGTATATTTGAACGCCTTCCGTATAACAAACCCGCTGTAAAATCAATCGATGAATAATGTTGCTCCGAATAGGGGTAAATCCGGATAACCCTGCAATACCCCCCCTAAAGAAAAAAGCTTAAGAAGGGGTGCCGAACTCTTCGACTTCTGAAGGTTCACCCTCGAAGCTATATAACCGCACCTCTCCGTCTTCGCTCCCGCTCGCCATCCGGCTATCACTGAGCCCGACGCAGGTTACTGGTCCGGCATGGCCAGTAAATGTTCGTTCGCACTTGCCGGTTCGAGCATCCCATACCTTGACTACATTGATAAGAATGTTAGCTGATGTTCCAAAAAAAGAAACTCCTTAAACTCTAGTTCAAATTCTTACCTGTAGCGTCATTAGCACTAGTAACGTATCGCAGAGAGTCAGCCGCCAGTCCCCAGATGCCTTCAACATGACCAAAGAAGGTTCGGGGGCTTTTTCCCGTTGCTGTGTCCCAGAGCCTCATAGTTGCATCAAGGGAGCCTGTAAGCATATAGCGTGGAGGTAGCGGTCGGTCGGGGTCGTTCTGGAAGATGGGACCATACATTGCCCGTTCATCATCCACATCCGGGGTACTCGAAAGCGAAGACGACGAACCGTTTGGTGGCGTGCCGCTACGGTTGCTAGTTACGGAGACAGCATCGCCGTCACGGGTCGTCTCATCTTCGAATTCGTAATCGTCTGGAAGCGGAAGAACCTGTTGGACCTGTCCGACGTGACCCTCGAATGTCTTGATACAGACCTTAGAGTCGAGATCCCAAAGCTTCACAGTGCAATCGTCGGAGGCGGAGAGTAGCGTACGTGAAGCCACGTCAATGCGAACATGATTTACCCAATCGCAGTGCCCGCGTAGAGTAAATGACTGTTGGGTTTTGAAATTGAATATTTTGATCGACCTGTCCATAGATCCCGAAGCTAAAAGACCGCCATCCATATGCACGGTTATGACACCGCCTTGGTGATTGAGGGTGTTGATACAAGCACCCGTTCGCCAGTTCCATATTTTGACCGTGCCATCTAAACTCGCAGAAACAAGCATCCTGTCATCGAACTGGAGGGCTCGAATTCCCATAGTATGACCTTCGAGAGTCCGAATGACCTCGCCCTTCTCGATATCCCAGAGCTTTATTTTCGAATCGTAAGAGCCCGTAGCAAGCATATTGTCGTCGAATTGTAAAGCAGTTATCCCGTTCGTATGCTGTCCCCCAAATGTTTTAATAGTACACCTACCATACCGCCAGTTTGATCCAACGCGATATCTTTCTCGGTATAGATCCTTCCACGGCCTAAACTTCTGGGTACTCGTTGACAACTTATTTTGATTGCCGACACCATTGACGCATTGACGTTTCGAGGAATCCGTTTCTTCATCTTCTAAGTCGGACGCCGTCCGCTTGACGACCGTCATGACAGAAGAATCCTGACCATTCGCCAGTAACGTTCGCTGGTTGTTCAGGTTTGCTTGATGTTGAATTTTCCATTCCTTTAGCCGCTTCTTCTCCAATCTCGGAAGACCCCATTGACACTTCTCACACTTGCGTCCGATGTGCTGCTCACACATGCGGTGCCACACAACGTCGTCTCCCGATAGCTGGGTCCACCTTCTGCTAACCTGGGCAGCTTTGCAGAGAGAAGAGCAATCAAGGTAACATAAAATCTTCAGAGATAGTTCCGTTGGCAGAGCAGACAAGAAGTCTATCTTTAGTTGTTCGTGGACTTCACGAGACACTGTAGATAGTTGAGGAAAACAGCACTGGGTGATGATGCCTTGCAACATAAGCTCGCGGTGCTTTGAAGGAGCAGCAGAAAACAATGACCAAACATTCGTAATGGCCTGTCTGTCGGCAGCAGGTAGTGTTTCGAGTTCCTATATACCAATATAAGTATCGGTGAAAGGCTATGTTATACATGTTATACAAGGGGGTGGACAAGAACATACACTCTGGATTAAACCCATCTTAGTTTCGTCAGCGGCTCTACGACACTTGGAATCTGGCCGGTGTCGGTAGCAGTATTTACTGTTAGGGTCCTTTGTCGTGATGGCAGCCATAGACGGAAGATCGGGTTTTCCTATAGGCGCGTACAACCCGGGGATATGTTCCCGTAAAAAGGGAGTAACAGATTGGCCCATGAGTTGTTGGGACATATTGGGTAATCGGGAGGCGTCCTGTGCGTCCTCGGGTCTTCGTCTATCACAGTTATCCCTCGATGGTATAGATTGTTCGGTCGGTACGGAGGACAAGGACTGTCTCTGCAGACGAGGTCGGTTGATGGTGGATATGTTATTCAGATTCGTCTGTGTGATATCTTCTGGTAGGAAAATGGGGCCATCGTGTCTCGACACTGACTCGTGGCCGTTGGGTATCGGTATTGGCGGTAGGCTGTCCATAATGATAGGTGATGAAAGTTGAGGGAAATTAGATTGGTGGCCGGATGTAAGGACAAAGCCCTGGTAAGATCTTATTCGAATTGCACCATCGAAGAGAGTATGGTGAGGGCGAGGGTGAAACGCGGTGAGATGGCGTGCTGGGTCGATGATAAACCATACAAAGTATGGTACAGATTTGCGCTCGTTTCCGTTCGGATGTCGTAGACTGAACGGGATCTCGCAGAACCCCCCCAAGCCAAGTATCAAATTTCCCCAGGATCTAATAATCCAACAATGCCGGTTGACAGGCTAGACGGCTCGGTATGATACCTATGGTGTACCCTGGTTTTTTCTTTTTTAGTTTCCTTTTCTCTTCTTTTCTTCTTTTTTTTTTCTTTCTAGGTATCGACGGCCTTGATGGCCAGAAAGCCGGGGAAGCTAAAAAAAAAAAAAAAGAGGGACGGACTTGGACGGGGGCAATTGCACGTCAAGTAGAACAAGATGGCGAAATCGGCGCAAGCTGCATTCCTTTACTTTCCCTTTCCCTACTTTCCAATTGTTTGGCGCTGGCTGGTCTTGACTGGTTGGCTCATCGAAGCGGTCAAAAAAGTGGTGATTTTGTCGCATAAGAGCCGACCAGCCGCCAGACCAGCGCCAAAACAATTTGGCTTTTGGGCATTTAGGGTCTTAGGGTCTTGCTTTGTTCACCTTTGTGGTGCTTTGGGGCCCGAATGGCGACATTCTAGACCGATAACCTTCCGAAGTGCCGGGCCCCACTACGGCTGTCGGGGCTTCGACAGCTCAGGAATAGCCTGGTGGGATCTGGGGTAAGTGCACCTTAAAAGCACCTGAGCACCTTAAAATAGACCCAGTTCCGGTTGAGGCTTTTCGAATGCCGCGCCCGCATACAAATGCGCTTACCTAATGTAACTAGGCCATCAACCTTAAATCTTTTTTGTTTCCTTTTATGTACCTACCTCTTCCCGAATTGGAGGTATAAATAGACTGCTGAGTCAGAATGCGAATTGCTTCCAAAGTTGGGGCATAGTTCATCTGGACTCTTGCGCAATAAAAATAGTACGTCATCCTTCCACGGACTGAGCTGATGCGAAACTCGTAACATAGTGTCCGATATACTGTATAGTACAGTGTCATTAGGTAATCTATTTCTAAGATTATATCCCGGACTCCGACAGCCGCCAGCCCCCTGTGGCTTGATCTCGCCATTTTCACAAAATCTTCCGTCGTTCGCGTAACCTCAATATTATATCACCCGGAGGATTCAGCCACTGCCGTTCCGTAATAAAACATTCATCCAGGTTACAGATATCATCCCTATGTATTGTTGGCTTCGGACTTACCCCTGAGCACGTAATCAGACAATAGCGTTGTGTACTTCGTATTTGTATCTTTAATTAAATAAATAACTACACTATGCATTAGTTAAGCTGTCTCAAGAACGTGCACCTGTTTCAATATTACAAGCCCCTATTTCGACGAGTTGAACCGTCATAGCTCAATCACGCAAAATCACAACTTCTCACCCCCTTTAAAGGAAGATGGGTACCAAGATACTCAACAATCTCCACTATGAACCAACCTATCGTAGCAAAATTACAAGATAGTTTACTAAATGGACATTACATCAGGTCGATAAAATAGGGGTAGCTTCACAAATGCGCTAATCGTAGTCAAGATATTATTAGTTCCTTGGATTTATCGTCTCAGCTACAGTAGTGAAGCATGCAAGTCCACGGTTCGGCCTCCCTGCGCATAAACTTACTTACATCAGACTGGTTTGTAGAAATAAACATACTTCCCGGCCCAAAATCGCATGCGAGCCTTAGAACCATCGTATACGGATGAATGCAGTATTGATTCCATCCCCATTTATTGTAAAATCACTAAGTCTCTCTCCATTGAAACTATGGGGCTATATCTGAGTCTAGGTTATCGTGAATCATACGACGTACTAATTTGGAACCGAGCAGCCTGTGATTGATAGACTTGCTCCATGCCGCCTAACGATAGGTATTCTCGACTGAGCCGATGGAATGTCTGATAATCACGGGCTTCTTTCGTTCATGATGCACCTTAGGGGGACCCAAGCTCTCAATTGCCCCTTTGTTGTTCAGATATTAAATTCTGATCAATTAGTTTCGTGTGTATCCAACTCAGATTCCTTCTTGTCATGGGATATACCCTTCGCGGATGTCATACACGGAGTGAATGTCCGGATAAATAGTATTGAACTAGTAACGCCTGTCTTCTACCCTCTTACCTACGAGGGCACTACGCGCCACTTATATAATAGAAGGACCCCTATAAATACCCCTAACCCACTTATACCCTGATAATTCTTACTTCTTGCTTATAGCTAAGTAGTGGCTAGTAAAGGACCTTGGGTCACTCGAGTAGTATCCGTGAACTCGGGAGTGATCATTATCCCGTACTCGTATCGTCAAGGGCCTATTGTCTTGAAGGTGTTTGCTCATTAGTTCGTTGTTATTCACGCAACCACTTTAGTGCGGCTTTTGAACAGGTGTGTTATAGGAGCCAAACCATTCAATTATAAAACATATTGCTCCTTTAAATTGCTGGATACTTACCCATGCTAGCTACGTATAATTTTAACGTAGCTTTATTCTTTACACAGTAATGTCCTGGACCTAGATCCGTACCTAGATATCTTGATTTGAGAGGATATTAACAAAGAATACTCAAGTCGCTAAAATTTCGGGTCAGTCTCATTAAAAGAAGCAATTATGTACTCCAGTCAACCACGGCCGGAAACACTATATCTAAAAGGCTATCTTGTATGATATGTTGACCGTTGACCTTCTCTCCTGGTAATTACGGGGAGCCTTAATTCATAACAGATGAACGCGAAAGCGAACGGTACCCTATTCTTTGCCATTGACCAGTGTTGATTTAAATGGTAGCGTATGAACACAAGGTCATTACTGAGAAAGCTGTCAGAATTCCACCCTCCAAAACATAGATATATGTGCAGGTACCTAGGTAAGTACCTACCTAGGTACCTACCTATATAACGGAAAAGGTGAAATGTGTTTATAGGCTATAAGAATCTTGCCATTTGTTGATGCACTTCTTTAGGTAATTATGTACATGTCTGAAAATACCTATTAAAATTAGTTTAGCGACTTATATTATTAATATGTTACATTCTATAAAAACATAACGTGTTAGAACAGTTAACAGGGTTTGCTTGTTGGTATTCCATCTACAAACTTACTACCGATAGATTTCCTATAGTGTTACACTTGTAGGCTGGTCATACATTATATCAAAGATATTAGGCACGCAACTACCCAAGTAAGCATAAACCTAGGTACCTAATCTATTTTGAAGTCGTTAATATCCGGGAATCGCTATCGTTACTTTCCTCCTTAACAACTGATGCCCGGTTCTTAATGGCAACGAGCTCTGATCATATATCGAATCTGACTACTCCGACGCCCTGCGGGTGCATCGGGCTTATAAATCTGGGATCTGAGTAGGCTATGTACATTAGAACGGATTGTCTATTTTCAGCCAATTACCCCAGTCAAGATGCAGTAGGGACGGGTACCTGATGATTCTTAAGGGGAATCCCACATAACTAGCTTAATTCAACTAGTTTCCTTAGATTTATAACATAACACAATATCCTTTCGGAACTACCTGATGCGTAAGAGCAAATCTTTTTCTTGTCTTGTTGAGATAGGTTCGCGAAACAACTCGGTTGATGATAAGTTACTTTGGCAGAAGGTAGGTACCGATATACGTTGATGAAGTTTCGTGTTGTTGACAATACGTTGCGCCTGTCTATTCTGGCGCCCGCAGGTGAGGGCCTCTCAATTGTATTACCTGTAACTAAATGCATTGCAGCCATTTTTTTTTATTTTAACCATACCTAGGTAGATATTTTTTATTTCGCCAAGCGCAAAAATCATGTTAAGATATCCACTTCATAACATCAAAGCTGGTTGGATCAGCGGCGGGGAGCAGCGGATTTCATACTCGAACTCATTACTAGGGCACGTGTTCGATATGTCACAGCTGGCGAAGTTAATGTATCATCCATTAAATATAAATGCGCTGCGGGATCAAAAAGCTACTCTTATTGCTACGTTATTGATTTACATGCCTTATTGTAGAAGATCGTCGCTCTGAATGCCCCTTGTTATTCTTCAGCCCCTTTTCCTGGCCCTAGCGTTTTCCAGCCCTACCTCTTAACCGACCCATTCTTCATATCTAATAGCCTATCTCCCGTCTGTCATCCTCTGCGTCGGCATTTGCGATACAACTTAGGATTTAACTTAAGAACTTGCCTTCGCCCCTTTTCTAGTTAGGTACCTAGGTAGCTATGGAGCTATAGAGCTAGAGGTAGAGTGAGAATACGAACTGGAGTCTTTTTCATCAATGTACCTATATAAAATAGCCTTAACTATCCATCAGTGACAAGGGAAACAAGAAAATGGTAGTGATCTTGAGTTGTTAATTGATCTTGTTTGGAGTTGGCTTAGGGTGGAGACGCACGGAGGGTCCTTGCGATTTGATAGATCGTATCTTACTAGAAATCTAAACCCATCCTTCCTGGGGAATGAATGATTGTGACTTAAGTAGATCTTGTTGGGGTGAACAGCCTCATAGACACTGGGGCTGAGTACCTGGCATAAGGAACCCCGGCTTGCCTCTATTTAATATATAACGACGTCAGCAAAATTGAATATTTTTAGCTCTTCTAAGCCAGTAAAACAGAGAAATAAAAGCAATAAAGAAATGATTTTCCCAAAGTACGAGGTTCGTTGCGTAGGTATTCTTATGGTACCTCAGATGCCAAGCTTGTTCTTCCACACCTCAGACGTACCCAGCCTACCTACTGTAGAAACAATACGGATCCTTTCCAATGCTTTACACAGAGTTACCATCCCCAACGCCAATAGCACCGGTCAAACCGGAGCTAGCCACGTTGCGATGCACCATGGTGCTCGTTTAGATGTGGTATTCTGTATCATCTATCAAGTCCCCTGAGCCCTCTCTTATGCAAGCCCCCACTCCAGCTTCGAATACAGATTCTAGCTCCTGACAAGTACCCTGAATGCAGGACACGGCTGAAGACATTTTGGTGAAGGGTCTCAATGAAGTAGCCTAACAACACCTGATCCGGAAATTTTCACGTTCATCGAGGCAAAAATTTTAACGATGGCATAAATTTTCATTAACTTGGCACGATGTTAAGCCTCACCGCCATGGCATGGTCTAGGAAACAAATTGAGATAGCTCCAAGATCTGTATATGGGTAGCTTCGAATAATGAACCCGGAGTCTTATATATAAAAGTCCAGCAGCACCTCTTGTCAAATTTATATCATTCCACATCACAGGCAAGTTTCCGGCACTTTTAAACAGATCTACTTTTCCATCACTACAGTTCTATCTTCAACCCGCCAACATGTTCACCTCAGTCCTTGCAGTTGTCTCTACCCTCGCTGCCTCCGTGGTGGCTGGTCCTAACATCGCTGCCCGCGAGGTCTTAGCTACTTGGCCCGCCGATGGCTTTGAGCAGAAGTGCTTCCACCCGGTAGGTAAACCGAAGAGATCCCTATCAACCTCTGGCTAATAAACCTACAGGGTGGCTGCACAGCAGTTTTCAACATCAAGGCCCCCGCGGAATACGTACATGGTGCTCCGGCATTCAGTGCCATCTGCCACCCTCTTTCTGCTGTATGTTTTATCCCTCCTTCATTTCTTTTTATTTTGTGTTCGGAATAAGTTCTTCCTATCTACCCAAGATCTTTCACATAAGGCATCTCTTGGAGTTCTTAGCCATACACCTAGCTGTAAGTTACAAGTACTAACTCATGATACAGGAGCAAGATGGTACTCCTAACTGCGAGGCCGTAACTGATCTGGCCGCTGGCTCGTATGTGGAATCGGTGTGGGAAGTACCCTCGGCGGACGACCTCGTGAAGATATCGGTATTCCACATCTGGAACGAAGGTGATGCCCGATACAATGCCTCTGGCTCCGTCGAGTTCCCCGCTAGCGCCACCTCGTTTGAAGTGCCGGTGACGTCGATGACCGCTGTCTTGTAAGAGGGTTCAATGTTGCGATGTCGAAAGGAGATAGGATGTCTGAGGAGCTCGCGGTTGCTCATCCTATAAAGTATCACTGGATAACCTCGGGTTTGGAATTACTGTCTAAGGATCTACCTTTTTATTCATGTTATCTACCTAGTTTACATCATAGGCTTGTTAGATAGACTTAATAAATGATGTTTCGTCATACTTACCGGATATATTAGAATTTCATGTATTAAACCTGAAAGGTATGGAGTCACGGAGGCTTTACTAGGTGGAGCAAGATATCGCTTTGGCTGACAACCCCATTTTCACGTAATGAGGACTTGTCATAAACTTAGGAAACATTAATAAGACAGCAGAAGCGATGAATAATTTAGGGTGTCGCGCAGTTTTAAAATAGCTAGAAAGGATAATGTAGAGTGACTGGTATGATTTCTTGGTTTGTGATGCGAATCTCCAGCAGAGTGAAGAAAGGCGAAATGAGTAACTCGAAATGCAAATAACCTGAATGGATTTAGATTGTTGAAGCCAGTTGACGCACGAAGACTAATTCATCCCAATAATTTCGAATACTAGATTACAATAAATATAATAACTAAGAGGTAATAACCATTTTTTATTTACTCTTTCTTATTGAATAAAGATCTCACCAACAGCAATTGGAAAATATTATATTTCATAACCCCTGAGTGTGTTTAAAAGTCAAGTCACTCTTGATCCGTGCACGATAACTGACAGCCAAGCTATGTATTGCATTAGATCAGCCAACAACCCCCACGTATAGGTACCTAGTCATGTGCCCGATGTCGCAGTTCTAAGGGACCAGCTGAATGTTTATCAATCTGATAAGATCTTGCTGCGTCGAAACCCCCTGTTAATTAAATCTTACACTAAACACCACCTAATATCGAGGAACGATGTCCACCAACCAAGTTGATAGGAACAGGCTTCTCGACATCTTCAGGGAAAGCCTGAGGACATCGCGTCTTCCTCCCAGTCTAGATGAAGTTTCTGTTTTCTTTAACGACAATACCCCTCCCGTAAGAGAGATTCCGAACGATCCCGAAAGGCTCGAGTATTTACGAGACCTAATTGCCTACATCCTCAACGGTCGCACTATCGTTTATACCTACAACATTGTTTTGTTAGTAGTGCTTTTGATATTTACTTTACTTCACATAAACGAGAGGATACGAGAGAAGTCGAAATGGCGAACACTCGAGCAAGGCTCCACCAGAAAGACGGCCGACGATACCGAGGCTGCAAACGAGACCGAATCGTCTTCCAGTAGTACTCTAGAGGGCTCGTTGTCTTCCCAAATTACACTGAAAGCTGTCGAAAACGACGTCGAGAGGCAACCTCTCCTTGGATCTAGACGGCGCCAGCCTCTATCGGTAGGATCGGGAAATCGCGTCGTTAAGCGTTTGCAGTCCTTGTTGATGTATCAACCCCGGCCGATCCCATTGATTAATCGGACATTGCCGTCAAATGGGACGTCTCTTTTCATTTTGGCATTTCTGGGTCTTAATGTTTTCTACCACTTTTATCAGGTCCCCTTAGCTCCAGAGTACTTTTTTGCTTTCGCTGATCGAGCTGGTATAATATTCATCGTCAATTTACCTCTTCTCTACCTCCTCGCCGCGAAAAACCAACCGCTTAGGCTCCTTACAGGCCATTCTTATGAAGCCCTCAACATTTACCATCGCCGTGTTGGCGAGCTGATGTGCTTCGAAGCAGCAGTGCACTTCTTTGGAATGCTTCTTTGGCGGCTTGTTCTTGAGCCTCCTTGGCTGATGAGTGGCAGCTTTTACGCCTATATTACTCACCCTTTGTGCCTCTGGGGTATTGGCGCGTGGGTGTCGTATGAGTTGCTCTACTTTACTTCTCTCGGAAGTTTTCGGCAAAGGTGGTATGAGCTCTTCCTGGCCTCGCACGTAGTCTTACAAGTCGCGGCTCTCGCATTTTTATATATGCATTTCTTCACGAGTCGGCCGTATGTACTCGCATCGCTGGCTATTTTCCTCCTTGACAGACTTGTTTGGCGTTTGTGGATGAAGTCTGCAAATTTTATAGCAGACGTTACGGTATTGGAGGATGACCAGACGTTCCTCCTCTCAGTAGACTGGGACATGCCTACATCTAAAGCACGAGGATGGCTTAGTTCCTTGGGACAAAGCATCCGACATGGTTGGCGCCCAGCTGATCATGTGTTTATCTCAGTCCCCGTACTCGGCCGTAGCCATTCTCTCCAGGCTCACCCATTTACAATCGCGTCCGCTGCGCCCGCAATGGACCCCACAGACTCGCCCAATCATGCTTGGTTAAGTCTGTTGATCAGAGTACAGTCCGGCTTCACTTCTGACCTCCTAAACCATGCACGTTTAAATTCGAGAGTCGCTGTTCGTCTGGATGGGCCATATGGGTCTCAGGATCCCCTCAATATGTTGAGATCATGCGGGAATGCTGTCCTCGTCGCTGGCGGATCCGGAATTGCGGTAGTCTTCCCTATGGCATGGGATTTAGTAACAAGCCATTGCGGGAAGAGACAGGTCCATTTAATCTGGGTAATACACTCCCGAGCCCAACGTTCCTGGGTACCGGAGGAGAGAATCGCCGAGTTACAGAAGCTTGGAGTTCATGTAACTATTCCCGAGCCGACAGTTGAAGCAGGCAGGCCGGACATCCCTGGCTACGTTGCCGACCTAACCGCCGCCTCGGAGGGTACGGTTGGATTTGTAGTCTCTGGACCAGATGGTCTGAATAGGACTACACGGAATGCTTGTGCCGATGCCGTCAGATCAGGGGCTGATATTCAACTTCGAGTAGAGAAGTTTGGCTGGTAAGGAGTGGGGTTAAGCATTTGATTTTCTTGGAAACTCATGAGAGGCGTTTATGATTACATGTGAAATCGGATTGCATAGAACGATACACCTAATAACGATTGTTTTATCGTTATTTTTCGGATGGTCCGGGTAGTTAGACTAGGTAGAGGCGAGCGTATGCATTGTATCTTTTTGGAGGTTCCCGTTTTATTTCTGGGAATATTTATTGATATATCCTCAAGGTACATAAATTGTGGCCCTTGAGGGGTTTATGTTAAAGTATCATTAAAATCATTTCCACGCCACTGTTTCGAATTGCACTCACGAGTGACCCGTAGTTTTCAAACTTGTTAAGTACATCAATAGTTCAGTGTGAGAAGAACTTACTTGTACACGCTTCTCTTGATGGGAGACATGTGTTTGAAGATTATTGACTCTTAGCTGACATCTACACTATGTCACGCCTATGAAAATGAGGCATGATGAGAAGTGCAAGCTTAACAGGTGTGTATGATCCGTGCATCATCAAGAACAACAAGGATAAACGTGGAGTTGCGATGTAGTTGACATCATAAGGAGGGAGGTTTAAAAAGCTTCCCTGCCTTCCGCGCCTCACCTCTCTGGCAGGTCTGGTTAATTTCGACTTCATCAAGTATATCTTGTCGCAGAAGTGATTGTATAGAAACAATGTCGGCAAATAACAAAGTGGAGGTCAAGAAATCGACCATCGACGGAGCCGGGCGCGGCCTCTTTGCCTGCCAAGACTTTGGCCCGGGTGACCTAGTTGTGTTGCTCGACCGGCCGCTCCTCGCCGAGCTTGATACGGATCGTATGGAGGATACTTGCGACTGGTGCTTTCAGCGAGGCGCTACTGATCCTATGGAACGCATGCAGGCGGCATCTATGGGGCTTCCGAATGGGCTTATTGAGATTAAGAAATGTGCCCGTTGCCGCCGAGTAGGGTACTGCTCTAAGAATTGCCAGAATAAGGCTTGGAAGCGCGAGCATAAATACGAATGTCATGTACTGGCTCCAAGTACACGTCCGAATTGTATGTATTTGAGGGTCTTTTTTCCTCCTCCATTCATATCTGTGTTGAGAGTTAGAATATTACCGTCCGATTCCTCGAGATTGGAGAAATGCTCAAAATTATATACTGACTGTCGCTGTCAAGTGCCTATGGGTGTACGTGCTGTGATCAAGCTCCTTGGTCGCCTCAGGGGTAACACTGGCAATGAGAGGGAACAAATACTCGATATCTTGAATTTCTGGCCAGCCGCTCGTGATAGCAACCAGCTTAAAGATATTCGTCGATTAGATAGAGAGAAGTTCGACGACTTCTATATGCTTGCTAATGCGGCTTGGACGTATGCGGGAAAACCTTCCATCGACGGTTTCGATGTTGAAGCTGTTGCTCGAGACCTTATTTTTAACGTGTGTCCCTAAGACTGGTGTGAGATATTGTGACCTTGAGTTAACATTAATTTATAGGTTATGTATAATACTTTCCAGGTAGGCTCCCCGCTCGACGCCGGCGACTATGGCCGTGGGTTTGACCCCTTGGTCTGTAGTGCGAACCATTCCTGCGACCCAAACGTGATACGCGTCTCCAACCAGCCGAGCACAATACTGCGTGCGCTGAAACCTATTAAGAAAGGTGAAGAGATATTCATGGCATATACCGAGGTGACGAATCCATTTTGGGTGCGGCAAGCGCATATTAAAGAGGCTTACTACTTCACTTGCCAATGCGCCAAGTGCGTAAAGTGTCCGGTTTCCCCCGAAGATACGTTCGCGAAGCCGCCGCAGGAATTGTCCGAGGAGTACCGTAAGGTGGCAGATGGTCTAGTGAAGTATCATAGGGCAGAGCTGGGGAAGTTCTTAGCTGGTACCGATGAATCCAGGGCGCAACTTAGACTCGCTGCTATGCAAGCATCGGTTTTTGATGTTTCTGAGAGTGGCTACTCCTCAGAAAAAGACCTTAAGGAGGCCCTTCATCTGTGCATCGACTCAGGAATGTGGACTTGGACTCGGCAGCCTGTGCCCGAGCTCTGTCGTCGACTATTTAGCGTATACATGGGACCCAGCCGTCTTTACAAGGCGCTCAAGCTAGGGCTAAAGCTGCTCGTCGAGATAATGCCGGATATTTCCCCCCAACCTTTCCGCCCAGAACGATTGATTCTCACAGAGACCTTAGCATTGCTGACCAGTGCGCTCGCGGGCCCGATGCACGTACAGGCGGAAAGCGAACTCGCCGAATATGGCCTGGGACCACGCGTTATCTTCTGGGGCTTAATGCTTGAACTGCGCGAGAATATTCCTCGAATGTACGGGTGGGATTCACCGTTCGGTAGGTTCATAAATAACTACTACGAGCGGGCCAAAGCCCGCGAGATCACCAGCGAAGTCGAAATTAAAAAGGAAGTCCTGGAGGCCAAGCCGAAACTACAGAAATTCTTGAAGGATATAGATATCTTGAAGCTTTGCGATGAGGGAGAAAAGGAAGGTTGTGCTGTGATGTAAAGTGATGGGTTTTAACTAGATAAGATTACCTAGGTAGTTATGACTTTTGATATACCTACCTGAGGATTAGGCTTGTGATGGTCAGAGGTATAGGTTAGATTTTCCTATTTACCTTCGTAGGTTATCTTTAAATAAGCGAGCTTCACAGGTACATCTGAACCCAGGACGCCTAAATAAAGTCTCTAAGCTGCAGATTCCGTAGACGAGGCATTTGAGATATGGTGAAGATTGTAGTTTATTAACTACATTAACGAGCCCCGAGGATTTCTCAAGAGAATGCATAGGTACGTTTAAATTTGAGACCAGAACAAAAACGGCTTTCCAGACTGCATGATTTGGTATACCTGAATATAAAATATACACAAAAGGTTCCACCAAATTCCCTGTGATAATCCTATCCGTGCCGCCGGAATACGCACTGATCAATGTACATCGTTACAGTATCGCGTGGGCATCATGCAGCTCATACTGATGTCGATGTGCCGATCGTGATCAACACCTCTAAACTCTGGAGGCGACGAGACTCATGTAAATCCCCCACAAGAGTCCCACAAAATTAAGGAAGACGATCCGTCGTTCCACCGGCACGCAACTGAAGCTGATGATGGAGGCGAACGGCCAGATCTTGTATCCGGCAACGATGACGGGGATCGTCTCGGTCCTGATGTTCTGCGCGATCTGGGCTACGGGTTGGCTCTTCAAAATACCCATGAGTATGAAGAATGCAACCGTGTTAAAAATGGCGCCGAGGGTGATACAGTCGATGAACCATTTAGCGAATGTGTTTCGCAAGTTTAGCTTAGGTTCTTGATCCTCTGGATTTCCTCGCGCTCGCACATCCTCTCCATTTATGCCTTGCTTTTCAATATCACCGATAGATGTCTTTCGCTCATATGCAGGAAAGCTACGTTCCAGTAATTGTTGCCACATGTAATTCGGAGGAGCGGTAATGAAAGTAACAGCAACGAAGCGAAGGAAATTGGCGAAATCGAAAACAAAGGGGTGTCCGTCTCGGTACGCTTCAAGGAATTGCGCCAGGATGTTGGATGCGCTGGATAGACCGGCCGCGGCCAGCGTGGCTTTAGTCATGGGAGAAGGCATTTTGATCTGTTTGATGTTTGTATTCTTTCAATCGGGACGAAGAGTATATGAGATGAGAGACGAAGATGGAGAGCGAAAGAAAGACGTAAACGAATGATGTCTTTGCATTGAAAAACCGGATGAATTCGACATGAGCTGCATGAGTTAAAATTCACGGAGATCTAGGGGCAGCGATCCAGAGACGGCAAAGTAGCGTGTGGATGCTGTGGTAAGGGAATTTATGGATTTCTTATTAAAATGTGACAAGTCGATCGGGATCGTCGCTTTCATATGTACACATTAATTACATGCATTGGTTTATCTCTCGATCTTCGGGAGTACCTAGCGAGTAATTACTATTCGATATGTGAGCTTGTCCAAAATTGAGGTTTTGATGTCTCGCGAGTTGACAAAAATTCGTCTGATCTTCTGCTTGACTGATTTGGTTGTTTTTATTCGGATGAGAAATTACTTTGTAGAAGAAGCATAAAAAGAAGGGTCATGTACGATGTCGTAACTCCTTAACCCAATGTACATAAATTGATGGGTGGATCTCATGCACTTCAGATGACGCGACTGCTATTCCTAGATTGATTTTTCCGAGTCTTATCTTAACACTCACTCGATAATAAGTACCTAGGTACCTATGTAATTATAAGGACTTATTCTTCTAGAAGATATAATACAAAAAGTGATTCGCAATCAATTAGGTAGTTCGTTGTACCTAAGACTTACATATCCTGCTGCCTATAAATTTTAGTTATTCTAAATCGCAACCTCGCCCAATCATCGTCAGATTGGGTTATTGATAAAATACCTAACCTTAGGTACTTAATATATATTAATTCTCTTAGCAACTCGTTATTCTATACCCCATTAATGCGTATCTAACCTCGTTACGTTAGAGTTAGCATGATCCTACATATATAACCTCCACTATTGCCTATAAGTTGAAACCAAAAGTTACCTAAATGTCTGACACCATACACCCAACCTGCTGCTCATCTGACAAGATTTGAGACCTTCCCTGCCTAGATCTAGGCCCCACTACCATCTATTTTGTAGTAACCTGCTAAGACGAGGCGGTTCTGCCTTGTTACTAGTAGGCTGTGCCATCCATTACCGTCTCCTTATTTGAGCGGAAAGGGTAACGGGATCCGGTGACTCACCTTGACCCGGCTATCTAACCAATCGTCTTACACGCCTCATGGCCGGGAGGGCCGGGAGAACCGGGGGTATGGCATCAAAAACGACATCGCTTTCGATGACTCCCTCATAAGTATGCTAAAACTGGACATCCTTATGATTCATACCCCTAAAGGTAGACTTTATAAATATCTTATTATTCTCTTAGCTTCTGCCTCTATCTGTCACTATTCATCTTTACCGAGATACTTACGCTACCAGCGCCCTGCGCGTGGCATCCATTACATCCTTCACCCCATGACACTGCTTTTGCTTTACGTGTTCCTGAGTTCTACAATATCACGATAAATAATAATAATAAAAGCTCTTATAAAAACCCCAATAAACCGCCCCTCATGACGACTGTTGCACAATCACTTCTCCCTACCGACCAACCCTTTCGGCGCCGCGTGCCTCGACTGAGTCCTGCACCCATTAGATGGCGAAGTCTACAAGAACCACAAAGTTTCAAACGATCCTTCAAGTACGACCAAGTCAATCGGCCTATTAGGGCTAGTAGAGTTCACGATAACCGTATCGTCCGGCAGCGAAGACCTCGGCCTTCATATCCAGCATGGGGGTTCGACGATGAGGACAGCCGCCGCTTGGCAGCCGACCCCAACTTTGCGTTGCCCTCCGACTTCAGCCGTAGCAAGCCCCGACTTGAACGCCAGGAAGCCTTCCGAGAACCCAAGGCCCAAGGATTCTACTCCGACGTGGTGGAAGATGATTCTGACTTATATAAGTTGGGTCTTCTCTATGACGATGAACACTCGCGTGGTTCCTACTTCAGTTTAGATGCTATCGTCCACGATGAGCCCGTCTACTCCATCCGTCCAGCGAAGCGAGCAAAGAAGCAGCGCAAAGAGCAGTCTTATTTGCATCTAGACCTTTCATACGCTTTATTAAGTTCGGATACAGATGTCGGTGCTTTCTTGGTTCCCGAGGTTTACGAGATTCCTACTCCTGTGGAAGATATCTCCGTAACTCAAAACAATGATGAGGATAACCATGCTTCGGCGCAATCATACTGGAATGTAACACTCTCGGTCATCCAAGAGCTCCCGGAGAGCTCAGAACCTTCATTTGAAAAAGCCGCCCCGGAGGCCGCTGATTTTCCCGAATTAGTTTTTGATTCAGAAGGAGAGGACGAAGAATCACATGACTGGGCGTTATTGGAGGACGTCGATATTCTGAGCAATGCGGATGTTGATACTGTCACGGAAGATGTCGTAGACGCAGCCTCCGTCACTGGAGAAGCCTGGGTCGTGCTGGGTGACGGCTCGTAGCAGGTCCGCATATGAGATTCCCGAATGCCCTCGAATCTCGACCTGATCGCAGCGTCGCTGCGCGGATTGGTCCTCTTATACCCAGCACCCCAGGCACCAGTGTATTAGAGGTGAGACAGTTGTGTGCTCGTAGTCAAAAGACTACTTGAGCTCACTGTTCGCGTTGAGGTGTATCAATACGTGTACGCTTTTATATCCACCGCAAGATGTTGCATCGCATGGTTTTCTGCAATGGGTTTCTCTGGCATTATTCGGCGCATTGGAAGCATACTGATATCCCTGGTCATGGTTGGTGTTGAAGTTTTTGGCATGATTTACGGATTTCATTTATTCAACTGTACTGTAAAGGATTACTACCTATCTACAAAGTATACGGGCCTGTCTTCGAACTATCCCTGTTTACTATATGTATAACTTGATTCAAGCTGGCCAATCTTAAAATTGATTTCTTCATGTGGGCATTTGCCAAACCTCGCATTGCTGTCTGGGGAAGTCTATTACGAAACGTAATTGTATTCAGACCCAATAGGAACTTATATGATCCAGTTACAATAATGCCAGGAAGAAAGACTGCCCGCTCGGAATGATATCTCCACCTAAGTTTGAAAGCATGTCAGGCTATACATATATACTAACCTACAGCATTGTTAATTAGACTTGGCGGCCTGTTTAGAAGATGACGTCGTATCAATGTAATAAATACTCACCACCGGGCACGAACCACCACTCGTGAGGACTCACTGGTCCACGAGTAGGGAATGCATACAAATTGTAATTAGCATTCTAGATAGATTCATCCCTTTACTTAATCAATTAATCATACACTACGATACATATCATCATCGTAATATTGTATCCCGAGTCCTTGTGTTGTGATACGAAGACGCACAAGAGCACGAAAACGACGTTTTTGAGGCTATCTTCAGGCCTTTCTCAACGAATATAATGGCAAATAAACGCCAAAAGCGCTTTGCGTATACTTTTGCTGCATTGGCAACTCTCAGGGTGCTTAGAAATACCAAAATTGAGAAGAGATACCACCCAATGCGACCGTCAGATAAAAGAATCATCAACCCGGGGGGTTCAGAATCGGTTCGAAAGCACGCTGATAAGCTATTGAAGAAGACTGGCGGTGATACATAGCATCTTACCTGGAGGGATCACAGCAGTCGACTTGCACTTTGAGCCGTGGGTCCGACAGCACGCATATGCGCAGATCAGCTTAGATCCTTACCCGACAGTCAAAAAGTGGATGGAGAAGATGGATAACATGAAAGAGATCCAAGAGGCATATAGGAAGATAAAAGAGGCACCTAAGCCATAAGTTCAAAATTATAAATTCAATATTTATTGCTGACTTTGGCTACCTCCTACCTAATCTACTATCCCTACTACAACTTGATGATCTTTAAAAGGAGATAAAATTGCGCCGAACGCCATCCATGCCATCCAAGTACAGGACTTGTGATCCTACCACATGAATCTAAACCCTAGCCAATAACCTATTTAAACACCCAGAATACCTGACTCGCCCGTCTTACACCCAAATATTATAGGTCTGATGTTGGTCCATATCTTGTCTCTCTAGCTTCAACGACGCTCCCCTCAAGATTCGGTAGATTTGCAATCCCATCTTGCCTAGTAGATCTGCCATCGCGGACGGGCATGATCTCCCATCTGACCACATCGTCATCCATACCTGGCCAGAGGTCGTGGGGAAGATATTCGGCGACTTCGTGTCGGAATAACTCTCGCTCCCTGCGATCATTTTCGTAAAGCTTGTCAACACTTTCCTTCGCCTTTTTCCATATGCCTGCTACTTTCTCCTGCAACGCTCTTCGCCTCTCGACTTCTAGGACTAGCCCATCGTATGAGTTAGAATAACTCTCGTAGAAAATTCTCAACCCGTCCATCTCCTGCAACTTGTCTTGTATCGCCAGTTGTTCCTCGTTCCACCTGTCGCGAAATTCCGCCTCGGCCAGAATATAACTGGAAAGTCGTGCTCCAATATCCTCCAAGACTCTAAACGCGTCGATAGTTGAGCAGTAGGCTGACTTAACTCGATTTCTTTGGTCGTCAATGGTTGCGAAATCAGATTCAATGGTTTGTAAACGTATATTAAGTTCCCGAACTACATCGTCGACCTCTGATGCATCTTGCATGACTACTTCGAGCATCTGAGCACGATCCTCGGGGGAAATTGGCTCGTCCTCAGGCATATGCGACTCTTGCTCTGCGATTACACCAGATATCGATACGGTCACACCGCTTTGGGAGTCTATCGCTTCGGCAGCTTTGATTCTAGCTAAGGCTGCTCCGCCTTCCGTTGTCCTAACAGCAGTTACACATAGGTCGAAGTGCTTCGTCAGTGACGAGAGGAGCTCGGCCATGGCGTGGGAGTTATCAATCATGGAGGAGAAGAGTTGAGGTAACGAACGCTCTGAAGACGAAGCGGACGGGGATGGAGGAGATGGAGCGCCGGCTAAGGTCTTACTAAGTAAGCGCATGTCAGTATCGAAGCGGAGTAAATCACCGTCGAAGGACTTCTGGATGGTCTAGCAAAGCGTTAGGACTGGTTTAGTGTAGAACGAGAGCTTATGAGTAACGTGGTACGAACCTGCAAGGACTGGATGTTTTCTTTTAGAGCATCGCTTATCCTTTCAACCTGGGACTCATCTATGAAATCCAACAGATTCTTTTTGCCTTCACCGGGGGGTCTAAATGTGCTGTCTACGACCCTATCCCGTAATATTTTCATAGTATCCTCGAGCCGACCGTGAGCAGCATCTAAGGTTTTGATGACCTGCTTGAACTCGCGTTTCCCATTGTCATAAGTTCGATTCATGCTCCGTCGTAGATGTTGTAGCAGTCGGATTTGTTCGTTTATACCTTGGCGGATGAAACCCGACTGCGCGGCGAGAACTACGGATTCTTCATGGGCTTCTTTCGCCAAATGAACGAGTCCATCAGCGCGGACGACAAGGCCCATAGAATTAAGCGAGCGCTTGGCATCAAGTAGATGCTGTACGAGGATTTCGACAGGTATCGAACTGACAGGGCTAGAGACGTCATGTTGAGATGTAGGGCGAGAGATGGACGCCGATGAATGTGGACTGGTGATAGATGCCATGTTGAATGATATCGGAATTAAGGCGTCGGGATCAGGATGTAAAGCAGCAACTAAGCCAGAGGCTAAGCCAATGTCTCTACATTCTCAGTTAATAACCGAAAGGGTAGGATAAAAGGGTATGGGTTAGGTAGGTAATGGATGATGACGCTGTAGAGAGATAAAAGTTGTAGAGATTCAAGAAGTTGGAGAAGCTAAGGTTACCTAAGAGCTTAGGCAGTCGATAGCTTGCGATAGGCGGGTACCTCTGCAAAGCTACGCTACGGGGAACCGTAATGCTGGATCACAGCGATATCTTGGGTGGACGAATCACGGCTTGACAAACTCTAAAGTGCCGATGCACAATACCTAGGTACATATCACCCCACTACCTAAAACTATTGGCATACCAAGCCGAGCTATCGCGGTCGCCAAGCGGCTTCCAATGGCAAAGCATTAATAAGAGCCCCTAATTCTCATTCATTCCATTTCCGTTTGTACGATAATTCATAATTCCACGTCTTCTATCTCATCCGACATTCCCGTACATTCTTCACCCTTGTTGCTATATGTTTCTATTCAAGACATAATCTTTTTCCTCTTGTATTATTACATATGTGAAATTTACTACCTTTTTAGTGATTAACTAACTCTTTATTCGACAGGATACAGGATAGTCATCAATTTCAGAAAAAAAGACACCCATGATATTAGAATTCTCTCTTTAGCAACCCTCTCATAATATCGAATTATTTCTCTGCTTGCTAGTAATAATATAATGTTATATCAACGAACAAATGGATCAATCATCTACAACAACTATCAGAAGGAAGCCTGTCCCATCGGCTAACCCACATTCACAACCACCTCCTCCGTATCCGGGTGATATCCTTGACGATCTCCTTGATGATTATCTGGAACCAACTAAACTACCAAGTCCTCACCAGCACCACCAGCACCACCAGCACCACCAGCACCCCGTGCTATCAACTGAAACCAAGGAATTGAAACTGGATATTAGTCCTGCCGCCCCCCCAACCCTCCCTCCAAGGCAATTATCCATTCCCCTTGTTTCTAGCCCTTCAGAAATCTCACTTAACTCCGGCGTCTCAACACCAGATACTTCTAATCTCGGCAATTCGATATGGAAGGCGGCTGTCAATGAGACCATCTACTTTGCCGGTGGACTTATATCCCATCCATTCGAATCAACTAAGCATTATAGTATTCTCCGCCATTCGGCTGGGGTTATCCTTTACCGAGGACCATCTACGAGTGTCGCCATAACCATTTTCGCAGATGGGCCTTTGCCAGCTGACCGTTCGTTCTGGTTACAGAGAAAAGGTTTCTCTGGGAATATGGGTATGGCTGCTAGTGCCCTTCTACGCACACAGGGGAATTGGATTGAAGTGACTCCCTCATTCGCAGCTCTTCCTTCTCAAGTCCCCGAATCGGATGAGCGAGCGTGGCAAAGGGATATCAAAAAATTTATCAAGAAGGCAGCATCCCATAAGCACTTATCTAAGCAAACAGCCCGCGAAACATGTGTTATTCGAATCCCTGCCTCGGCGGAAGATGGCTATTTGCGTATTGTCATGTGCACCGGTGAAGGGTCAAAGAAGACGCTTTGTCCCTCGCCCGTTTTTCGCGTAGCTAGTACGTCGTCAGATGTAAGCGTATTGCGTGGTGCAAGCTTGACAACTATGCCTATCGAACTCGGATTGAAAGTAGCGTCAGTAATAGGCCAAAGTGCCGTGGAAAGGTTCATCGGACCTGCGAGGGAGGTTATAGAGGCCCAAATTGAAAAATATGGCCCGGGGTTAATAGCCCAAGAGGCTGCGCTTATGGCATACGAAAATTCTAAACTGAATGAACGGCTTACCGCTGCAGAAGAGGCCACTGATGCAGAAAGGGATAGCGCATACGAGTCTTTGCAAACGGAGGGGGTACTGGAGGCGCCTCCTCGGATTGTCGGTGCCGATAGTGGACCAGAGAAGCCGTATCCAATCCGGTTCATTAGCAAGGTGGTCCAAGGAACTGGCAGAGGCCGAGCCGAAACGGGGATACCGACAGCGAACCTAGCCGGCATGCCGGATGACTTACTACTACGTCCCAATGGTGTTTATATAGGTTGGGCTGCTGTTCAACCATTTCAGGGCAGCGAAGACATTTCGTATAACTGGCATGAAGCCGTCATTACTATTGGGCCTTCGCCATACGCACCGCCTCGAGTGGTTCCTAAGAAAATAGCCGCAGTTCATATTGTCCACGACTTTGGCGAAGCTAGGTTTTTGAACGCTAATATTGAGGTCATAGTTATGGCATACCTGAGACCCATGCCAAATCCCGATAGCTCCCAGTCGCCTGCACAAAGGACTGCTGCTGCTACGCGAGATATAAGCACGACAGTGGCAAGTCTGAGTCGCGAGAATTGGCAGTGCGATATGACTCTTCGTAGAGTTGAGTCCGATATGAGCACTAGGACTATTGAAGATAAATATATTGATATAATATCACAAGCGCAGAAGCGGGTTGATAGTGTTCCACTGCACCTAGCTGGGGTCCGCACTGCTAGAAGCGAACTCAAAGATCAGGCCCTCGGTAGGGGTGGCTTATACATACGGCGATGACGGATATCGGGATATTACGCGGGAAGCACATCACAGGTTTGATGAGCGAGGTATGGGATTATTCAACCCTATGACAAAGTAGGATTCTTTTTTCTTTTTTGCCCAATACGGGAAATCTTCGATCTTATAATATTTTAATGTCCCGCGATGCTATACGTAAGGCTATTGCAGGGAATATTGTTTTGGGAGGTTCATTTCGAACTCGGCCACGGCAGGTTCGGTCGGTCGTTACTTTCGGCGTTCTCGGAAATTAATCGAGCTAATAGATTAGGAGGTACTCTTGGGAAATCAGGAGGTTCCCGACCTCCGAATAATTGGGGTGAGATGATGTATACAACCTTTCCGACAAAGATTCGGCATTCTATGTCTTACTTAGGGTATACTAAGTGTTACATCTAATAATAAGTCTGCTGTGTAACTTCATTAATAGCTATGGCTAACTTGTCTAAGACCATGACAATAACTGGGCGAATCAAACCAGTTTACTATTATCCAACAACCTCATCCAATACTTGGATGTTGAATACATAATTGCAGCCATTTTGTTCCTCGATTGATTGCTACGATATGACTGGGTCTATAGAATGTGCTCGATTCGTTGAGTCTAGATTCTAGACCCGGCCTCCGTTTAATACGGAAATGATTCACCAGCGGATCGGATGCAAGGTAACAGCCGTCCTGCTGTTGCAGTAACCTAACTACCTAGCCTAAGGCAAATACCTAGGTACCTAAAGCAACCGGATAAGCTCTATATCATCATACATTAACTTACTAATAAGAGCAGAACCGTAACGGTAGAGTGGCTACATACGCTAAATACTATAAAGAAGAGTAATAGCTCCTTGATTGGTAAGATGCAGGTAAAATATTACCGGCATCTCCACTTTTGCTTAGTATACATTGGAAATACTTTTTTACATTTTACATTTAATCTTTATTATATATTATATGATAAAGACGCCGAGCCCGTCGGCCGGCGGTTTCGAGACTTGCTTGCTATGTAGGTTGTGAATCGGCGTTCCTTATCCACGGCCTAAGCAATGGCTTCATCTCTAACTCCTCCTTCCGAGGATCGACGGAAAGGCAATTTCTCTTCGCCAAAAATTGCTAACGACGAAGATGTCGCTTCTGAGCGCAACTTCACTGGGGAGGAAGAAGAGGAGGAAGATATTATAGATACTATCGCAACTCGCCGAGCTTTAGAACGACGGCTTAGGCTCAAGGTCGACTTGCGACTCTGCACTATCGCCGGCATACTCTGTTCGCTCAATTTACTCGATTCAGGCGTGATTAGCTCTGCGTCGGTGACATCCATGCCAACGGACTTGGACCTCACGGGTAACCGGTTCAGCGTTAGCATCTTTATCTTCACCATATCGAGCATTGCCTTCCAGCTACCCTCGACGCTCGCCGTGCGTACATTCGGGCCCCGTCTATGGTTTTCCTTCATTACTTTCTGCTTTGGCCTCATTACCATGTGCACCGCCTTCATTCAGACCTGGAAACAGATGATTGCGCTGCGCGTGCTCCTCGGCATGTCCATGAGCGGTATTTATCCGGGCCTGACGTATCTGATCTCAACGTGGTATCCGAGGAGAGAGCAGCAGACGCGCTTTGCCTTCTTGCAGACTGGCGAAGTCGTTATCCTGGCTACAGGCGGCATCGTCAATTTCGGCCTTAACCAGCTGGATGGTAAGGGTGGCATCGCAGGCTGGCGCTACATGTTCCTGGTGCAAGGCCTGATCTCCATCATCATCGGGTTCATGACGTACTTCTGGATCGTTGATTTCCCCGAGGAGGCGCATCGATCTTTTTGGTTCCTCACGCCGGAGGAGCAGGAACTCGCCGTCGCGCGCATCAATGCGGACCGTAAAGATGTCGAGCCAGACCCGTTCTCGTGGGGTAAGGTCTTCGTGCACGCGCGCGACCCAAAGGTCTACGGCTTCGCGTGCATGTTCTTCCTACTGAACCTAGTATCGACTGCGCTGTCCTACTTTTTGCCTATCATCTTGCAGAACGGCATGGGGTTTGACGAGAACCAATCCATCCTTTTGTCTGCGCCACCTTATTATTATGCGGTCATTCCCGTTCTTCTGTCCTCTATGATCGGCGACAGATTTCGCCTCCGCGGCCCCGTTATCATCTTTAATTGCGTCACTCTGATCGTCGGGTTCTGCATGCTTGGCTTCTCCGAACAGGTCACCGTGCGCTACGTCGGGACTTACCTCGCGACCGGCGCGTACGTGAGCAATTGGGCGGCTCTAAGTGCCTACCAAGCGAACAACATCGCCGGCCAGTGGAAGCGCGCATTTACTGCCGCCGCTGTGACGGCCCTAAACGGCGCGGGCGGTATCGCGGGAAGTTTCATCGTCCGGTCTCAGGAGGCACCGCATTATATGACTGCCGTGTGGGTTTCCATCGGGTCGCACATCCTGATTATTGCCATAGTGGGCGCTTTCTCGGCCTACTTCTTCTTTGCGAATAAGCTTGCTTCGCAAGGGAAGATTCTCATCGAGGGTGTGGAGGGCTTCAAGTACACGTACTGATCCCACGCTACAAATGCTGTATGGGCGAAGCGCTGTCATTAGATTACATGTTTGTTATCGCAGTAAGCTCTTGTCCCACCGTAGATAGCTTTTAGACGCACGATTATATAAATGAAGGCATAACGCTTTACGAATGATGATAATATCCAAGTTAGATATAAAAATAGAGTTATAGAGGATTGATGTATTATCTGACTTATCCCTTGCAGAGTGAGTACCTAATATATGCCTTCAGAGTATAGCCTTAGGTAATTGTTAAGCAAGGTAATGTGTCGTGGGCTGTGCTACACCACGAGCCTGATCCGCGTTCGCGACGGTGAGGATATAGATAACGAGATGATAATCCCACTTATACCTACCCAATATAAAGAGTCGATATCTTATTTAAATCATATGCCTGCGCCCCCTTACCCGAGCTTATCCCAAAAAAATGCCGTAAAGTTTTCGAGACCAGCCCAAAGACCATAAGAGGTATGCCGACTCCCTGAAGCAACACGTCCATTGAATAATTTATTTAAACAAATTCTTCCCCTTCGAACTCCTTCTCGCCTAACCCTTGCTCATCCCGAAGTCGTTCTTCCTTGGTTTGCTCACGGGCACGACGCTCTCGTCTCCGTTCCTCACGGATGAGCCTCCGATCCGCGCCCGGTCCTCTCCGCGCTACGATAATTCGAGCGAGCCTACCGACAGCCACGAAGGAGTTAAGCAGCGCCTTTGTATTCGGACTGTTGTTCGACGGTTGCGGGTCGCTTTTTCCAACTTCCTCGGTTGGGATATTATTATATGCCGGCTCGTCCTTGCTATCGTCGCTGGAGCTCGCGGCTTGGTCCGGCCTCGATATACATTTCGTGGGGCCGTTGTACCCCCCGACCCAGATGCTGCCGTCTGAAGTGTCGAAAAACGTGTACTCCCGGTCGTCGGCGTCGTACCCGATGCGCTTGATGCCGTGCGGGAGACGTTCTTCGTCTGTGTCGAGGTATGACCAGCGGCCCATTTTAGCTAAGGTACCCTATATTATACCTAGGTACCTAAGATAGATGACTCTGTTTAGAAGCTATTCAAAGGCGTCGTTCTGTGAGTTGGCTTATTTGATAAGGTGGATGATGTGGCAGTATCATATGATGTTGGTAATTGGTACTATTTATAAGGGGCGGGAGGATTGCGTTGGCCCGCTCGCTATGCAGGGTTGGGCAAATAGCCAATAAATAGATGCGTTTTGTATACCCTACCTACGTTACCCATTAATTTGTCGCAATTTGTTGCTTTTTTAGGTTTGTGCGTGCTTGTATGATATATTGAAGTTTCGGAACCATTATGAAAGGGATATAGAACTCCAATTCGGATCCAACGTCTACATAATCATTGCGATTATATGCAAGGGTTGGAGTATGACTTATTCTGCTATGAGGTTATCACTTAGATCCAATTCTCCTCCTGTGACCTGGATCTCGAAACCCTATGTTATTTCGACACGAAATAAGGTCTTAGTGGGTCTATATTTCATGGCAATACTCGGCTTCAACCAATGGGATATGTTGGGGATACGGAGCAACCAACTACCCTAGACGCACTGGGTTGGTGGTATAGAGAGATCTAAAAACATGATACTACTGTTGGAGTACATAGGGGGCTGCAGCGGTCCACGTACCAAGATACTTCCATACTACCTCATGTAATACCTAAAGGTATAGGTATAAAAATATCTAGGTAGTTTTCACTTTATTCCTTTTGTTATTTTGCCTCCCTAATCTTCCAGAGCTTTCCCCCTTTTCCTTAGCTCTTTGAATAGTCTACGCGTATTCCATGGCTACTTTAATATCAACACTTGCTATATTTGCGATATATGGTGAGAATTTCGCATATTTATAATTGATACTACGTCGAAACCTGCTTGGCAATGTTACATAATTGAGGTTGTTGGCTGTTGGAAGTAAGTGTTTTTCACGAAGTAAGGGATAACAATCTCACAAAGAGGGGTTGAAAATAGGATGAATAAACTGAAGGCACTAATTTATTCTTCTTATTCTTCGTTCTTCGCCAAGTGGGAAATCTTTTTCAATTCATCTCATTTACCTTATTACAATAAAATTGGTGCTTTAACCTTACCTTGCAACTCGCGATGGAATCTACCAGCAGACCAACCCTATTGCTACTTCATGGCGCCTTCCATATTCCAGACAGTTATAATAAATTCACCAGAGCTCTGCGTGCTGCTGGCTTTGAAGTACACGTACCACGTCTTCCTTCCATGAACGGAAGCCGGCCTCCGAATACTGATCTAGCCACTGACTCGGAACTCGTCCGCTCTTACGCCACTAGCCTTGTCGAAGCTGGTCGGGATGTGGCGGTTCTAATGCACAGCTATGGAGGCCAGGTGGGCACCAACTCGTTGTACGGGCTTAGCAAGAGCGTCCGTTCTGCTAACGGACTTCCCGGTGGAATTTCGCATCTGATCTACATGTCAGCATTTGCTTTGCCTGAGGGCAAGAGTATGATAGATAAAGTAGAGGAATTCGGACACCTGGATCTCATACCCGTCTCCTTTGGCATCGATTCAGACCAGAGCTGCGTAACGAACTACCCGAGGGAGGGCCTAATAGACGGACCTTCTGACCAGGTTCATCCGGAAGAAATCAAGGAATATATTGAGACTATCGGTCGTTGGAATGGGAAGTCCATGTATATGCCCATCCAAAACACTCCCGCCTGGCGCGACGAGGTCAACATCTACTATATGTACACGCTCAATGATATCAGCCTTCCTATCGAGTACCAGAGGAGTATGGTTGAATTTATAGAGAAGGAAGAGGGCAAGACGGTCGAAACAGTGGAGTTCGAATCAAACCACGCTCTCACCTTACTGGTGACGAAAAGGGTCGTTGATACTGTCATTAAATTTACGTCGTAGGTAGTAAGGGTCAAGGATATGTTACACTACGATTGTAATTGTCCCTAATCAATATGATCACTTGAATTATCATCAAAATCCGCGTGGCCCCTTTTTAGGTACCTTAGACATGTATCGTTAATACCGCGGGCCGCCGGTACTCAGCCAGACCCAACCCCGGCTACAACCTGAGAATTTGGAGTTAGTATCATATAGGAATGAGGCTCAACAGTACCAATTACCTCGGAGTTGTGCGGCTAGTCTTAAGAAGGATTGTATGGAAGTTTAGGCCCGTCTTAAAGATCATGTATCTGGGATATGTGGCGTTTGGCTTTTACGAAAATTGTCTACTAGGCATTGCTATGATTTAACTACATAGTACCTTAGGACTAGGAGGTGTGTTAGCGAAAACGACTTTAGGTAATTAAATGCGCCAAGCGTGGGATTCGATAAATCTAGGTACTCCTGTGTGTGAAGTTTGCGCCAGTTAGAGCATAGGTCCTGTCCCAACGAGTTGGATCTCAACTTGCAGGATCTTGGTTTGCATATGGTTTCTATTACACTTGTGAGACTGTCTCATCGGTTTAAAACTCCCGAGATGATATCAACTTTAATCTTTGTACTATTAATAATATTTGATTGCCGGCATGATATATTGAAATCTCATGCGGTGTAACTACATTGTTCACATTATTTCATCATAAATCTTGTGGAACAACACACTTCCAGTCATATGGAGATATGATCCGCAATAGTCCTTTGAGTCTTGGTCCTTTTAAAGGAACCATCCCGCGATCATCCCCGCATTCTTCCCCAAGCTACATACCCCATGCATCGGTCAATGTCCTAACGAGGTATAGTTATGGCACCTTTCCCCGCGTTCTCGGCCATTATCGTAGCACCTTGGGCGGGTCTAGACTACCTAAGGTATTTTCTACTATCAATAGGCGTCTATTGTGGCTGGTGGCTTATTGTTGTTAGCTTATTTAGGTAGGTATCTGGCCAGATCGGTGAGGTTAACTGCAAGTTTACAGATAGTATTCTGCTAGGTAACCCAAGTTTTACCTTGGCGTTGTGATATACCTGCCTGTATAGCTTCTTGGCGGACTTCTTTATTTATTTCCAGTATGAATAAAGACTCCGCTATAGCCGTTAATCGAACGCGTGGGCATAAGGTAAGATTCGCCTGAATCAATACTTAAAACATGATCGGCAGAATTCTTCAACAAAAGTTACACTTCACTGATAAACGTGAAGGCTTTGTCTCTAAAGTAGCTCTTACCTGGTGTTACATGGCAAATGGCCCATCATATCACTAGACTCTAGCCACAATCGAGTGAATGATTCAATGACTTCAGTTCCCGGGCAACCAAAATCCAGATTTAATAAGTGACAGAACATACCTACCGCCCCGTCTTGGTAGGTAATTCCGTTAGTTCAGTAGCAACCGGGCATTTTCCTCCCCATGCGTTATGATAGCCGATGACCGACGAACAAGGTATTTCTTAAACAACATACCCAGTCCAACTAGGTTCGAGCTATCTCCAAGCGAGACGTTGGTATAGTCTCCGTTCCTATGCGCAGGGGATCATTGCCAAGTTACCCCGGCTAACCCCTCGTTCCCCAATCTCTTCTCCCCACGGGGATTGCCCCCGTGCTAGGTAATTCGTACCCTAGGCCAGCCCATCAGGACTAGGTATAAAACAACACCCTTGGTACCAATCTACCTGTCCCCCCTAGTTGAACAAGTCATACGCAAGCTTAAATCATGGATCGCGATCAAGAGAAGGCGGAATTCGAAGTCGCGCAGTTTGAAGGGGAGAAGACCCGATCTTCGAATGTCGTCGACGATGTCGACGAACAGGAGGGGAAGAAGATTATATGGCGAGTCGACCGCCGACTTGTCACCTTAGTCGGTGTCTTATACTGCATCAGTCTTATGGACCGAACCAATTTGTCGGCTGCTGCCGTTGCTGGAATGAACGAGGAGTTGAACCTTGTTGGTGAACGCTATGTAAGACTATTTCTACCCTCGTTATTGCTCTTGATATTGTTTGCCTAACCAACTTCTACTTCTAGTCAATCGTTACCCTCGTCTTCTTCGTCACATACATTTTATTCCAGCCGCCCTCAACCGTTCTTATCCGTAAGCTCGGTCCACGTATCTTCCTGTCCACCATTACGTTGGCATGGGGTGCCGTTATGATCGGATTCGGATTCAGTCCGTCGTTCGAAGTCCTCCTAGCTCTTCGACTAGTCCTTGGTGCCTTCGAGGCTGGTTACTTCCCTGGCTGCGTATACTTACTGTATGTCCCAACATTCATTTATCACAATTTCCACTGGGGGACTAACACTAACTTATCCGCAGGTCAACATGGTACACTCGATGTAAGATTTGACTTTAATAGTTTACCTTCTTATATGATCAAGACAGTTATCTAACGAAAAGTTCAGATGAGATGGGCAGAAGATACTCGGTCTTCTACCTTCTTGGCTGCGTTGCCTCAGCCTGCTCGTAAGAACACCCCCAAGATATAAACATGTTGGCAATCATTAACTGGAGGTGTTCAGGGGAATTCTTGCATTTGGCTTGATGCAACTCGATGGTACCGCGGGCCTTAGTGGTTGGCGATGGATCTTCATTATTGAAGGTAGCTTAGAGACATCGATCCTATGGAGCGTGCCTTAAGTGCTAACCAACATTTATCTAGGTGTCATCACCTGCCTCCTAGCCTCTCTTGGCTACTGGCTTCTGGTCGACTTCCCTGATTCCAAGCGCAAATCTTGGCGGTTCTTGAGCGATAGAGAACGTTCATGGATTGTTCGACGCGTTGACGCCGACCGTGGTGATGCCGAAGCCCCTAAGTTTAAGCTCAGTCTATTTTTGAAGGGCGGTTTGGATTTGAGAGTTTGGTAAGTATTCTGTCTAGAATAAAACCATTCCTTCCATGGAAAATGTATGCCGAATAGGTTTTTCTTTAACTAACACCTTATTAGGGGATACGGCCTAATCGCCTTTTGTACCAACACTTTGACCTATTCGTTAGCCTACTTCTTACCCCTTATTCTAAACACGAATTTGGGATTTGATCGCGGTATTTCGCTTACCCTCATCGCACCCCCTTATGCGTTTTCGGGCATCTACATGTACATAATGGGCTGGCTTGGAGATCGTTACCACTTGCGTGGTCCCGTTTTGGTCGCCAACATGGTTGTCGCACTTATCGGCTTACCTATCCTTGGATGGCACCCCAACAACGGTGTTCGATACTTCGGATCGTTCCTTGTGACCGCCGGAGCAACAGCAAATGTCCCGGCATCGCTGGCGTACCAAGCCAACAACATCCGCGGACAATGGAAACGAGCCTTCGCAAGTGCGTCTTGGGTCAGCTTTGCTAGTATTGGTGGCATTGCTGGCAGTCTGGTGTTTAGGTAAAGTCTATTTTGATCCTGGGTATATTTTCAGACGATACTGACCGGTAATCAGATCCCAAGATGCTGCTACTGGATACCGACCTGGTTTATATGCGTGTATAGCATGCTGTCTATTATCCATTGTTATCGTAGGCCTATTAGACATATCCTATTATTTCGACAACAAGAAAGCCGACCGAGGAGAGAAGCATCTCGAAACAACCGACGTAAGACATCTGTTTCTACCACAGCTAGATTCAAAACTAACATATGGGATAGGAGGGATCTCAAGCCGAATTCCGTTATACCTATTAGGAGCGAGGAAGATTAGGAATATACTCAAATAATTTTCCGTGTCGCCTCCAGGTAGTGTTGGAGTATAGTTGTTGGGCTCCGCCGGGAAGAGTGGCCGAAATTATACGATTACGAGGCGGGAAATGTTTAGCCCCTGGCGTCTCAGGTACCTCTTAGGTTATTCTATAGGTGAAGCAAGAGAAATTACACCTTGATAAAACATGGTTACCTTAGGTACCTACCTACCTAGGTATATTACAAGGCCGCTTTGACATAATATCTCATGGTCCGGTGGTGTGTTCGCATTCTGGAGGTGAGTCAATAATAGTTGCAACTTCAACATTCCAGGTTTCGGTAGGAGGAATTACCAAACTAAACCTCTCTTGGATCTATGACATTGATTATTTTGCGGTAATAAGGTTAGACTTGCTAGATCTCTACACTGTAGAATACCTCTATCTTGACTTTTAAAAATGAGTCACGGGTGAATGATATGCACGCGTATGCCCTCGTTCTCGTTCTCCCTCTCGCTCTTGAAGCTACCAACTACAAAAATGATATTAAATAAACATGACTCATGGGTGATACAAGAAATAATAGTCGAGAATACTACAATCCAATATTATGCGCGAGGTGACCGGAGTCCGCGGAATATACCGAAATAAATAGGGGCAAGTCGGTCGGTTTCGGCATATTCGCTCGGATTCGGGGATAACGACAGCATCAACTATATGAGCCTTATTGTGACTTGAACGACTATTTAAAGCCTCCTACGTCACTTAATAATTGAATATAAATATAGAGGAATCGATAAGTTGTCTTCGTATTTCTTAGACTTCACACTACCTACCTATTATTAGTATTTTGACTTATTTTTTCTCACTTGTCTACTCGGCAGAACCCCCTAACGACACTATGGCACCCCTGAGATCCGTTTCTGAACTTGCATCCATCGTTGAACGCAATACGCGGAAACTAGAAGATGGATTGAAAGGGTCTCCTGGGGCCCAGTTCTCACTTGCATTCGGAGCACCGCCACAGATCGAGTTGTCTCCTACTCTCGGGGGAACTCGTGACGAGCTTCTCGAGACAATCGAAGAACTACGCGTTCGCCTGCTAGGCCCGATGGGCTATCTCTTATCTTTCCTATTACCAACGGTATGTACCTACCTAATTTCAAGCATTATTCGAGAGACCGCAGTAATTGTATTTATTGGCTTACACATCCAAGTCCGGCATAGTAGCTGTTTTCAAGACTCTATATGCATTTGATGTCGCTTCTCATGTTCCTCTTGCACCCAACTCTGAGATATCGTACAAAGATCTCGCAAAAAGCTGTGGCCTCCCGGAGGAGGATACGCGTCGTATCGTCCAGGCCGCCATTACCTTCCATGTGTTCGAGGAAGCTACACCTGATTTGTCCGTGAGACACAATGCTATATCGTCGATGTTTACGGTGCCCGAGATGAAAGATATACTAGGCCTATTTATTGACGAGCAGTTGTCCGGTGTCACCAAGCTTGTCGAAAGCATACGGCGGTTCCCAGGCAGCGGGGAACCGGGACACTCTGCTTCGGTGTTAGCCATTAGAGAGGAGAAGGCAGTTAAAGAAATGGGCATTGACAAGCAGGAGATCGCTGATCCAAGCAAGACTTTCTTTGATTATATCGCCGAAGACGAGACACGAGTTGCCCGCTTTCGATCTGCCATGGGTGTTTCGACCAAGGCTCCAGCTTTTAAGTCGTCATATTTCGTCGAGACCCTGCCGTGGGCAAATAAAGATCAGTGCCCGGAGATTGTCGTCGACATCGGTGGAGCCGGCGGAGAAATAATCCAGTCAAGTATGATGATTCCTAGGTTCAACTTCAATCTTTCGAGCACTTTCGTTATCTGTCCACTTTTCTTTGGCTAAGACAACATGTATTGGACTTTCCGGGTAGTACGATCTGTGATAGCTTCTCCTGCAGCGTTTAATTTTAGTATATTGCTAACTATTGAGTTTGTAGTTCTCCGCACGTATCCCAACGTTAAGAAGGGTGCAGTGCTGGATCTTCCGGAAGTTGTCGCTGATGCCAAAGTTCCCGAGGACCTTAACAACAGATTGGAGTATAAGAGCTACAACTTCCTCACTGAGGAAGTAACTTATCATGCGGACGTATACGTATTTCGCCATATCTTCCACGACTGGAGCGACCAGTATGGCGCCAAAATTTTGAAAAACCTGGTACCAGCTCTCAAGAAAGGGAGCAAGATTTGGCTGTCTGAAGTTGTCCTGCCCAACTTGAGTGACGAAAACCGGTTGAAAGATCGACTGCAGAGGTAAGTCACAGTGTTGATAGCTGCCCTTGCTCTTCTATAAGTGTCCATTCTTAGCGGAAATGCCTTTCTAACTCTAATCTCAGGAGTGCGGACATCTTCATGAAAGCCGGATTTAACGGCAAAGAGCGTAGCAAAAGAGATTGGGAGACTCTTCTAGCTATGTCTGATGAGAGACTTCGTGTTGTGAATATCACAAAGCCTCACGGTGCCCATGACTCAGTCATTGAGATTGAATTTGATGCTTAAAGGCTGCGGGAGAAGGGAGAACGTGCGCCGGATTGTATTTGAGGAATACGAAGTATATTGTAGCGGTGCAGCGTTGGAAATGGGAATTGTAAAGTAGTACTTGAAAAGAACTCTCCAAATAATCCAAGATTAATATGACATCCTCTCCCCTAAGCTGTGAATATGATATCCTCTCCCTAAGCTGTGGAAGTTGAAGGTTCCAAGTCAAGACGTGTTATCGGTTAAATGAATTTTAGCTTGGATAGGAGATACGAAGTACATGTACATATCAAATGCCCCTCATTTATTCTTATCGATAAAGTAGCTGCTTGCCTAGTTCCCCCAAAAGTTAACTGTGCAAGCTGCCCCGGAACTTTTCTCAACCCGCAAATAATTTCACCTGTACTGATAATGCGAATTTACCATCGCATTTCAACATGGTGGCTGAGACTGATGCGCGCGACGCGCCAAGCGGAACCTCCGAAAGCAATGGGCCTAAGCCTACATCTATTCAAACCTCGAACCCAGAGTCTCAAGTCGAATCAGATACTACAAAGTCGAACCGCCGCGATGATGGAAATAGGCACGCCAACAGAAAGCTCAACTCTAACGGGCGCCGCCGAGGTCAGGACTCGAAGGGCAGGGGAAATGGGCGCGGCGGAGACAGGTAATCCTTACTATTAACCGATTGGTTCTATGAACCCAAGCCAATGCTTGCTAACTAGCCCGTAGTCGTGGACCCAAGGATAAGCGCGAGCGTAACGAGAAAGGTTGGCAAGAAAGAAAGCGTAGGAGAGTTGACGAGAATGGAAATACCGCCGCAAATAGCGAGTCCAGCTATATGAACATTCAGTTTCCTGAAGAAGAGATCGCGGCCGAAGAACGCAGACCGAAGCGCAAAGTCTCCGTCATGATAGGATATGCTGGCACGGGATACCATGGTCTACAAATCAACCACAAGGAAAAGACGATTGAAGGAGATATTTTCGCTGCGCTAGTTGCGGCCAAGGCTATCTCAAAAGCCAATGCTGATGATCCTAGAAAGTCCAGCTTTGTACGATGTGCGAGAACTGATAAAGGTGTCCATGCCGCTGGCAATATGATCTCTCTCAAGTTGATCATTGAGGACCCGGACGTGGTAAAGAACATCAACGACAACCTACCGCCTCAGATTAGAGTGTGGGGTATCCAACGTACGAACAATGCTTTCAGTTGCTACCAATCCTGCGATTCTAGGTGGTATGAGTACTTAATGCCGAGCTACTGCTTGTTACCTCCTCATCCCGAGAGTTACCTTGGCAAAAAGGTTCTCGAGTCCATCAAAGAGAAGGGCCTCGAGGAAGAATATGCGAAACGCCTAGGCGATGTTAAAGACTACTGGGAAGAAGTACAGAAGAACGACATCCAACCTATATTGGATAGCTTGGATCCTAGTATCCGGGAAACTGTCATACGACGCATGCATACCTCTGAAGAAGCATCTGGCGGCAAGACTTCAGGCGAGCCCAAGTCTTCGAAGAAACCTGTAGACAACACGCTTGAGACGAAGGATGAAATCGCTGGGACCAAATCAGATGAAAAGCCCACAGATACGTCCAATTCAGTACAGAATGCTCCGGTAGAGAGCTCGACTGTGGTAGCAGAGTTGGCCTCGGAACCGGCAGATACCCCGATGACTGGAACTGAGGACGCTGATGAGTCGGAAGCCACGAAATCTAAGGAGATCCATCCTGTAGATCGCGCTCTGAAACAAATCAAAGCCGCATACGTAGCCGCAAAGCGACGATATCGCGTCACTCCTGAGCGGTTATCCCAACTTCAAGAAGCGCTTGATCGATACGTAGGAACGAAAAATTTCCACAACTACACCATCCAGAAGAGCCACTCAGACCCCTCGGCAAAACGCACCATTAAGTCCTTTACTGCAAACCCAGAACCCGTCCAGATTAACGATACGCAATGGCTATCGCTCAAGGTCCATGGGCAGTCTTTCATGATGCACCAGATCCGCAAGATGGTCGGCATGGCTGTTCTCGTCACCCGCTGCGCCACACCCCTATCCCGCATCGACGAGAGCTACGGTGCCGCTCGCATTAGCATCCCCAAGGCTCCTAGTCTGGGGTTGTTGCTGGAGCGGCCCGTGTTCGAGAACTACAACAAACGTGCCCGGGAACAATACAACTTGGCAGAGCTCGACTTCGGCAACTACGAAAAAGAGATCCAGGAGTTTAAGGATTCGCAGATTTACCGCCGCATCTTTGAGCTGGAGGAGAAGGAGAATTCGTAAGTTAAACTTCTTAATTCGCTGGGCGTTGGTTGATATACGTGCGGCTTTACTAATTCCAGTCGTTAGGTTCCACACGTTCTTCCATCAAATCGACAATTACAAGGAGGGTTACTTCCTTTGGGTCACTGCAGGAGGCATAGAAGCGGCGGAGCAAAGGATGGGACAGATGGAGTCAATACCAAAGGAGCTCGAGGAGGAGTTGGGAGATGATGGGGAAGAGAATCCGGACGAGGGCGAGGGTTGATCGTATTGTACAACCTGACGTCGCGCGTGTGGGACTGGAGCTGTTCGAAGGCTAGGTTATTGACTGGGAATCACGGGTAACTTGATGGTAGACGCATAAATGATACCGAGAAGTGGAATATTGCTGTTGCCTGGGGGACGAGCTGTCAATGTATTCATATTATACCCAGATGGATCCATCTAGCCCTCTGAAGTAAAATACATCAACCTTTATGATATCGAGTCTGCTCGACATCTTACTTATATCTATTTATTGTGGCTTGTTATAATTGGTACCCGGGCTGAAGGGTATATTACATAGTCGCGTAAGCGCAGAGGCTCTCGAGCTAGCGTCGTCGCCAACTTCACCAGCGTCCTTATTCGCTCTCCTCCTTGACGGCGTTATCCGCAGTCTCCTCAGCGCCGGTCTTCTTCTCCTCATCACCACCCGCCTTGTCCTCCTAGGAACTCGCGGAGGAGAGATCACCTCCGGCCTTGGCAGCGTTCTCCTGGCGGATAGCCGCTTCCCGCATCTCGATGGCGCGGTCGTACAGGCGCGCGACGTCCGCGGCCTGCTTGTCGAGCTCGGCCTCGCGGGTATCGCTGTCGCCGGGCTGTCGCAGCGGCCCGCGGATCCATAGGGCTTTGATCTCCCGGTTGATGGCTAGGAGGCCTTGGATTTCGGAGATCTAGGAGGGGGGGATGTTAATGGGGCGGACTGTTTACATGAGGAGTAGGAAAAGGAGAGGGGAAAGGGGGATAGGGCGAGAAGGCAGAGGTAGGTACGTACCAGAGCGGCGGACTCGGTCTCCATGGTCATACGGTTGAGCGCAGCGAGCTCGAGGACGTTGCCGCCTTGCGAGATGGGTGCGGTGGCAGCCATGACTATGTTGCGGAAGTGCGAGAGGATCTGCGCGATGGCGCGGTTGTGGCGGTCTAGTAACGTGCTACGGTTAGCATTCTTCTTCCGCTGTAGTTTTTCGCTTGGCTTTTTCAAGCCTGGTGAATTATTATTGTCCGGATCTGTGGGCTCAACCGGTGGTGCGTCTGGTGCTTTGGAGTCTTGTTGGGAGGAATTCCCGGACGAGTTGATATCTAGCTTTCCAATACCCGAGGCCACGTCGTTTACATCTTCGTCTAGGTTGAGATCCAAGTTGTCGACGCGTGAGGTTAAGTCTGCGAAGGCGTTCGTAGAAGTCATGCTGTATTGCTGGTAGAGCAGTATAAGGTGCCTTGTAGTCTATAAACACCAGAATGTTGCGCGTGATGCATATATACTAAGGGTATATAATAGGCGGAACTTGGTTCAAACATATCCATCTTATAGAGGAAGGATGCCTTCTCAGGCAGGTATTAACTGCTTCCTGGGCAACAGTAGTGTCCGAAGTGAGGCGCATTTCATCAAATCCAACCTTCCGCATTCTTACTCAGGATTACTCGAGGCTTCCTTGTTATACGGATTGCGACCGCGACCGACCGGTCCATATGTAGACCCAGGATAAAGACGTCCAAGAAATATATGAGACTACGTACCTAGAATACTAGAATGATCCTTCCGATTCATCTTGTCGGCAAATTGAAACCAAGTTTTGAAATGGTGGTGGTAAAGGACCCAAGTCGGACAACACTTGGGGGACTCGAATCTATGAGAGCTTTCTGCTGTGGTTTTTTCGGTTGTGTGAAATCAAAAGACATATACGGTTTCGTAATTTGACATAAATAGAAATAAAAAATCACACAGACGTTTATTATTATTTGTAGATAAATACGTATCTACCTGAGTAATGCTTGTTTTAAAGTTGAGCTTGTACTTTAAAGTATCACATCTAAGGTCGACATTCTAAACCGGCAGACCGGGTGAGTGTACTAAGGTATGTTTCCCCACAAATTACAGTTGAAGTAGTTGCGAACATCACGTGATTTACTCACTAAAATTACATACATGCAGTTCAGACAGTCGGTTATACCGTAGTTACCTTATAAAAATGCATAAGCAGTTTTGCCATACCAATGTTTAGGGGTAATTCGAGATGAATAAACACCAAAGATACTATTCTTTCACTTGTCAATTAACTATGGTATCATTGTTTCATTGTAGCCACACGCGCTAGCAATATTCCTGGTTTTAAACATCAAATCAAAACGCCCGCTGCCGCTTTGGGTCGTTTTCATATGCCACCCATCATAAAGCACCCCGCCAAAGTTTCACGCCAACCCAAATGCCATGACAATACCAAATACAAATACATCCATTGAGAGTATGTCCCTCATTCAAATTGGTACTTTTCCAGTACAATAATTAGGTCGCCATATGTAGCAAATTTGGCCCTCCTCTTACATGTCCTCAATGCTACTGCTGTAGCCGCTAACAGCTCCGCCGGCAGTTGCTGCTGAACTCCCAGTAGTCATCGATCTTTCCGAAACCCTTATACTACGTCCTCGTAACAACTGGCTGACATCAGCAGGCTCGTCCACATTCTCGGGCGATATGCTCCCGCTGGCGTCGTAGTCCTGACCGTCATCCGAGTGTTCATCTTCCTCATCATTTCCAGACAATTCAACATCCGAACTTGGGCCATCTTCCACAATAGCCTGCCTACTTATAAGGCTCTCTGAAGAGTCGTCCATGGTTTCATCCTCATCATCGTCCTCGTCGAGGTCAGATTCGCCGGCTGGAAAGTAAAAGGTGGGTGGTGGGAGGGGCACGGGATTTAATCGACGAACCTTCTCTGGCAGGTATTCGATTTGAACGGCATGCGATCTGATATTCGAGGTCTGGCGTGGCGCCGGTGATCTAGTCGTCATGCTAGCTAACTTGTTAATTATGGAGTCTGTCGTCTCCTGACCCGAGCGCCCAGTCAAGCTAGGTCGCATTGATGGGGTTTCATCTTCATCCTCGGAAGCGCTGTTTCCATTGTAGCGAGCGTTCTTCGGCCGTCGTGTTGGCGCGATAACTACAAAATGATCTTCGGGATAGGTACCTCCTAAACCACTGGCCTCGAGATTCAACAAGGGAGCATGTTGGTTGCTATCGGACCAAGAAAAATCTGCTTCAATGTCTTCGTCGTCTGTCTCAGCCGAAGTTAACTCTGGTGGATCGGAGTCAACCTCCATCGGCGTGCTGCGAGACCGCAAGGTACTAAGCGGCCTGAAAGGAAGCGATGATCCTGACGTAGAGCGGCTGAATTGTGGGCGAGTATTGCCGAGGCTGAGGGGCTGCATGGGTCCCTGGTTGCCATGGTCCCCTGATGAGGTCATATCATAAGTAGCGGGGGAGATCTCTCCCTCTCCAAAATCACCCGAAAGGTCTGTGCAGAACGGTGCCCCACTATAATAAATGATTGCACCATCGCGACGGCGCTTACGCTGTGAGACACCTGATATGCCACTTTGACCCCAACGAGAATTCATACCCCCCAAGTTGCTTTCCTCGGGTGGCCCAAAAGACGAGCCGGTCTCATCGCCCCCCGATGGTTGTTCGTCTGACGAAGATGTCTGGTGGTGTACGAATAACGGTTTATAATGGAAACTTTCGGATGAATTGGATTGCTGCACGCCCAGACCGAATTTAGAGGGTTTGTGCGCGGTGACGTCATTTCCAGATCCCTGCGTTTTTTGTTTCTTTCTTTGCTCTTGATCGTTCGATCCGTCCGTGTCATCGCTTGATTGGTTATGCTGCGAATAGCTGCCGCTATCACTGCTAAACTTGGTACCCTCGATTCCACCCCGCCAGCGGATTTTTCTTCCATCAGGAGACAGTTGGAACATGGTACTTTTCTCCGAAACCGCATTTCGAATGAAAGCTGGCGTCACGTTGAGAATATGCAGCTGCGCTAAATTGCACAGCAGATTGAGATACACCCATCCTTCCGCATCTGGCGACACATCCCTTGCAGAGAATTGCTTCTGCGACTCGGGCGCGACCAATCCCAGATGACGTATGTAATCCATGTTTTCTGATGGTACCTGTCTGCGATCAGGGTCCAAATCGCGTGGCCGCGTAGGGCGCTGTTCCGGTAGTGACATTGAAACGTGCGGCGATGTATTGTTACCACTCTCATTCGCGCGGCTGTTGCTAGTTCCGTTGCCGTTGCCATTGTCCCTTGTGTCTGTTTGGTCAGCATTAGAATATGAGTGTGAGTGCGAATGAGAGTTAGATGCAGATCCATTATCGCGTGAACTGCTCTCCTTCCGACTCAAATCTCGCGGTTGAATTTGCGCTTCTCGTATCGCATCGTTTAAAGCTACCGCTTTATCAACAGTTCCTCCCATTTCCACGTCTTCGACGATATTTTCAGGGACCTGTGGTAACAAGATATGCTCTGCTGGATCGGCCATTTTGCCTGTGAAAAGATGTTCCAGTCGCTTCACTACGAGCTTCTTCTTATCCTTCTCCGTCATAATAGCAGGCCGCGGCCATAGGCCTTCAGGAATATCTCGTAAGTAGTTCTCGATCTTCTGTTCGGATCGTTCTCGCGCTGCTTTAGCCTGACCAGGAAGGGACGGGACAGAAGGGCTTGGTCCAGTCGACATAGATGCATACGCGGAGTCAACGGGTCTCGAGTTGGACCCAGAAGACGACGATGCATGTTTGGATGTTGATGAATGGATATTCTTCGCCTTGCCTGACGTCTTCTTCCGGGTTGAAGAGGGTCCAGCACTCGAATCCTCGAGACTTGTTGTAAAATCCCGTAGTGCAGCCTCCAGCTCTCGCTTCTTTCTGCCAGATAGCCCGTGAATCTTAACCTCGAATAACTTGTCCCTCCGCAATGAATCGGGCCCCACTTGTTTATATTTCCTCAGCTCCTCCTTCAAGCGCTTGTTCTCCACCGTTAAGTCGTCGATTACGGAACGGAATTCATCAGCGCTTTGATTGCTATGTGCCAGTCCAACCGGGCGGGTTCGGTATGCCGGACTCTGCAACGGTAACCCATACTTCGCAGCCTCCTCATTGGAAGAATCTGTCTCTTTTTGGTAAAATGGAGCTTCGTCGATGTCGGTTGTATGCATTGCTTTCTGGTTTGATGTATCAAACCATTTCTTCGGGTCGCTCATACCTGTTTCATTGCTGTCTCCAGAAGAATTCCTTCGCGGTTTGGAAAAGGTTGGGTGGATGGGCGGGTTGGCTGTTTGGGGGTCGCGTTTGGAGGCATTTCTCGCTTGCCGGTGATACTGCAGCGTTATAGAGGCATCAGGCGATTTTCGTCTCGGATTATTATACGTAACACTCGGTGCAGTGGGCGCGTCTCTACAGTCGGCCATGCTGCTCCCGCTGATACCTTCGTATACTGGTATGGTGAGAGGCGAGAAGAGATAAGTACCAGACTTTTAATAGGTCATATAAGGGTATAGCAAGAATTTGGTAGCGACATAGTCGTACAATGGGGGAGTAGGTTCTGATTTCATAATATGTCAGTACGGCGAGCAAGAGCAAGAGCAAGGTAGTTTTGCATCGGTGCGTCTTAGCAAAATTAAGAAATGATTATCTAGGTGAGGAGGGTGGACAGCGCATCGCGGCCATTTGCGCGAGGCTGCAGGCGCATATTGGTTGTAATGAATGGGTCGATAATAAGTAGCTGAAGAGTGTGCGAGAATTCGATGGAAACCCATCTGCAAGATGTCGCTGCGATGGATGCATTTAGGGTGCGGTAACCCAAAGGGGGTTGGGATTCGTGAAAAGTCGACGATGCAACGTCATACCTACATGCAGAGTTTCTCCCTTGGCTTAAGAGTTAGTTCGTATTGAGAGAGCTTGGATTGTATTGGTTCGGGAGCAGATTGAGCAAAAAGCAGTCGAGCTGGAAGATGAAGAGTATAATAATAGATATAATAGATGATGGATGCATACAATCAATTATTGAACAAGATCCATCTAATAAACTCGCTTAGTTAGGTATTCAGGTATTTAGGTATTTAGTGTTTATTCAGGTCAGGGTAGGGTGGCAAGAGCATACATTTAGGAAATAGTTAGTAGAAAATAAAAAAGAGAAGTTTTACTTCTTATCATCAATTATAACGAACAGAGGGATGTATCGATATCGAAGAAAATAGTATGCGCATCGAGATCCGAGGTGGGTTACGAAAACAGTAACTACCCACCGTAGGGGCCCTTCCTCGCAGATTCAAAAGTGATTTAGCAATTATTACGACCGATATACTTGGAGGTGCAGCTTCCTCACGATCGAGCGTAACCTGCTTGAATCGTACAGAACGAGGTACCTTTTTCCGCCGATCAAGGGTCCTGTGGGGCCAGCCATGTACCTATGCATGTATGGTGTGTCAGTGTGAGCAGAAGTCTATTCAAAGTCTAGCCGAACTTTAACGAGCCAATTGCGATACGGGTAGTAACCGTTCTGGCCGTTGAGGGAGGGCGTGGATCGAAGACGACCCTGCCATCTAAAATAAGGTAACAAAACCTGCGCGTTTGGGTGGTAACCTACTAGGCATGTACCTGACACTCACCTTGACATGGAGGAAAGCCGGACAAAAAAGACTCATGGCAGGTATGGCTCTACATATGTATGTGTATGGTTCTAAGAGGTAAACCTATTTGTTTCCACAAATTGTAACCTCATTAAACCTCATTAAGTCAGAGATCGTACGATGGGCGACCCAAAGAGGATAAGAGCATTTGTAAAATCTCGATCTGCTATTTCTTAAGAGGATCTAAGATGCCTACCCGTGGGTATACCCTTGTCGTTAATTGTTTTTAATGGATTGGATGGTCCCGACTTTCACTTTGTGCAGCCACACCGAGCCACAGTGGCCAATTTCTGGTCCCAATAAAATTATGTTAAATGTAGGTATGCAGTATGCGTTCAGTCAAGCCGTCAGGTGACTGTCAGGTTAGATATATGCATATAGGCAATGGACGTTAGATAGGTACCGAATCGGATGCTCCGTCGTTAGGACCAATTTACCTCCTCTCTTCTGATTTACATATGTAGCAGTCTTGCTCCAGCCCTCTAGCAACAACCTCACTATCAGCGTTATGGTTCATACTTGGATGGAGCAAAGTGGGCTAACATGTTCACATGAGATTTGTAGAATCATAGTGAACACCTCGTGCTGTCAATGGATATGCGAAGTTACATGATAATAGTCAAGGATTCGAACATGCGACTATCAGCCGGCTACACGTTCGCAACTTAGAATAAAAGGACGCGGGGGCAATCGAGATCACCGAACTTTTATGAAAAATTTGATTTGACGACTTCATCTTATCCGCGATCTAGATCACCTTACTATCTGGATACCCTCTTCCGGTTGCGATGTTATGCTGACACCATCTCAAGACGAGGATCGCTCATTTAAGCCAATATGTATGCTGATACGTAATAGCTCGCCCAGAAAAGTTGAAGATCGATGTTATGTTATACACGATAGAACCCCGACTATATAACTGGTTGCTATATACGTTAGAGTACTATTCTCGCGACACGAATCTATTTGTCCGTGGACCGTAGGTATATTCCGTACACTAGATAGGACTGTTCTATCTGTGCAGCTAGTGTACTATGATATTTTTGATCGGCATTGTAAAGGTTTAGATATTTCGTGCTGTCGATCCCCCTTAAATCCCCATTCACATCCATCGCGTGGCCTAGAGTTACTTCCCCTGAACTTTGCCACCGATGTGTGTAGCTTCTTTTTCGATACGCCCATCACGCGGGGCCGTCTCCCCACAAATCCCGAAATGGCTGTCCATATAACCATTATAAACCTCCCGACTCTTACGGTTATCGACAGGACCTTTTATGGGTCTTACGCTAACACCGGGGCAAGTTCTTCTCGCCCGATGATGAGGGATTGGGTAACAATAAAATGATAAGCAATTGTTAAGAATACTTTTGTACCAATAAAGATACTACAAGTTGAGGCTAGCCTCCGCGAGATCCGAAAAGGGGTATTCTCATATCAACGTCATCGAATATTTTTGGCAGGGTGATTAGTATCTCCGGGGTCTCCGAATGCGAATAGACCTCCTAGAGAAACCCATCCTGGGCTGGTTCTTGAAAGGGTGATGGCCTCAAAATGGGCCTGGTTCCTAAGGGTGCTATTGCGAGAAAGGGCGTTGGAAGGGAAGGGTTACGTGGATAGTCACCTGTAGTCTCGCTTTAGAGTTTCCCCCGTAACTCCTGACTAAATAAAAGAATACCTAACCCGTATGGGTAAGCTCAACGTCATCGAATATAGTAAAAGCATAGAGAATCGTAAATATTATCGACCGTTTAATAATCAATTCCGAAGTTGTCTCACGTATTGGGACACCAATAAGACCTTACTCGATAAAATTGTATAATTGATGTAAGTTAGTACATGCTTTATGTGATAGGCTTATCGAAGACGGCGATAATGATGAATTCGTTTACGTTCAATGGGTATTTAAGCGATACTTGAGATAACGATATTGTTCTGTACCCCTTTACATAGCTGCGGGGTATTCGTGTAGATGTGCCGATGCAGAATGCTAATAGAGATGGTCAGGGTGGCAAACTACTCCGTTACAAAGCTTCTATATTAGGCAGTCGCAGATCTCGTTCCGGCCCGCATGGTCCCCGGAGCACGTGGGCGCTGGGCCGTATGTAAGTCTTTGATAGCTCCACATCTACTAGCCTAAGGTTCTAGAAAAGAACGGAAGCTTTAAGTTGGGCTCTCGATGAAAAGATGGGGGGCACCAGGTCCGTGGTGATGGTACTCCTTATTTCTACTTCTTAGCTGCATCCTCGACCGCTTTCTTCAGCTTCGGTAATTGGTCACTTGTATATAAACTATCCGCGAATTCCAGAATATCGTCCACGAGTTTGCCATCCTCGCTCAATGTCAAGATCCAAACATACTCGTTCTCATATAGCCCAACGGCCGTATTAGACCTCGACTTTAAATGCAATACGACCTTACGAGTGACTTCGTCTACCACCGGTTCTCCTCCGTCAACGAATCGGAGATGGAATGTCGGCATAATGGTTGACAACGCTGCTATGAGGCCCGCGTACTCGGCATTGCTTTGTGGCGGCGAGTTTAGGGTTGCCGGAATTAATCGGTGTGTGCATGTAGTACTGCGGTATCGCACGACTGATTCGGGTGTGAACTCGTTGAACGCCTCTATGAAGAGCTTGGCGGTCTCTAAGAGTTGTTCTCTCGAAGGTGATGACATTTTGCAGAGATATACCGAGATATAAGCCGGAAATTATTCACTCCCCGGCCTTTAGTTTCTGTCAGATGGAGTATATTTTCTCAAACGGTGCAATTCTTTGTAGGTACGACGGCCTGCGTTGTACCTGATTAGATTGGTGAAGCTCCCGCTTATATAGACGTCTCTAGTAAGATAGCCTCTTAGCTAACATGCCATGGTCTGTTAGTACTCCTAAGCCAATGCCCGTTGTCGTAAGATGGGATACGTCAGCGGCTTTATAATCCCGTAGATAAACGACGATGTGACCTACTCATACGATATAATTGGTTGGTGCGTAAAGATCCTTGGCCATGTACCGGGGTGAGTCGAATTAGCACTCTTCTTACACCGCTCAAACCTTCCCTCATCTGAATATATTACATAGTATATTAGACTAAAGTATTGGAAACATATCCAGTTCTGCCCTTATAGGAGTTGTGTTGGATAGGTGCCAATCCATATACATGCACACGTACTTTTCAGGTACGATATATGCTATTAGTTAACCATAAATAGGTACACATCAGCCTTTCGTCCCAATTAAATACCATTTCAGTTTTATAATAATATACGAAAGGGGTTTAATATTACCTTACAGTTAAACATATTAGCGTGACTAATACCAATTTATAATCACAAGGTAGGTGGAGGAACTCTTTATATCGTATACTACTTGGAAGAATACATCCTCTGGAGCTGGTATAAACGTACAAAGACCGGAAAATATAGGTGGTTAAGCCTGGAAACCTACTTGAACTTATTTATACCTACCCATGTAGACTTATAGATTAATATTTAACAAAAATCCCTCCCGCATTATATAATAACTCAACTTATCCATAAAACCTTCAATTTAAATGATTTGCTAGGACTTTTCTTGCTATAATCCAGCATCAGGAAAAACTCTACATGTCGTACGAACTCAACTTTAATACTAACAACGTATCTGATCATATATCTCTCTCTGCTCATCATTGCCTCCACACATGACACATTTCAGCGCGGCAAAGCATCAAAATCATAATCTATCATGGTTATTAGAATCAAACATTCTCATAGTTGGAGACGAGATCAATAAGTCAATACTTACTAAGCTTAGGTCAACCCCCGAAGCTACTCTCACTTCCCAAACACTCCTATCTCGAGTCCCTAAAGAAGCTACGTCGTTATCCTCAACCTTGCGGATAGTCGCAATAGCAGCGCCATCAACACTGATAGTCGTAGCCAGCGCCGCATGGTCGTTGGGCCGCATGATTACTAGGACTTCTTCGCCTACTTGGGTGCGTACGGTGGCGTCGATAGCTGAGTGGCTACGAGTGATCTGAGACTTGTGCACCAGCGAGCAGAGCTTATCGCCATTGGGGTTCTCGATGATCCAGCCGTTCTTAATGTCGACGCTTTTATGGCGGAAGTCGAATAAATGAGTATTGGAACTGTCGAAGACCTTACGTCGCCAACTCCACGATGTCCCGAAGCTTGTACCCTCGACTCGGAATACGGGCTGACTGGTACTATCCGTAACTGTGACCTTCTTAAAGATCCTGTCGTGGCAGTACACGTTTAGAGTAACCTGCTGTGGTGAGACGTAACCATTGAGAATATTTACCGGTGGGCTGGGGGTTTGTAGTGGGGTTTCCATTTTGCCGGACTGAATAGCACGGATACCTAGAAGAGATGTGTAGGTGATTTATGAACTATTTGAGTTATTCTTCAACTCGTAGACCTCAAGGTCGAATTTGTATATAGGTATGTAAAATCGGGCGGTGTATGCTTCAAATTGGTGCGCGCCGCAATAACGTGGGGCTACTCGGTATGTTAGCAAACTAAGCCACGTGCTGATCCTGAAGGGGCCTATGCCAGGTACACATATTTGAAGGCATCTTGTGGACTATCAAGTAGATTCCCCTTAAGCTTTTAGAATAGCCTACATAATACTTAACAGACCAACAGACCAACAGCCCAAGCCAGGCGTACTAAGCGAGGCTTGTACTAATCAGATATTACCACCCATTCGATAAATACCATTGTAAAGTAGGTAGTTGACCGTTAGTGAGGAGTTATTACTTTTTTCCTGTTTCTGTAATGACTGTAAGTACCTACCTAACCTAAACTACAACTTAGGCTACATACAATAGGGCCTATACATGACCATGTCTCGCATCTTCCCATCTCCTTTTATCCGCCAGTCCGCCCGCAGCACTGGCCTATCCATATTAGAGCTGTGCCTAACTCTTAATCGTAGCCTAAGGTATGTGATTCCTAGCTGTGATCTGTCGGCGCTGAAGTCCCGTTGTTGTCGAATATGGCGCCAACAGCAGCATCCCAATTGTATGAGCCGTTAGCGAATGTTGCTTCGCTCTCATTTATTCTAAATAGCTGGTATTCATCACAGGGATGTGACGTGAAATCCGATGGTAAATCTAGAGATCCATGATGTGTAAATTGCTCAGAGCCGCTTTCGAGGCTTATTTGAACATTGGATAAATCTTGACATTGGGTTGCATCTGCCGTAACTTGACTTTTGGTTAACAGGGCCTGTATCTGAACATCGTTTATTGTCGTCCAGTCGATACCAGTATGGTCGATACCGCTTATTGTAGCGCAATTCTGCTCTTTGTGTACGCCTAATCCTTTATTCTGGGTGCTTCTATCTTCTTGGGATAATGTGCCATATCCGGAATCGCAATCGGTCCCACTTAACGAAGATAACCCAGATCTTTTGAGTGTCGCGGGACCGTGGTTAATGGGCCTAGAAGCGTCGTACCTTTGGAGTATCTCTGGTATTGCTTGCTGAAATAAGGCCTGCGAATAGGCTAGCACCTCATCTTCAAGGGGCATTAAATCTGGCGGTATATGTTCTCGAGCTTTACGCTCCACGATTTCCAACCCATCCGTTGCGATGAACTTCTGCAACAACAAAAGCTCAGAAGATAAGTCACTCTCCAAGTACGGACTGTCTGGATGCGGTTGACCTGGAAATAATATCGTATAAATCGCGTACCACTGTTCCGGCTTTGAGAGTTGCTTATCGGAGCGACGTTCGAGTTGCTTTTGTTGAGTTGTAGTTATACCTTCTAGGTCTGGTTTTGGTCGCGGGGAGCAACTACGATCTTGGATATGACTTTCAAACCCGTCTTCTTCTCGGAATACTTCCCAGCATACAGGGCAGTATGGAGGTCTCTCATGGTATCGACGAAGGTGCTGCTTCACTCTGGATATATCCTTTAGGATATACTGACGGCATTTGCAATATGATAGGGGCTTCCATTTAGAGAACGGACACGCCCAGAATGTAGGTTGAACTTCAACAGGGCGGTCTAGGTGAAGCTTCTTGTGTGGGTATCTGTCTTCGTCTCCTTCGTCCCCTGATTGATGCTGGTCACTGTCTTTGCGCCTCCTTTTACCCCGTGATGAAGTGATTGAGTCTTTACTGGGAGAGTCACCCTGTTTTTGGGTTGCTGTGCGACTTTGAGGGCGTGACGTCGTATTTCCGGAAGCAGCTTCGTTCGGCCGATTTCTCGATAGACTGAGCTGCCTATAGAATACAGATAATAGCTCTTCTAGTATGGATGATGTAAGGGGTTGTAGAATGGCGTGGTCCATCCCATTAATATCTTCTTCAAAGTCGCTTGAGTTCGTTGAGTCGTATTCGGTTACGTTACTCGAGTTGCCTAGACTTGATGGATGCGAGTTGCTGAATGTGCTTGGTAAGGGACTCGGCATTGAAGGGTCGATATGATTTCCGAGATTTTTAGAAAGCTCTAGTAAGGGGCTACTCTGTCTGATGGTGTTTTGCTGTTTGGAGTATGATCCCTCAATTGCCTGATCGGTTATATCAGGATCCCATCCTATTAGGCGTTGAAATTGAATTAGCTGGTAGTTATTTGGAATTTATCTCTAAGGGAAAGATACTATACATACTTGAGCTTGAGTTCCTGTGCGCCGTAGAAACATACGCTACCTGCTCCTTGACACTCGTTGAGCTCAAATCGGGGAGAGATGAACCCCGATTCATAGGCTCACTAAGCTTAGTATTTGCCTCACTTAAAGAAGTAAATGGAACTAGCCCGTTGATCGTTCCTAGTTTATCTGGATGTGAATAACTGTCCTTTTTGGGGATTGACATAGTGAGCGACTGATCCGCATCTGCCTCATGGGATAAGCTCCGATCGTACTGGGAGAGAATGCGATACATTGGAAACGTGCGGTCTTCATCTTCCGGGAATAAAACCCCTTGAGGCAGCTCTAGGGTATCAATTGGAGTGGCATCTCGATACATGCTTGATACGCTGTCCTGAGTATCTGCGCTAAGTGACGGGAGACTGACATCAGATAATAGAGAAGAAAACGGAGCGTCTCTTTTGGATGATAATGCTGAATCATCTGATGGGAAACTATGTTCCTCTGATTCCGTGAGAACTCCATTTTGTTTCCGACGAACCTCTGCACCACAACTGGTTGCACCGGATGCATCGCACAAGTCCAGGCATTGAAACCTGTGTTGGTTGTTTGACGAGCTCATTTTCAAGTGATCCTGATTTAAGGGCAATTTCTGCTCTGTAGACGATGGAGATCTTGCTAAAAGGGTTATAGAATCTAGTACGAAGACATTTATGGTACCGTCATATCCTTTTAGCAACAGGAGTGAACCTTAGAAATAACAAGGCCGTAAGTTAGGATGAGATGGTAATTTAGGTAATTTATTGAAATGGTTGACGGCTTGTAATGAAGCTCCCTAATTTAAAGATAAATGAGAGGGGTTCCCATGGAATATAATTGCACTCCAATGGTAACGCACAGTTGTGTGGAAGAGCCCAGTGTGCTGCGATATGGGGGCGCTTTTGTGCCTCATATGTATGCATGCCCATACTCACCAATCAAACGACGAAGGAGGTTTATAGTATTCGGCTTACGGCGGAAGGATCAGTGAATGTACCTGTACGGCTGTACTAATCAGCCAGAGAGTTGTATATTCTATCATGATCGTTGAACGAACCCGACGTATCTGGCTGGTTTACTCATGTAATGATGTATCTACCTACCTATATATTGAAGCTAATAGGTCGTCTTGGGTACGAAGATACTTGTGATAGACCCTCAAGAAGTTAAAGAGACGATACCTTAGGAGGTACCTATTGATTGAATAGGTATATGGGCCTTAAAAAGTCCCTATGCCAATACGACTTCAAACTCAAAGTCCTCCATCAATAACGAGTATTCATCCCTAGTCCTAGGTCCACACGAGCCGCTTCCCAATCCATGGTGTGCCGCATCCAGTCTGAGGACGACGTTATCCGTTTTCTTCCTCTGTAATTCATAAGGGTGCTTCGCCGCCTCTACGTCTGCGACCCGGTAATGCGACGCGTTGAAATCAAACAGCTTCCGCTTTCTTTCAGTATCATTCTGATCCGAAAAGAAAGCCGTGATCGATTCGCCACTAGCATGCGTAAACTTTACCCACCGCGTGTCCGTCCTGTTGCCGCCTTCTTGCGGGTACTCGTAGTCGGTCCAGAGCTCAGACACCACGGCAACTTGATACACGCCTAGACGCTGCGACAGCTTCTTGTCCCTGTAACTCTCGCCTGGACCGCGCCCGTACCAAGTTACCGCCGCTGCATCTTTATTTCCTCCGGCCCATTCTCTCGGTAGTTCCATAGTGAGGCCTATACGCGGTAGGGTACGAGGCAAATTTAACCCCTTTGGTTTGCCCTTCACATGTATGATGAGCGTACCTGATGCGTAAAACGCGTACGTAATGTCTAATTCAATGGACCATGAAAGGACAGGTGGAGCGAATCGCTGCTGCACCCGAACTATGACGGCGTGCCCGTCGGCTTCGGTACCCCACGTGCAGCTACGCGTCTGACACTTAGCAAGGTGTAAAAGCCTATTTTTCCAGTCGCGCCCATCTTGAGGCGCATCATTATCGGTAGGTGCTCGATAAGCGGTGAACTCCGGGCTCACGGCTAAGAGCTCGGTGTGATTCTTCGTAAAGGATCGTAGTCTTCCATGAATTGGCGAGAAATTCCATGATGTAGCCGGGCTAGAAATTTTCCAGAGAGTCGATGTTTCAGTAATAGTCACTTTATCCGTAGATTGAAGCTGAAGAGCGAGAGGAAGAGCGGGGCTATTGAGTGGAATCTCTTCGAAGGCGATTTCGAATCCGGCTGGGAGGGATGGAGTTGCAGCACGCTGATAAAAGAATAGTTGCAATATCCCTTCTCCTGTCAAATCTGCGGGTCGAGATGGGAGCGCTAGTTCAGCAGTTTGGCCAGGTTCTATGCCGGATGGAAGTTCGATGCTGCCGGTGTGAGAGGTTGGTTTGCCCTCATCCAAGATCACGTAAATACATCCGAGATGATCAAGAGTAATGAAGTCATATCGATTTATGACCGTGGCTGTCTGCGACGCGTAAGAAACAACTTTGATGGGCTCTATCCCCTTTTTGTATTCAACTAATCCAGGAGTTGGCGTGTGGTCAGAGTGTAGCACCCCGTCCATGATGAAGTTGCTATCGTTGGGCTCGTCACCAAAATCTCCGCCGTAAGCATAGAACTCATCGTTAGATTCCTTGTCCCTGGTAAGGAGACCATGGTTCGCCCATTCCCATACAAAGCCGCCTTGAAGCTTTGGATATTCATAAAAAGCGTCAATGTACTCCTTAATGTTACCTGGTCCATTGCCCATTGCGTGAATAAACTCGCATAGGACAAGAGGCTTTCTCTTAGATTCATCCTTGGCAAACTCGATGATGGTTTCAATCGGCGGGTACATTGTTGAATACATGTCCATAGTTTCGGCGTATATATCGGCCTCGTAATGGATAGGCCGGCTGTCATCATATGATTTGATCCAATTATACATAGACTTGAAGTTTCGGCCAAAGAAGGCTTCATTTCCTAGAGACCAAATGATGACGGAGGGGTGAAGCTGGTCGCGATAAACCAGTTGCTTCGCGCGATCCACATAGGCTTGTTCCCAAGCGGGATTGTCCGTTGTCCATTTGGCTGCGTCCGTCCGGGTGAGAAGCTGCCTCTCGCGGAACGGAAGCGCTCTTTCAGCAGGAGATAGCGCGGCATCGCCTATTTCCAGATTAATATAATTTTCAGTTCAGAGCGCGAGTATCAACGCACATATTGACTCGAATCCGTGGCATTCAAGATCGGCCTCGTCCATAACCCAGAACTGATCTTGTTAGCGACGGCGGAGACATAAAGATATTACATAGATAACCTACTCCTAATTCGTCGGCTAAGTCATACAGACGAACATCGCTCGGTTGGTGACAGGTCCGAATGGCATTGATATTATGAGTTTTCATAAGGATAAGGTCCCGCTTCATGAATTCAAATGGAACAGCGCGTCCAAGTCTGGGGTGATGCTCGTGTCGATTGGCGCCTTTGAGAATAATCCGGCGACCATTGACTTTGATTAGGCCATCCTTCATTTCTACCTGGCGGAACCCCACGCGATGAGCAACGAAGCTGGTATCATTCAAAGAGATAACAAGGTTATACAGTATCGGTGTTTCTGCCGTCCATTTCGAAGGGTTTTGTATTGGGAGGGAGAATTCGGCACATCCCTGAGACACAGTTCTTGTCTCCGTAGTAATGACCTTGCTCTTAGATGGGTCCCAAAGGTCGACTCGGAGCTTACCAGAGCCGGTGATATCTATCTTGACTTTTAGATCGGCATTGATGTACTGGCTGTCTAACTTTGTCTGGACGAATAGGTTCTCAACACGCGACTCTGATGGAAAGCCAAGAAGGTGAACATCGCGATAGCTTATTACCAGTCAGTTTATCACAACGCCTGGGAAATTTATTGAACTTGCATTCCGCTCATCCTCCACTGGTCCTATGAAGCAAGAGAAGTTAGAAATGTAGGTTTCAATTTGAATAAAGGGATACTTGATTTGAAACGGAACTAAATGAGAGAGGACATTTCCACTATCCTCGGCTGACTGGACTAGGAGACCTCGTAATAATATATCTTACCTGATCCTCAATGTAAGTACCATCGCAATATTGATAAACTCGAACTGCGATAGTGTTTTCGCCCTCCTGATGAACTACACTTGTGACGTCGAACTCGGTCGGGTTCCGCGACCCCTGATGGTATCCCACTTCTTTTCCGTTCACCCAAACATGGAAGGCAGAATCTACTCCCTCGAATCTTAGCCTCAGCTGTAAGCCAGTGAGATTATCAGGGACTGTGAATTTCCTGACGTAAAATCCAGTCTCATTTTCGTCGAGGGGAACATTAGGTGGGTCTACGGGGATAGGGAAATTCACGTTGGTGTAGTGAGGCCCCTTTCCGTAGCCGTTCAGCTGCCACATACTAGGCACTGTTATGTTATCCCATTCTGCTGTGTTGAAGGTCGGATCCTCGAATCCTTCGGGGCCTTCGAATGGGCTTTCGGCAAGCTTGAATTTCCAAATCCCCGAGAGGGAGTAAGTGTTGGATTTAGTGCTGTCATAATTCAATGCGTCCTGTATCGTGTTATATATGTGGAAATTGGCCCGAGGATGAAGGCTATTCTTGTGAATAACGGCGAGATTGTTCCAATCTGGCTGAGACGCTGGGTGAATCTTTCGAGGCATGATCATTGAAAGGTGATTTCTGTCTTCTTCCTAGGTAAGAGGACCACCGTAACAACAATTTGGAATATAAAAAGATTATAGTCCAGTTAACATCATATAACAACTCATTAGATAACCCTCTACTTCGTCAGTAGCTAGGTACCTAAGACACTCAGTGTGACTTCTGGTTGATGCTTCAATCTCCCCGACGAGTGGTGAGGGGAAATTGGTGGGGACTTCGGGGAAAAAGCCGACCTCGCGACTTAGTGACGGGAAGCCATTAAACTGCAATGCAAGATTATTGTAATAATGGGGCATATATATAAGATAATGGACAATAGCTGGATTAGATAGGGGTTGATCAAGGTATAATACCGCCCTGGAGTTGGCGGATTCGGTGCGGGGAACCTTCGACGCGACACAAATCATAAAAACAATTTATACCTAGAGTGACATTCGTTTAGCAAAATCATGGAAACATACATGTATAACGAGTTGGCCAACAACGTACCTATGTTAGCCCTGTGGACCAATCGTGCGCTCGGTTGAAATTCAACCCGAGTTGATACTCGAGAGATCCTTTAATGAAGGGTCAAACGCGAGAAACCCGAGCAGGGATGTTGTAAAATGAACGTTATATATGACTACCTCATATGTGTATAGATTGAGAAGGGGGTATCAATATAGATCCAAAATGATCAAAGGACCTTATGCTCATGCCAAGCATCTCCAATCCAGGTCCTTGATTCAAGCCAACCGCCCATCCCATTTGACCAGGATTTAATATACACTAAGGGGTAAACCCAGAGAGATCCCTATATAAACAATTTTTATGCTCCGGAATATACAGCTGTCACGAAACGACCACACTCCACTCGCTGCTCAACGCTGACTTTTCTTCCCGAGCCGCCCTCGCCGATCTTAACTGTTGTTCGAGGTGTGATCTGAAACCTGTGCTCTTCGCCTTGTCTTCCTTTCTCCGCGTCACCCTCCCCACCGTCTAGGGGTCCGATGTAAGTTGGCAAGGCGGCATTGTTCCGTTTTCCTGTCCCTAGCTGGTAATGCTCGTTGCCACCCCAGAATACTACATCTGCACCCCAGTTCGTATCATTATACGAGCTGATATCAGATGCATCAACTGAAGTAACATTGTCCATCACTGCCGCTGCGTGAGTACTACCAGCACTTAATCGAGCCAGGCGGATTGGGACGACCGAACCCGTCTTTTCATCCCACTCGAAAAGCCCAGAGAGCGACTTGATCTTGGAAGGACCGAGTGAAACGTGTGTCCATTTACCCGTACCTAAGCTACCCCAAATACCAGAGCCACAAGCCCAAGTATCGGCGGTAATTCGGCCTAGGTCCCTCATAGAATTGGCGTCCTCGTTTGGCTTGGCAACTCTCTTTGCATCCACCGTAAAAAACGAGTTTGCACCGCCGGCCGCAATTGACGTCACGCGCGGTTGTTGTCCCGAACCACTGTAAATTTTGCTAAATGGTAAAGGGATCGGAGCATCAATGAAAGGGAACTGGGGCTCCACTTCGAAACCTAACTGGCCATAAGTATTGTCGCCGAAGACGAAGACATGTCCGTCGTCATTAAGTGCCAAGGAATGGTAGTCGCCGGCAGCAACCTTTCCAATTTTGAAGCCTTTTAAACTGAGAATCTCATGTGGCTCATCGTAAGGTCCTTTTGGTCGAGTTGCCCAAGTTAAGCCCGGTATACCCATTTGTCCCCTAGAAGGAAAATCGGATGTGCTGGAAGCGGCAGAGTAAACGCGCCCCTTAGATGTTAAGAGTAGGGCATGCTCTAGACCACTAGCAATGTCGACAATGCTTTCACCCCAACCAAGATTCTTAGGGTTAAGCTGTCGATAATTAACGGTTTCCGGGCTAGACCAAAATAACCAGGACGTTTGGTGAGGCTTCTCACCAGAAGTCTGATCGGCTTTCGCTACAGGTACTGAGTAGACAGTTCCGTTCTTTCCTAAGGCAATGATACGGTCTCGCGATATATCGATCTTGACAAGATCTTTACCTTTTAGTGTTTCCGCAGGGGTCGGGTTCGCTTTCGAGAAAGCTACGCCCCACTGCACAAGGTCGCCCTTCTCGGTAATAGCCGCCCCAAAATCGCGATCCAGCTTCATATCTCGTAGGAGCATCCCGTCAAAATATGGTATCCTTCGTGGCGTTTTTATAACGCTCTCGGTTGAATCGGGTGCCGCTACTCGACCTGAATTGGAACCCCACGCATAAACGCCCGGGTGTTCCCAACTCTTCTTAACTTGGAGATGTTGGCTACTTATTATATCCCGGTTTTCTTCTTTAGATTCACTATGTGGTCGGGACTTCTCGTACTCGATGACGGCTGGTTGTGGCTTTGGGGGTTCTTTGGTGAGAGACGGATATAGAACAACTGCACTTCCAGCCGCAAAGGCTACCAACATTCCAGCTAGAAACTTTCCAGCACTCCCACGCTTTCTCCCAGCATTGTCGCCTCCTCTTTCGGTGCTAACTAATCTAGGCCATTGACGAGTGAGAAGGCTTGTGGAATTCGGGTAGCGGTATGAAAGGCATCTCTGGCGCAATGCGATTCGACGGACGATAGTCATTTTCAACGTGCGTAATGCGTATAATAGGTCTCCAGTGATAATTCAGGTTGCTATTAGCTATATCTTGTAAACCATCGTCGATTGACTGCTAGCTAAAGCATGTGCAAGAGGCGGGCTGACGGCGTTGAGAGACTCGAGACTTCATCACAAAGTGGAGGGAAAATGTAGAATGTAGAAATCATGAGGTCATCCAATCAAAGCCCACGTAAAAATAATACGTACAATACATCATGCGTATACGCGAACCGAGGATAAGGTTGCCCCACTTCATGTCGGCAGCTAGTGTCTGCATAATGCGAGTTGGATTTATTATGAAAGGTTGCAACTATGCGCTATATAAGATAAGTGATGCATGAGTGTATACCCTTATAACCCGTATTATGATTCTATACCTCCAAGCCTCCAAGTCTAAACCTCTTCACTTTTCTCCGTTACTTTATCTTCTTCTAATAATAATGTTCAACTTCCAATCTTAGTAACAACTTCTCCATTATTCTTGACGGTCCATGTTTGCATTATAGTAGATACCAATCAAACCCCCCTTAGTTGTCCGTAGTGTCCAATACATCCTCGTCGCGACCTGGATACATGATATCCTGAATGATAACAGCTCGGACTAAGTTGTAAAACACAAAGCAGTACGTAAGGAGGAGGCAGATAGACATTCCTGTCGCAATCCAGCGGATAACTTCATGCTGGAGCTCATTCCCGATAGAGATTGTAGCCAAGATGAATCCTGTATTCGGAAAGGCCATCGCCCACCAATTAAGGTGGAAATATTGAGGCGGCGACATGATGACGGAGACTACCGCAATACCAAACCACCATAGAGAGAGCGCCCATAGAAATATAGCACCCACGACTGCTATAGGCCTGATTACTTTCATATCAAGCACCATGCCCATGTTAATATCCAGGTTATCAGGCAGACCGTTCGCCATGCCAATAATCGCCAGGGCTGTAAATGCTGGTGGGCCAACGTTCATGAATAAACCTGCTCGGTGTTCGCGGTTTGGCATGCCTGAAGTGATTTAGCGAGAAGTATTCCGGATGAAGTGATATAGCAGGCTTACCTCGTGACATTAAACGTCCTACCATATGAGCGTACATCATAAACGCCACAGACAAACCCAAGCCCTGACACGTCAACCCAACCACGATGATTGGAATTGCATTCATCTGAGGTTGAGTTTCCGCAATAACTGATGCGATTGTGCCTGAGAGCATGATGGGAAATATAGGTAAGATCCAAGTTGGCATCATAGTCTGAAGACCGAGCTGGTGAGTTCTAAATACGTAGGAATATTGTGCTATCGCTACGAATAGCGAAGCTACCACGTATCCCCAAAACAGAGCCGAGATAAACCATACTGCAGATGTCGTTGCTTCGGGAATAGCGTAGCGCTGAGTACCTGTGATAATAGTCGCTATAGCGAGAAAAAGCGTCGGGACGAAAAATGCTTCTCGAGAATGGGTGATAGACGTCTTGAAGGTGCCTTTATGTAGAACAAATCTCATGATCATAGCGGCGACTATACTAGCAAATATGACGATGTTCGTGATATATACACCGAATCCGATTTTTCGAAGTCCGGGGAATTGGTGAGGTTGGGCATAAATCAAGAGTGCCAAACCTCCGGTGCTCATAGGAAAAGTAAACCAGGCCCAAGTGAAGTGAGCTCTAAGTTAATAGTCAGTAAGCTATATTAATCTTGATATCCGGGCTACTAGTTGTTTTCTTACAGCCTTTGAGAAAGCTTGAACCTCGGGCGATCTGGATCGTATATATCGATGCCGTCGGGTTCAGCCTCCATCTTCTCGATGTCATGACCTTCCTTGCCATCATGTATAGAAGCGTCTGGGGAATTTACCCGAGTCCCGCTCGTGCTGAGGCTTATATCTCTCTCGTCCACTTCATATTTGGTGTTTGGTCCTGGTGTGTGCTTCTCAAGTGATGTGGCAAACAATGGCGGATGATCTGTAAGAAAAGGGGTAATTTTATCTGAGGCTGGAGTGATACTTTTGTCCATAGCTCTGAGTAATGCCCGTAATACAACGCAATGCGGCTCCAAAATCAAATCGAATACAAGGATAGGCTTAGAACAGAACGAAATAGTAGAACGATGGCTTTGTGTTTATATAGATTCCAGGAACAGTTCTGTCGATATACCCTACACTCTAATATAATAGGTACTGCTCGTCTTTGTGAGTTAGCAATAATTCTAGATTACGCGGCTGATCATCTACCTAAGGAAATGAAACAGCTCTGTTCTAAAACTGTTGGATGCCAAGAATACCAGATTCAGGACCGAGACCCCAAACTTGAAGATCAAAGGAGGCGATGATACATCACATTACAATGACGCGCCTCTAGCGTGTATACCTTCCTTAAAACAGTAGGATCTATCTCGATACCAAGGCAAAAAGCGACCCAAATGCATAAGAGACCCACGATAGCCAAGATACACTGCCGTCTAAGACACGTACGACGTGACAAATTCAATGCAAGAGAGGCTAATCCGGAGCCAATTGTTCTTGGAGGTCTAGAGCCGATGAGGTTGAGTATAGGCATATCTACTATGGAGAAATAAGTTGTTAGCGCACTGCCACAGACTGCGTGATCGGTACGCACGCTGATGTAAATATTACGAGACCAGTCATGCTGGAGATGTTTATATTGTAGACTAAGCACTATTTGTTTGACGTAAACTAACATATTGGCGACTTTCTTAATTGGAACAAGAATCACTTCTTGAGACCAGGGTATTAGATGAAAAGCTCAACATATCGAAGCTCAAAACGCCAGGAAGTAGTATGTGAAGGGAATTTGAATTTGTTTGTGTTGGTCTGGAGTGGCTCGTTGTCGACCAGGCTCGTTTTGATGGGTCTAAGAATCTTGTATATCCTTTTCTCTAGAGGGTATAGTGGTATATTTACCTAGTTAAGCTTTATTTCCATTTGCCAGAATGTGGCTCAGCATGTTACTATACGTGATTAGCACCGACTCCGCGAGCCTCCTTACGAATTCGAGGTCTTGGCACTTGCAGTGACGCTCTTGTGACTACGGTAGACACTATAGGTATTTCTGTTGGGACACGACATCGGACCAATCAGATATAACAAATAGGTACATACTGGTTAGGAAGTTTAGGAATTCCTCTTACCCCTGGATGGCACTTTATATAATCTATCCTGTGGGCTCTATGTCTGTATAAAAAGCTAGAAATCTAGATACATACCTCTTAGGTAGCTTTGTAATGATACTATGATTAGGGGAATTAATAGATCTTACGATATATATAATGGTAATATAATGAAGCTTTAGAGGATACTTAGCAAGGTATTGAACAATATGTGAGAAACTTCATTAAAAGACACTAGATTAGCGCTAGTAAAAGTCGCTATGAACTTTTGCCATGGAAATATCCTCTCAACCGTTGCTTCTGTGGTATTTTCGAGGGGTCGAATTGGAGATTGCTTCTTTGCCCCAAAAATAAGTATTATAAGACAGTTTTACTGTAGAACCAAGAGAAAAGGTTCGCCACTCCAATTGATTCGAGTATAGATCTGGTAGGTAGGAGTACGCAAGCAGCACGCAAGACATCGCAAACTTTGTAGCTGCTATTTACGGAGGCCGAAATTCGCATTACCTATATTTAGGACGTTAAGCTTTTCGGACCGTGCCAGGTGGATATTATCTTGCCAATCATTAACACGATGAGCCCTACGCCTGGGGATTTTATGCAGGGACCTCGATGCGGCCAAGGGATATGGTATAAATTAGGAAGCTTGATCGAGATCAATATACCACTAATCCGTATTGGGTTGCAAACTGCCGCCTGGGTCCTCTACAATACTACGTGCTACAATCAGCATCAACCCAGTGTGTTGGGGAGCATTACTGTATATGCACTTGTAGGCAGGGATCGTCTATTGGTCCTTAGTAAGTTATATACAACACTGCGTCGCTGTTGATGATAAGCTTTTACTAACCACCGGAACTGTACCCTCGTCCGCGAAATGGTCGGGCATAAAGTAAGTTACATCTCCTAAGCGGTCAAGTATCTCCGTCGGGGTCACACTAGTAATATAAATGTTACCTATAGGCGCGATTGGAGATAGAACATGTCCCGCACCAGTCAGATGGCCAGCCTTGTTACCCCCTCTCAGCTCTTCTTCACTTACTAACTTTTGGACGCCCTTACAGAATTCATGTCTCTTCTTACTATGTCATCGGATTTCTGTCCAATACAATCTAATTTCGAGGTTCTCAAAAATTGACGTGATAGATGCGTTCCTGGTCGGCCAGCAACATGGCTACCCCCATGACTACGTGAAGAGTTCCAGAAGCCATTGACAGGTCAACATGGAGTTATGAATAATATCCGTCGTGCCGGAGTCAAAAGTTCGAAAAGTGTGTATAAATAGACCATCAAGGTTCGTCGTTTCTTGAGTTAGGTAGATCATCAGCTCAGTAACACCTAGTAACAAGTCGATCCGGTAACAAACTAGCCTTCCCATCGACCGCCAATATGCAATTCACTCAGAACGTTCTCCTGCTTCTCACCAGCTTGGCTGGCCTTGGCGCCTCAGCCCCTCCTCGCCCATACCCACCACCATTCAGACCACGTGGTGTCCCCGTTCTAGGAAACGTTCCTTACCCAAACACCACGATAGCGGGAATCACCGTCATTGACACTCCTATCGTCCGTCTTGCAAGGGAATTCGCTCGTAATCACAGCGATGACGCTACCTACAAGCACCAAGTTCGCGCCTGGCTCTTTGGATCTCAAATCATTGCCCATAACGAGACACTTCTGAACAGCGTCGACCTTGAAGTTCAAGCCGTGGCTGCCATTCTACATGATCTTGGTTGGGACCAAACCCCAGACTCTCCAGTCACTTCTACGGACAAGCGATTTGAGGTTGACGGAGCCATCGCTTCGACGGAGTTCCTCAAGAAGTACGGAGATGAGAACTGGGACCACCGCCGTATCCAGCTGGTATTCGACGCTATTGCATTGCACACGACCCGCACGATCGCATACTACAAGGAGCCCGAGGTATTCGTGACCAGCCAGGGCATTGCTATTGACTACAATGGCCCGGAGCGAGGTGTCACCAACCAGACATGGCAGGACATCGTTACGGAATACCCCAACTTCGACTTGATCCAAGCTACTAATGATACCTTCACTTTTATCTGTGCCAAGAAGCCAGATGTGACTTGGGGTAAGACTTATCCAACGGATGAATCTGATATCAGTGCTAACTATGCCGTACCTAGACACCCAACTACAGCCGTGGGGTGACCGATACGTGCCTGGCTACAAGGACAGTGAGAACTTGAGAATTGACGGCATCTTCACGTACCTCCAAAGCATCCAGAAGAAGTAAGGCGAAAGTTTTGCCTAGAAAAGTATTGGTGCTGGTGTTAAGGGTGTTCCGAGCGGCGAGCATGGTTACAGGCGAAGTAGATGACGCCTTATGAAGCTTCGGTACAGTCGTTTACCAAAAGGGAATCGGTTGGACGAGTGGTTAAATCAGAGGTAGCACTTAGCGATATAGACTAAGTTATTTACTTCTGGTAGGATTCATCAAGTTGAAATCTTCATACAGAGCTCTTCGCCAACCCTAGCAATTAGGTCAATCCACCTTTCTGGATCCTTTTCCTTGCTTAGCTTAATAGGCTTTTCGAACGTATCCCATACTGCGATATACTTATAGTTACTTTCCTCCGTAACCCCGATGCTTCTCCTGAATACCTTCACCATTTGGTCGTGATCCGTTAATTGCCTAAAGTAGGATTTATATACTTCGGCGTCCTCCTTACTAGCACGTAGTATTCGTATTTGAACGCAGTAGAGGATCAGAGCGGCAAGGCCAGCAGCAAGTGCTGTGGCAACCGAAGAACCGGTTCGATACTTCACTTCGTGGTTTGAACCGACGCCTTCCAGGATAACATCATTCCCGGGGAATGTAAAATTTATTTGGCTTGTACTTCCGACTTCGTCATCTGTTCGGCCTGACGCGTGTGCCCCTCCGATTCTGAAAATCCTGTCGCGAGCTGCCATCCACGGATAGCTGTGATCTTCTTTTGCTCCACCGTCGCTTGCTGAGCAGAAGAGGAGAATTTTCCGCTTTACTGCCTCGCCAATCGCACTTTCAAGTTCACTTCGTGTTTTCTCGTCTTTAGGGGGGTCGATAGTCCATGACATCGAGACGATATGAACCTGCATCCTTACGGCTTCGCTGATTGCCTAGGGAAGTTAGGAATATTTGCCACTGCGACATAAAGATGTTTATGGGTGCGGACAAACCCGTGCAGCACTCTTAGCTGTGATCTGGCGACTCCCGTCACGACCTATATGGTCCGCTAGTTTCAGGACATAGAGCTGGGCTCGTGGGCATATCCTGTATATAAGGCTAGCCATAACTGTGCCATGGCCACTGCTCGAAACATAATACGGATAGTTGAAAGCCTTGTCCTCTGTTCTCGGACAGAAACTCCTTCCACCCACCGGGTAATACTCTAATTCATTAATGTTAATACCATCATCGATTAGCGCCACCTTTACCGGTTCGCCAATCTTGTCTTCGACCACCATATTTTGGCTCTTGTTGAAATTGGCTTCTGCCTGAAAGAGAAACCTTCTGAATTCAGTCATACACTTAATCCAATGATCTTGGGCAGGTTGGCGAGGAAGTTGTGGGAGAGCGACTTTGGTTGCCTGAGGCTCTCGTACGGCTTGTAGCCCGTCCCATGTTATTTCGATATTAGGGTTGGTCGCAATCATCCGACTTTTGAAATACTCAAGGTTGGACTCGGTGCGGGAGTAAGAGTCAAAGCCCTTGAAGTCCGTTAATTATCATGTAAAACTGTATCAGGTACTACATCTCAACTTACTTGCTGACCATGAATATGGATTTTTCGCAACTCCTCTAATTTCTTTAAGCCACCTTCTTCGCACCAACCCCGTAGAACGGCGTTGTTCCCACTCCAATATAGATATACGACTTGTACTCTTGGCGCTGCGTTGACGATTACCTCGGAGCACAAGTCTCTCTTCTTCCAATTCCAAATCTCAACCCCAAAGCCACTGAGCGCTTTTTCAATCGCTTCGTCTCCATGCGCTATAGGACCTAAGTCATCGATAATGACCTGGAGTATTGTTTGTACACCTTTGCTTCGTAACCATCTAAATATAAATACTAGATCCGCTCGTCCGTTGCCGCCTAAGTCTGCTTTTACCGAATAATCACGAAGTTTAGGGGTATTCGGCAAAGAGTCATTACCTTCAATAGTTATATGTGGCACTTCTACATGCTGTAGAATATCGTCGAACCTGATATGTTTAAGTGCCGTCATCAAGCGACGACGCGTCATAGTAGTGTATCCTGAGAGGTCAAAATAAATTTGCCTATCTGTTATTGAATGAGATTAGCTTTGTGAACTGCGGTATAGTACTAACCCCTTTCAAGGCGCAATAGTTCCTTACCTAGCGAGCTTTTTCGATCGTATATGATTTCTATGGCAGAATCGTGGCCGCGATTCCGAAGGTAGTGGTACTTAAGGAAAAGTCTAATTTCTTCCGCAGATTCTTTGGTCGGCTTCAATTGACGGGTGTCTCTAGCCTCTTTGCTTGATGGCTTCAGGCCTGAGTTACGTTTCTTTAGTTCTGACTTCGTAAATAAATCGTGGTTAGTTGGTTTGGTATTATGCCCTTGTGCTGAACTGTTGACATTAAGCCGATGACCTTGTGCACTTGAGGGCAAGGGATCTGTCGCCTGCATAGCATTATCTCTCATGTCGTAGGAGTCCCTCCCAAATTCTCCATTGAAGTCAAGATTGGCCGATATATTGGATCTATTTCGAGGATCTCTTGGCCCCACCTGACTGGGATCCGAAGGAACTGAACGAGCATCCGGCGGAGCGACCCTATTCTTCGTCCGTCCATCTTTCCTAGAAGAACCCGATGTTTTCTTTCGTTCAATCGTGGTTTTGTCCACCTTCGCCTTTTTGGCTTCTCTTCTTCTTCTTCTTTCCGCCTCGGCTGCTTCGCGAGTTGTAATATGATACAGGTAGGGAGATAAGTGATTATTATTATACGTCAGGGCGCGTGAATCACTAGACTCGTCGGATTCTTCGGAAAACCTCATAACATCATCGCATTTCGCCACGATAGCTTTTACCACGCGAAGCTGGTTGGGCTTACAGTGCCCATACTCCACAGCTAGATGAAGTGGTGTATTTCCCTTGCTGTCTTTAGCACTCAATGTTTGCGCCCCAGCGATTTCAACAAGGTAATCGAGGAATTCTACTTCCTGCTCAATACCCACGTGAAGACAATTTTTCCCCAGGTGGTCTGGGATTGAGAGAATAGAATCAATGTTGGGGTGTGCACCGCAAATTAGCTTTACGAAATCTTCTTTTCCTTCTATTATCGCTATATGTAGTGGCGTATGACCGCCACTCTGATTCTTCTCAGCTAATAAATTGCTTGGGTGTTGCACGAGGAACTCGAGTAAACCCCGTAATTTTGAGAGGTCGGGGATATCATCTTTTCGACTGGCCAGATCATGAAGTACGGTGCGGTTAGTGTAGTCTGCAGCGAGCTCAGTGAGACGCTCTGCCGATATCCCATCTCGTACGAGATTCTGGTAGTCCCCTTTATTACTTAAACCCTCAACTCCTTCAGATATATCTTTTAAGATACTCTTAAGTAACCCTTCTGCTGATACGGCGTAGGAAGTAACAAGTGGCTCCTCCTCATCTCCAGAGCTTTCCCTACCCGAGTCGCTATCAGTTGAATAGTAATTTTCATCGGCCTCCGGATGTTCCTGGATAAAATCCATAGTAGTTACGCTTTATAGCGAGTAGCATTTATAGACGGGATTGATTATGAAGTAGTGTAGATAAGTTACGCATGAATTAGAGGCTGAGGGGTCAAATTGACGGAGGCTCAACAACCTAGCCCTGTTATCTCAATCTCACGACTTGGGGTTCGGCTAGTTATTCGGAAAAGACCATGCCTCAGCCTGAAGCGTAGCAGTAACACCGAGAAGGAATAGCTGAGTGGCGCCTAACCAGTTCATCTAATTGGCAGGTTAACAAGATGCTCAGCCACCCCCAATGCCCTAGGTAACTCAGCGCAACCATTCTAATTTAGAAAGATATGGCAAAGATGTCATGGGTTCAAGGCTCGCACTGTCTATACATATTTCATCGACTAGATCGGCTTGATTATAATATTTGATCCTACTAGATTTACTAGTTTAAATACCTACCTACCTCCTACTATGTAATAAGTTTGTTGATCCCATTGGCGAACATTTCAGCTTTCTGCCCCTCATACCATAAAAATGGAGTTATGGTTAGAAAGAGAATAGCTTTGAACAGGGGTTGAAGATATTTCATAGGTGCTTACCTATGTTTCAGGCGGATCGGACTAATAACAGCTGTAAGGCATAAGCTGGGTATAATGATAATGATATATGAATAAAGCTTCGGAGAGAAAATTATTTAAGTGTTAGGCAAAACTGTCACCAGCCTAAATGAAGATCTACGCCAAGGTGAAAAGGGAATATGCTATTTATTTGACATATACCTCGATCTGAACATGGTCTAGGTAGATACCTCTTAGTTTTATATAGAACTAAACGTCGTTTGAGGGATTCTAGTGAGAGTACGCCTCAGCTGACACGTCTTTGGTTACCCCCGGCACGAAGGATTCCCTAGACACGCTTTTAACCTCCCAGCACAGATACCATCTTCAGTCCAACCTATATTATTCATCGGCATATGTCAATAAGAATTAGGTAGTTACAAAAAGGTTAAGAATGGACGACGCTTCGTTTAACATATATCTAGACGAGGTCGGAGACGAAGGTAGTGGTTATCATATTCGCAACGATCCTAATCCATCGCGACGGTATCAGCGAGAAACCGTCACTGAACAGCGCGGGGCTGTCGCTATCCGCTGCAAGTCTCGAGAGGTTATTCACGGATTCCTCGATCCCGACTCTAACGAGTTCGCTACATTACTTGTCTATGACTTTAGTTTCAACGCCGTGAAGCCTGGGCGTCGCATAACAGCTGCGACAATCGCCTTGAATTTTAGTAACTCGGCGCAAGGGGAGGCTCCTCCAAGAATACAGAACCTTTTTCCGTTTGGTCATTTTGTTATGCTACCGACAACTCGACAAGAATCAACAGCTCGCAGCGGTGAAATTAATGCAGGTATCCAGTTTGGAGGGGAGTTAGGTGGTGCTCTGAAATGGGAGAAAACAACCTCCTTCGACGCGAATGATGCAACAATCTTGAATGGATCTACTGAATGCGACGATTTTGGCAACGAGATCGGAGCTAGCTGGGTCTTACACGAGAACAGATCAACGAAGACGGGGATTCCATCATTCCTTCGAACCGCTATACTTCTGAGGAGAGAAGATGATGACAAATTCCAATGTACCGCAGAAATACATGTAAAGGCGGACTGGAAAACTGAACTAGAGAATTTCTTTGGCTCAAGAAGCAGCGATGACCCTATCCTCTTCGATCCTGAGAAGAAGCCGACGAACAACCTAAACAAAGCCGGATATCCTCTAGAGAATCTTGCGTCAGTTGACTTAAAAAAGCTATCTGATGTTACATTTCACCATTTGCTGGAAGACGTGATTAAGAAGGGCTAAACGAAGAGGTGGTGTGAAATATCTAGGTGTTTAGGAGGTATCTCACGTATACGCAAGCGCGAACGGGTAACGCAGCTAGTCTCACGTATAAAAAGAGAAATTAACGACAGACATAAACACTCATCTACTCATCTACTTACTAGTTGAATCATAATATCATGACTCTTTTAACTTCTGAATTATAAAATCTTTTCGGAGCTTTTCGATATTATTCACAGGAGATATAATGTTGCATGTGTGATTGTGTTTATAAATGGTTCACACTGTGCGATTACGACAAGCAACAAAGCTGAGAGGTTTGATCGTTGGTTTGGGTCCTTAAGAAGCCTGGCAGGTTTTCTGCCCCCAACTCCAACTTGTACACATTCGGCGAAATCACACGCCCCACGCTTTGGTGCCTGTCCCCCATAACATATCTCAGAACTTTAGATTACCATTGCGGAAAGCTGCGCGTTGAATTATAGCTAGTATTATGAACATGTCGTCTTGAATCTGTTCGCGGTGATAGCATCTTCGCCTTCCTTAGTTATGGCTACCGAGAAAATAGTTATGAGTTCAGATTCTCCAGGACCCGACTTACATTCAAATGTCAGTACAGTCCGTGGTGGTCAGGGCGTACAGGGAGAGGTATCTACAGCTCGACATGAGGGGCTGTCACTCCAGTGGTCAACGCCCAGCCCAAACCCTGATCAGCCGGATTCGCAGACTACCAGCCCAGAAGGAGTAACATATATTGAGTGTGTACACATCAGCGCCATAAAGAATAAATCATTGATTTTACGTGTAGCATTGTATTCATTCCTCGGATATTCGATCTCTATCAACAGCTTGACACTTCGCCAAAATGGCTCTTAGATTATACGCATTCCGCAAATCTTAATGTCAGATTATTTCGGTTTGAATATGATCCAAATGAGGTTATTCGCAGCTTCCAATGTCGTCGTGTCATTCGAAGACTATCCTCGAAACTTCTAGATAGTCTCGCAGAGCAGCGGGACGATGAGCTCGTAAGTATACGACGTAAAACAATATCTCGATCTTGAAGCTTATAGATTAACCTTATCAGAAACGCGTTGTAATGTTCGTCGCTTTTGACATTGGAGGGATCATCGTCAAAGATGTGAGTCGGTCCCACATGTTAGCCCGCGATTCCAACCCTAACGACAATGCTCACAGGCACTATCCCAAGCTTCTCAGACCGTAGGCTCCTGGATGGAAATTTTAGACTATACTCGAATGCTGGTAATTGACCCTGGATACTGCTTCATCTTTAGCCATCTATCTAACCCGTCAAGGTACTGAGCCATTGCCCACACCGATGTAAGAGCTTGATAGGAATGCAGGATAGTCTTAGCCGGCTACTTTTCACTTCACCTCTCGAGCTTGAAATTCCTCTCCGTCCGTCAACGGCCGCATTACCCGGGCTCGCTGCCGCTATTGTCGAAATCAACGGCTCTTTCATATCATCCAAAGTCCTTCTCCGTACTCGGCTCGTCAGTAGTTATACTACTAGGCGGATTTCTGGCGGAGTGCATGAGGTTGGAAGGATATACCCAGATGAAGTTGCGGTATCGTTTTCTAACATCTAACAGTATTTTAATACTTTCACCCTAACCCTAGGGACACCATTCGAAACGCGTGTGCACGAAAATACACTAAGTAACTTCAGTCTAATACTGGGTAACTTGTTTCATAACTTTGAACAGAGTATGAAAGACTGCCAGACTTTTCATTAACGTCCTATAATGCAGATATGAACTAATAATTGGCACAGTAACAAAATTTGTCCCACGGTTATTTGATCATGAACGCTCCCTGTTGTCCGTCGCAACGGGCGTCGAACCGTTTCGTACAGATTGCAGCCTGGAAGCTCAACTTCGTGGCTATTCTACTTATAGGGAATGGTTTGATAACCCTGGTGGCCAGCTACTCTACGCCCATGGTGTTGAAGACATTCAAGAAACTGCGGAGCACGTATTTTATCAGCTGGATGCGATAACAACATCAACGGCTGCGACATTTCTTGAACTTTACTTTACCTTTGATCGTCAAGATATAAGGCGAAATCGGTTGTCCCAGATGCTCTTTACATTTCTGGCGCAGGTTGTCTGCCATCACCCAAGTCCGAGATCTTCAATAATGACTTTCTTAAAGTTTCTGGACACTGAACGATCCTGGACCGAAAATGACCTTATGTATTGGTTCGAACAGGCACTGTTCAGGTTCGATGATGTTCGTATCGTTATCAATAACTTTGATGAGTGCGATGCGAACTCGCGGAAAACGTTTACTCAATATGTCTCCCGTGCTGCGGCTACTTACGAAAAATCTTGGAAAGTATTTATTACCAGTCGAGCCAATAATCTAAGTGATGAATTATTAGGATGGCGAAGCCTCGATCTTAGTTTGGCGTCTATCCCTGACGATGATCAACTCGATTCACCGCAGAACACAGAAAACAAGACGCAGAAAAGTGAGGATCTACCCCAATCATACGACTTCGATCATATTTCATGGCAAATTCCTGCATGGTTCGATGATATTGATTTCCTAGCACGTTCGGTCATCCAGGAGCAATTGGTGCGGAGAACAGCGTTGAAGAAGAACGCTGCACCGGAAGACCTTCTCAGACCAATAGACGACATAGCAGCCAACACTCCGGTCGAATTGATTATAGATCGTATACTCCGAAACATTTCCGATCAGCCGTTACTACGAATAATGCTGTCCTGGATTCTCTACTCAACCAAGCCATTGTCAATCTGGGAACTCGCTACGGTAGTATTTATTAGTCGTGAACATGATGGAGGATCTACCAATCTACCCAAAAAGACAGATATAGAAACGATCTTCCCGGACTACCATAACTGGCTTGCTTGGCTGGCCGGTATTATCGGAATTGATAACAATGAAATTCATGTGTCTAACCTTCGTATAAGAGATATATTCATGACACCCAAAGCAGAAGAAGGGCCAACCTATATCTGGCATGAAATTGCCGCCGACGCTCATCATCAAATTGCTACTACTTGTCTAGCTTACCTCTCACGACCTAGTGTTCAAGAGCGATATGTCGAATTTATCGAGAAACACGCGGAAAGCGACCCATCTATTATAGTACTAGATGATTCTCGTGATTTATTTTCCTATGCGATTCGATATTGGTTTCATCATTATATGCAAGTCCAAGATCGGTTAGAAAAGATTGGGAAGTTAGATCAACTTTTCCAAGAAGTCGGACTGCGACGTTGGCCAGAGGCTTTCTGGATTTTTACACGCCCTGTCACTGCGAGTGACAATTTCTGGAAAACCCCCTTTCCACCCCTTGCTAGTCTTGGGTGCCTAGAGGTTGAGCCAGAAAATGACCAAGACCTGGAAGCGGGGATACTTGAAGCAGCTCTCAATGGCCACGTGAGAGTGGTTCAAAAGCTCGTCAGATCGAAAGCGTGGAACCAAGATGCCATCTTGCGTTTTATCGAAGCAGCAGGCCCAAGTGGTCAAGAGCAGCTGGTAGTCGACCTCATTAGTGACCTCGACCTTGATTCTTATAGTACCATTGACGAATGGGGCCCACCGTTATTGTATAGAGCAGCGAGATTAAACTTTGATCAGCTTGCGGAAACCTTGATATCAAAAGGGTGTCCGATCGACTGCAATAACCCACTTACAGGCGACTCTTTGATGGACCTTCTACGCGTTGCATCATCATATGGGAACCTCAAAACAGTCAGAGCTTTAGTGACGCACGGAGCTGACATCAAGTCCGGCTCTTTAAATGGGAATTCATTGACGTCGGCCATTTTAGGAAACCATATCGAAGTAATAGAATTCCTTGCCAAAGAAAATAAGGACATTTTAGAGTATAGCATTTACGATGGTAGTACTCCTAGGCCATCCCCTTTGTGCTTTTCTTGCGGATGGGGACGCCCGACAGCGGTACAAAAACTCCTTGAACTCGGAACGGATCCAGATAGACCGGACCCTGGTGGCATGAAGCCAATAGAAATAGCGGCAAGGCACAGAAATAAGAGATGCGTTGAGGCGTTGTTAAATCATGGTGTTGATCCCGATACTCCAAGCGGAATAGGAAAGGGTACATCTATGCATCACGCTGTCGCCAATGGGGATGTGCAAATATGCCAATTACTACTAGAACGCGGCGCCGATCCTAACAACCCGCTTCTTAAGTCACCGCTTTTACATGGTGTAGTAAATCGAGTTTTGCCTCTTGCAACCGAACAGCGGATCGACTTAACAAGGCTTCTGGTCAAATATAACGTGAATATCAACGCTATGGATGAGCTGAAAGCCACCCCATTACTTATCGCAATCAGAAATCAGTTTGGAGACCTTGCTAGATGTCTCTTAGAGTATGAGCCCGACGTTAATCTCGCGGATTTTGATGGAAGAACGCCGGTATACGAGGCAGTACGGAATCAAGACGAAGGTCTAGTGAAATTGCTACTCGAGAGAGGCGCAGATGTAAACGTCCAAACAACCCAAGGCTTAATTCCTCTCCATGTTGCCTCTTCAAGTACGCCTATTACTCAGCTTCTAGTAGAGAAAACCAACGATATTAATCTCAAAAACGATAGTGGCCTTACACAGCTGATGTTCCTTGCATCTAAAGGGTGGGAGGCTTCTATCAAAGTTCTCTTGGAGCATAAGGCCGACACTGAAATTGAAGTTGATCGAACAGCCACTAATTGGGCTGGATATACAGCGATATCGTTTGCTGCCTTCTACAACCATCCAGAGACAATTACTTTATTGGCTTCTTACGGAGCAAACCTGAATCACAAGGATTCTATCGGTCTCAACCCACTTCACCTCGTGATTGATGGGATCGACGGGATCGAAGGCGGCTGCCTTCAAGCCTTGATGGAGTTCCGTACGCGAATAGACATAGACCAAGTCGACGATGTAGGCGAGACTGCACTGGGCTTGGCAGCTTTTGAAAACGAATTGAAACCCGTACAACTATTTGCTCGCGGAGGCTCGAATATAAATTCACAGGACAACATGGGTCGAACAGCATTGGCGAAAACCAATAAGGAAACAATCGTATCGTACCTTCTTGGGCAAGGCGCTGACCCTAACCTAAGAGGCTTAGATCCTGCCGCCGCAGACTCTCCTATCCATGAAGCCTGCGGCTACTCATATTTCGGAATAGCGAAGCAACTACTTGATTTCGGAGCCGACATTGAAACAATGGCGGTATCAGGCTACGGCACGCCTCTAATGAGAGCATGCCTTCCGTGGGACGATAGCAAAAAGGAAGATACCGAAAAACTGATCAAGTATCTCATCGACCAAGGCGCGAATGTAAATGCTAAGAGCTATTACGTTGGGAGCCCAATAGCAGCCGCAGCCCTGGGAATGGAATCAAGTATTGTCCAGTTACTACTGGAAAAAAGAGTTTCCGTTAATAGCGAGGATGCCTTAGGCCGGAGACCAATTCATTTTGCTGCGCTTCATAGTGTTGCTAATTTCCGGATCATTACCGAAGCGAAAGCTGACATAGAGGCAAAAGACAAGCTCAACCGTGGTGCCTTGCACTGGGCCGCCCAAGCCGGTCGCTCACAAGTTATCAAACATATCATAGAACTGAATCCTCAAGTAGATGTGGATCAGAGGGACATAGACGGGTGGACGCCTCTTTGTTGGGTCGCCAAGGGGGGAGGTAGTTGGCTATTTGAGGACGATGCCAATGATCCCGAGGATATGATTGGGGTAACTAGGGCATTGTTAGAGCAACACGCTGATCGATCTATTCAGTGCCCGGTTGGTAACGAACTCTGGACTCCGCTTGAAATCGCCTCCTATTTCGGGGCTGATCCCGGAGTTATTGACCTCTTGAAAAATGGGCTTGAAAACGAAGACCAGGGGCAATCAGCCGAGGAAATTCCAACCCCAACCGAAGAAACCCAACCAGAACTCCCAAGAGCAGCTCATTTACACGATAGTGCTTGGTGCGACAGTTGCTTCCTGGTAAGTATCCCCGCGTTTAAGTATAATCTAATAGACAGGTCAGCTAAATAGCCTCTAGAAAGTTAAGGGATTGTGTTATGCATGCAGAACTTGCTTCAGTTACATACTCTGCCAAAAGTGCTATGTTCATTTGGACATTGTCCACGAGTACAAGCACGACCATGAATTCGAGGAGAGGGGCCCAGAATACGATGCAATGTCAGAGTCCAACGCAGACGAGGATGATCAATCAGAGACGTCGTCAATTACTGAATCAAGCATTGATAACAGCGAAGAAAGCTCGGAAGATACCAAAGAAGAGGAGGCAGGCGGTTCAAGTGAAGAGGATTAAACTATAGGTAGTCTGGTTAACTAAAGTTTTCCGTTACTAGTGTCGGCGGGTTCGGCTTGGTGTTTCTAACGATCTATATCTTCACTAAGGCCATGATGAAGCAGAATTGGATATAGGAGTCTTGCCGATTACGTAGATTTTCTTCCTTCGACGGGAGCAGTGATAACAACACCGCCAAAAGATAGCCTTCGAACCATCAATACCATACATTAATCCATCACTGTTAGCCATGTGCGGCATTATATGAAGCTGATCACTGATAACCCTTCACAATATCATCCACCAGCTTCCTATTCTTCATGAAAGTTTCAAACTCTTGGACTGGAAATCAGTTAGCCGAGGCATGTTTACAGTTAAATATAGGCCAAACTCACAGGTGATCTTGCCTTCTCCATCGACGTTATTGATTATTCGATCAATTTCAACGTCGCCGATAGGCTCTCCTAATCCCGCTACGAGTTGCCGGAATTGACTTTGTGTAATTGAGCCCTTGAGGGAGGGCTCATATTGCTTCCACGCTTTAGCGTAGTCAACCTCATCGTCCACTGGAGGGTACGTCTGTCCTGTCATCATCGTGATAAACTCTATTACGCATCAGCTCCCCGAATACGACCTTTTAATTTGCCCTTCGTATTTATGTTTCTCGGGAGATATTAAGAATAGAATACCGGGTAATGAGACTTACCATTGAAGTTGATAGTTCCATCACCGTCGAGATCAACCTCCTTGACGATTTGCTGCACTTCTTCTGCTGTCGGCTGTTTTCCAGGACTCTGGGACATTACTTTCGCAAATTCTTCCACAGTTATATTGCCTGGTAATAGTTAGAAGACGCAGTAGTTAATACATAATGGCCAGCATTCATCATTCCGATGAGCTCCATGTACTGACCGCCCTTATCTGTGTCCTGAAATGAAGTCAGATCAAACCCAAACGGTCCCTCATTTCTTGGAAGACTCTATACTCACATATGAGTCAAAGAGCTCTTTGAAGACTTGGATTTCCTCCGGTGATAGTTTTCGAGCCTGCTCGTCCGATTAGCGGGGTTTGACGATTAAGCGCATCTTCAACCATCGGAAGTGATAAGCATACCATTTTGTATTTCTAGCTTAAATCTTCAACAGAAAGGTTGATGTATCGAAGTCTAAGATATACTGGTGATAATTCGGTGATCGCCAAAAGGAATTGATTTGACAATGGGAAAGGGGCCTACAACGGTTATATATAAAATTCAGGAAAATCGGCAACGCAGGGATAGTAACGATTTGGATGAAACAAACTCCTGTTCCAGAGCCAAGAAATACCCGCCAACTGCATGATCAGCACAGGGATTAGGGGTGGCACGGCCCATAACATATTCCATGACAGATCCACTTACATCTCCAAAGAGGATTTCTGATGAGGGGTAGGCTATTGAAAGATTAACTCAACCTTCTCGCGCCACGATAATGATTAAGTCCACAATCATCGTAAGGCTAGGGACAATATTTCGAGGTATCGAAGAGTTGTTTGATCCTGTGAAGATATCTAGGTACGTTAGACAATTAGACGGTCAAGAATTTCTACCAGCGCAAGATCGACACCTTACTATTAATGCAAAGTGTACTTAATCAACACTTATTAATCTTATACTCCAAGATCCTGCTATCCCAGTGCAGACTGTTCCCGTCTTGGTAACACTCAAGTGCTTCGTATCCCTATCCAAATTATAAGAGGGCTATTTGAAGGCGGCTGATGAATAAGAAGAGCTAAGACCAGTGAGGCGAGTTAACTAACACGGAACGTAGGTACCGGGAGAGCCCCTACATAAGTAGGTAGCCATAGGTAAAGGACTGTCAATCGGGTTGGTGATAGATGAGAGACCACGATTTCTTTTCTAGGAAGTCCTAGAAGTAGCCTAGAAAAAGTGAAGTATGAATATTGTCCAAGGTACCTAACAAATGTCATTAGCTGAAGATATTGGATGTCGAGTATTATAAAAAGTATAGGTAAGAGCCATCGGTCCAAAACATCGCCTATTAAGTAATTTGGATATGAAATATAGTAGCACGTAGGTATCTGGAGATGCAATTCCAAGAAACAAAAAAAAAAATTCTTTTGTAAGGACACTAGTTATTCCACTCATATTTCTATGATGCATCGATTGTATGAGAAGGTAGCTAGATAGTACTTGAATATTATCATAAGGAGAAGCATAAAAGTAGGGGATCTTCTAAAATATATCTAAGAGTTTTCACTTCGTGCTGTGTACCATGACAGTTGATATGGTACCGACCCGTATATTATAAGCACCGCTTACCATGTCTCTTAGAATTTCTCACGTAGGTAGTAAAGTATCTACCCCTGAATAAGCCAAATACATTTCCTTGTTGGTTACACCGCGTGATACATATCTGCGGCCCCTCTGACCAGCTATATTACTCCTCGATAATAGTGCTTGAACCGTTCCAAGGCATCCAATGAAATACTGAGTTGGTAAATAATTCATTACTTGCGCTATGGTTGGTGTAACCGTACGTCTTCCGTCAGCAAGCAAAACACCATCATCAACCCTTTCTCGCCTGCGGTGCAACTCGGAAAGGGAGTGGTCAGCTCGAGGGACCAATCGAAGTCCGATACGAAGATTGGGGTCAAATAGCAGCCTTGGCGTCATATTGGAGACGGTTTTGATTAAAAGCCTGCCTTTACCGCCAGCTAGGTCTGAATTGTGCAAGATATTTTCTATTTATGCTCAGATTACCAGACGTCATGCGAATGTTAAAACAAATAATTGCAAGGGAAATACTTCCATCAATCTGCTATACCACATGCAGTAAGTACCTACCTAGTATATATTGACTGCCCAGTCATAAAAATATCACTCACGTAAAAAAACTACGCCTAGATAATGCAGTGCTTGAAGCACAAAAGATTGGCAAAGTGCCATCGCTATGTACACCCGACTCCGCCTTTATACAATATCGCGACGCGTGTAAAGATTGCGTTGAAGCCAATGGTGGGAATTGGACGTCGACGAATTAAGGGGACGTGGGAAGCGCCTTGGACCAGTGGCTACATTATTGTGATGCGCAATCTCCAAATCCCATCGCACCCACAGGGAGGCCAAATTCGACAAGCTCTAAGTCTATATCATATGATATTCTGACAACGATATTACCAGGGTATGTGTTATAAAACACTATCCATTAAACGTACCTATCCTATATAACTCCCCAACCCAGTAACCGGGGCAAGCTTACGCTGATTTTATTCTTAGTACGTGTTAGGTTCCCCTTTGGCCTAGTCCCCTGAGGTTAATACGCGATGATGACCAATTCTTTGCCGTTAACTTTGTTGTAGGCACAATAACTACTGAGGGAGTCACAAAGACCTGGTTATTTACAACAATCATCACTTCATATCCGCCAATCCCGGCTACTGCGGTCGTCGAGATTTCGAAGATAGTCAACGGGGAGCTAACGACTTTCACCTTCACAACAACATATGAACAGATTACAACTGACTTGGAGTCGTCGACAAGTACTGGGAACCGGACAACAAGTGGTAGGGACTTGCTTTCAAATTAACCTCGCCTAGTGTAACCTCCGCTGATTCTTCGTAGTGATTAGTATTTCACCGCCACCCACGTGGAGCTCCGAACCGGTCACACCAGTGAGTCATGCCTGGATCGCTGGGCCTGTTGTAGGCGCTTGCTCTGGGGTTTTTATTATCATATTGAGTTTGTTTTTACTATGGCGCCGTAGGCAAACAAAACTTAAAGCGCAACCGAAACTGGAGTTGCATGGAAACTCGGCAGTGAAAACAGAGCTAGACGCCCCTAGTCACCCGCAAGAGCTTGATATAACCGGCTCGAGGACGGCGTATAATGAAGCAGGTCGTCCCAGTGAGCCACAGGAGCTACCTGCAAACGGATGACGTAGGTACGAAACAAGCATCATTTGAACGAGTGCAGCGGGTTGTATACCTCTTAACCGAGAACCTAATCACATTTATATCTCATGGCAGATGTACGGGGGCGTAATGTGGATTTAGTTATTCTGCGCATTGCATCTTACCAAAGTGAGGTTAATAAAATACGTAATCAGCATCTTCGTTCTGGGTTGGTAGCCAATGAGCCTGTGCGATGTTCGAGATGAAAGCAGGGTACAAACCGTAAGGTAAAAAGATAATTTAATATCAGTGAGTCACGATAGAAAGAGCCTAAACTTTCGTATAGAGCTTAGGTGCCGCTCAGATATGCCTTCGTCACAATTGCGGAGGCTGGGGAGGTGTAATTCTAATTAAGCTTCTGCTGAAATGGGCCGGCATTTGAATAAACTATGGTAGAACCGTACGCGGGGAACCGAGAGTGATATGAATTTACATGCCTCGAACCCTTTATGACACCGGGTTACATTAAACTCTTGGCTTCCCCTGCATGGAACGCCCAATTAGCCGACTATAAACTTCGGTTCAGTTAAACGGATAAGGTTGAGTTTTGAGCTTTGATAGCCATTGAAGTATCTTACCTCTTAGTGTTAAGAAGTCCCAAGTCTATAAATACATAAGGACCAGCGAGATCCCAGGTTCTTTTTTTTTTTCTTCTTCTTCTTTTTTTTGGACTTGTAGAACCTCCTACAATCTTCTGTCTGAAGTTAGACCTAGCTAAACACTTTCTGAATTCAACTCACCATGCGCGGATTCACTCTCGTAGGCACGTTAGCCTGGCTACTCTCGTGTTCGACTTCATATGCGAAGTGGGTACGAATTTCTGATTGGGGCGAGAACCCGACACATCTGGACTTGGACGCATATATTCCCGCGGAGTTGGAGGATAAGCCCGCTGTCCTTCTTGCCGTAAGACCCGACCTTTACTGAGACCTAAGAAGAAAAGCTAACAAGATATACAGCTACACTATTGTGGCGGATCGGGGAAAGCGTATCATGCAGTGGCGAACTTTGACGCTTATGCTGAGGCAAAAGGGTTTATTGTAGCTTACCCATCCACCAAAATGGACGACAGCTGCTGGGTAAGTTTGACGGAGGAGTTATAGTCAACTTAACCTGAAGAGATGTTTGCTAACTTGATGGCATCACAGGACGTTAATTCCAATAAGTCTCTCACAGTCGACGGAGGAGGCGACAGCACTGGTCTGGCAAACATGATGAGGTACTTCATCAAAGCCTATAACGCAGACCCGATGAGAATCTACGTTCAAGGCACGTCTTCTGGCTGTATGATGACGAACGTGCTCCTGGCCACTTATCCGGACATATTCATGGCCGGATCTTGCTATTCTGGTGTCCCAGCAGGCTGCTTGGCGGGCTCACCCGGATCGAGCCCACAGAGTGCTGATTCCAAATGCGCCAACGGCCAGAATATTAAGACGGGCGAGGAGTGGGCAGAGATAGTCCGAGCTATGAACCCAAGATGGAACGGAGTATATCCACGTCTGCAAACATTCCACGGTGACGGGGATGAGTTTGTCAGCTATAGAAACCTACAAGAGCAGCTGAAGCAATGGTCGACTGTCCAAGGGGTCAAGTTCACTAAGAATGTTACAGATACGCCACAGGGAGGCTATACTCAGATGCTATACGGAGATGGTGGTTACTTGGTTGGGATTTCTGCTCACAAGGTTGGCCATGTGGTTCCTGTGAACCGAGACGCCGACATAATGTGGTTTAATCTAGGTTCTGGGACTTAAATCACGGCAAACTACCTACCGCTGGCTGCACAATAGCCCTGAGTTTACGAAGCCAGGCGATGGATTTAATTGGTTGAATCCGGCAAGGTGGTCCACCAGCCTTAATCCAAATGAAGTTGCCACTGTTAACGGTGAAAGGATGGTTCGTAGGTCCTGCTATGATAGAGTACCACCTGCACCATTCTCGATGAAAACAACTACTACCTGCACCATCCTCGATG